AGTTTAATACTGAATTTATTGCACGAGTTGGATAAAATTTTATTATGCGAGCCTCTGGCGAGCATAATATTATTTTATTCAACGAGTGTAATAAATTCAGTAATGAACTTACACGAATTTAATATTCTATTTATCACATACCCAAAATAAAGACAGTTTAAAGTGAAATAAGAGTCATTTTTCATTGACGCGCCTTTAGTATAACGCTAACCTTTAGCGCGTCTTTACACTATGTTTGTATACGCTAATGACGTCCCGTCAAAATATATGCACGGCCGTGCAATACCATATTTACGGAGTCGCAAAATCGGCACGGGTGTGTGATAAATACTAATATTACATGAAAGGGAAAATCAGACCTGTTTACTAAGAAGGTGAAGGAAAAATGCTGTGGGGTGGTACAAAAACTAAACCAAACTTTTTCCTCTAAATTGTGGTACAATTTTGTCAAAACTAAGGTGTGTATTTTGCCTTAAATTGAAGGTAATGGTTACTTACCAGGTTTCTGTTAAAGTTTCACACACGTACACACGCACGCAGACGCGAAAGAAATAAAATGTCTTTTTTTATTTATTTAATTCTTGACAGAGTCGTATACTATGCGTGACTCGAGATAAAAGACACCATTTTATTGCAGGTGATCTTTATTTGAGGTTAATAACTTTTAATAGGATTTTTTTACGAAATACGAAATCATTACTTAAGTAACCTACTTATAAAATGCATACTAATTCAGTTTCATGATAATGAACAAAAAGGCAATTTTATAAACAAAAGAAACAACAAGGTCATTGTCATACATTATATATTATAATATAAATGCATATTAACTTTAGTCTAGACAAAATATGAAACCCAGAGCAAAAATTATAAATGGGCATACGTAATACGCAGTTTGAAATCGTGACAAATGCATGCTAAAATGATGTTTAACTTATGACTACATGAATATAGAATAATGTATGCAAAGCACGACGAATTTAGATTATATATAACAGGCAAAAACAGTTGTTGTCAGAACAGAGTAAGATTGGTATGGTGGCGCAATGGGGCCATCTGAAAATATCAAATTTAAACCGTGCGAGTGTGCATAAGGGTAAGTCTATTAGCTATTTGTGTGCAATATAAGAAAGATGAAGACTGATATTTAGACGTTTTAAACGTAACTTGTTAATGAGTTAATGCAATAAAGAAATTTCTTAATGATAGTGCGTTCATTGCAGGTAAGCATTAAGCTTTTCTTTGAAGACCTCTGTTGTCCCCCTCAGTGCATTATTTCAGTTATTAACGGGCACATGAGTAGAACCATCGTTCTGTAAGCTTGCTAACATGCAAGAATCAAAAGTTCCTGGCGCGATTCGACCCTACAGCGATGAGGAGAAAGTGGTTTGAAGTCAACAACCATATCTAGTCGGCCACGGAAGCGCCAAGCATTGGGCTTATGTCCATACTAAAGTAATTCATTTATCAAATGGGTCTTTCTAATACATTTGGATTTAGAATTCTATTTTGACAATATTGGCATACACAATGTACTAGTGTATATAATTAAGTAGTAAATCGTTTAATCAAATATTCAGGTTGAATAAGTCGTGGTGGTCTTTTAATTTAAGAGTGTATGAAACATAACCTGATGCCTAAAAGAAGTTGAACACTAGCAGTACGGATTATAACTTGTTAAATTTTTGATTTAATAGTGTAAAATAATGTATGATTATAACAAAGCGATAGGTATAGACGTTTTAACCTCAGCAACGGAAGTAATAGTAAACGCATGCGCAAGCAAGAGAGGTTGAAGCAAAACCGTATGTATAAACGTATGTATGTTTAAATGATTTAGATCAGGGCCATTGTTTTTTACTTGTTTTCCTGTCTGTCGTATATAGTGAGGGTAATAAATAAAAATATCACTATGTTTTGTAATGTGAAATTTGAAAAAGACCATCTCGACTGAGAGGAACTCCGTGATCATGTGGTCAGGTCGATTGGTTTGAAACACTTGCTTCTCTTGGGTTCGAATCCAGCAGAGGGACAACCGCCCGTTAGGGGCACAAAAAAGCTGATGTCGCTGTCGAGTACGGACCCTCGGCCAGGTCACCAGTCGTGCCATAAGGGTTAATTTTGAAGCACAAATTACTGTCAATCTACATCCATGCAATTTCCACGAGCAGAGGATATGTATTTTGAGCCAAAAGTAGGTCACTGTACGGCGGCCAATAAGAGTACGTATTTATTTTGTTGTTGTTGTTGTTTTAGGTTTTATTTTTACTGGGCGCCGGTTTCCCATATGTCCCAGACTAGTCGGCCTCTATTACGATTGCTGGTAACGTAGAGCCTGCAACGGAGGACTTATTCGCCTGCAACGTCGTCGATGTCGTAGAGCCGCGACGGAGGTCTTTTCAAGCTGTCGATCGTCGTAGACCTTCTCTAGGACCCAATTCCTCGCTTCTTGAACAAAGGTTGACAATAGAGGAAAGGCACCTCTTCCGGGAGCAGCAGCTCTCTTTAGGGCCACACCCTTCGTCATTGGTTAGGTCACACCAGCTAAGTGACCTAACTAGGTCACCCATCTGGTGTGACCTATGCCTTCCGAGCGACGTGCACGCCACGAAGGGAAGTCGGAAGTATTTATTTTCATGTTGATATAGACTCTTATAAAAATGCAGATAACACGGAGGTCTTTTCAAGCTGTCGATCGTCGTAGACCTTCTCTAGGACCCAATTCCTCGCTTCTTGAACAAAGGTTGACAATAGAGGAAAGGCACCTCTTCCGGGAGCAGCAGCTCTCTTTAGGGCCACACCCTTCGTCATTGGTTAGGTCATACCAGCTAAGTGACCTAACTAGGTCACCCATCTGGTGTGACCTATGCCTTCCGAGCGACGTGCACGCCACGAAGGGAAGTCGGAAGTATTTATTTTCATGTTGATATAGACTCTTATAAAAATGCAGATAACACTTGCGCATGCGCATCTGAGTTAAATGTTGCCGTAGATTGATCTCGGATATATTTGTACAACAAACAGATGTTATAAATTGAATATCAACTTATTTTTATGGCAACATACAAGTATTATATAACAAATTAACGTGATGTCTCCATGGAAACATTATCGGCAGACAATGCATTTTGTATTTTTGGGGAGGGGACTAAACAGAACGCGTGAAATTGGAAGCTATTTTGTAATGGAAAAAATATTAACGGTTTATGGGAATGCGGAAAAGTTAAATGTAAGAAGTTTTGAGATGATTTTGGACGAGTAAGTGATTGACCGAAACAGTCGGACGTGTGTAACATGAATGTTAGAATACTATTTGAATTTTTTTCTTTCTCGTTCGTTCGTGCATTTATTCATTTATTTGCTCAATTCATTCGTTCAGCCAATCATAAACTTAAATTTTCCGCATTCCCATACAATGTTTTATTTAATTTCATTCCGGATCTAAATCAAATACGGGAAACTTCGACGCTGGGATTGTGCCATGTCGCATTTCAAGTAAATTATTGGAAGGGGGGTAAATCTTGCTTACTGTTTATGAATATTTCGACTCTGTTACGTCCTTTCTTGATCGTTATGGCTGTATTTATGTAAAAATATGACAAATGCATCTAATTTTATTTTACAAGATACATTATATACTTGTACTGTAAAACCTGTCCTAAAAACCACCTTCGGATAATGACCGGGAGCTATACATGTATGTAAAACTGGCAATAAAGGCCAGAATCTATTCTCGTTTTAAACAAGATACATGTAAGTGGAAAATAATCAATTGTAATGAGAAACCACCTGTCCTCAAAGATATCTTACATTTAACGAAAATCGGTCGTTATAAATTGGTTCGACAAAAATTGTACCGTTTAATTTGTTAAGGGGTCTTTCGTATTTTTTTTATTTTGCTAACTAATCGGTGTTCATTTTCTTGATAATCTATAATATGTGCGGATTAGAAAGTTTCCATTGTAAGCATTATTTTTTGCATAATGGGAATTTAAAAAAAGTAAAAAAACACTCAAGATTTCATGTTCACATATAATTTATCTGATAGTTAGTAAATCCTACGACACTTTCTTGAACACTCATATAAATTCCTCATATATAACATATTTACACATATTTATATAACATATCAAAACTGACAATATACTAAAATTTAAAGTACATATTTAAAAAAAAAAATATAATAATTATGTATTAAATATGTATTAATAAGCAGAATCTAACCGCATCAATTAAAATTACCATACATGAATGTTTATCATCAACTTAACAATAAAGATACAAAATAACACTCAAACACATAAAAGGCAAGTATGAGAATATTTTGGAATTGTGACAATTTTTAGGAATGTTTCTTTTCAAGTACATAATTATCTTCCCCTAAAAAACAACAACCAGGGGTAGCAGATGTGATTTTATTACCGACACGGAAGCGAGGTTGGCACGCTAGTGAGGTCGGCACGCAAGTGAGGTAGGTAGGCACGCAATAAACTTCTTAAGACCAACTGAGAAATCAATGGCACCAAAATCCTGCATATTTTTAAAAATAGCAAGACATCTTTTTAACAAAAAAAGAGGTGTTAGCCGTATAAAAAGAGGCTATTATCGTAAAAAAGAGGCTAATACCGTATAAAAAGAAGCTTTTACCGTATAAAAAGGTTATCGTCGTAAGTCTGTAAAGTATATCAATAAAATAACTTCGAAACCACGAGTCCTATTGAAAATTTACGCGTGCAAATATGCTGAAAATCATTTTTAAACCCAGTTCAGATTTTGCCAAAATTGTGTTCAATTTTATATTTAACAATGCAAAAATAACCGAATTGAAATGACCGATTTGACCGACGGACGTTTCTGTAACTATTGTTCGGAATGTATTGGTAACTTTCAATTTTTCAAAAGAATGGGGTAGTATTTTTTATAATTAAGGGAGTTTTTATATTTTATCATAAACATTTTTCATTATCAATAACTGGTCGATCAGGACGATAATTGTCAATCTCTTAAAATATGTTCAACTCAACTTGACAGCGAAAAACAGCATAATGTCACTTAAAGGCGCTGCAAAAACATTTCGCTGTTAATGGAATAATTACATTTTATTGAGATCACTTGCGCAGCTGACAGATGGGGCAATTCCAAATGGCAATTCGCATGAATATTATATAAATAATTCATGAATTACGCTGCGGAAGTTGTGATATTTTATCACTGTAACTTTGCATTGCTGACAAAAACAACAACAAATATAGAACAAAAAAACAACTCTAAAATATTGTACTATTATTAACATAAGGCATGCGCAAAATACGGTCAAATTAATATCTCAAACCATTGGCCATGTAGCGATCACGGGAAAACCCAGACATTTTAAAGTTTCCGTATATTTAGAATACACAAATTAAGTTCAATACTGATATCGTGATCACCTGAAAGTGGGTGGGTATACTGAGATTACAAACAAAAGCAAATATTTGCTCTGAAAGGAAATCCAGAAGTTACTAATTAATGTATATGAATATATGAAAACTAGTGCGGAAATAATACATGTCTTGGAGACTCTGAGTAAAAAAATATATAAATCATATCAGTGTTATTTTAGTGTAATTCATTAGTGAGTGCAAAAGCTTTCCATTTTCGTAAAAAATAACAATGTTTGACTTAGTGGAATGTATAAAATGTACTATTGCATAAAATTAATTATGAAAGACCTCAACGAATGGCACTCCTACCACGGTAAATCCCATATGGTCGGCCATTTTAGCCAAACCCTCAGTCTCTATATGATTACTGTATATTTTCTCCGGAAACATGAGTCCCCGTCTATGACAATTTGCTTTAATCAATAAGGCACATCCCCCTACACCATCCAGACGAACAACTCTTCCCTCCGCTTTCAAATCGGGCAAGTATATCCTCCGCGTTGTGCTGTACCCTTCAACAATTAGTATGTCTTTTGGAAGATGTTCCTGGTCCTCGATAGACGCGGGCGTTTCCCGCCAAGAATTTTTATCAAACGTTCGTTTCAAGTCACCGCTTTCAAACAAACAAGAAGGAACAACTACGTCACTTTTTGCATATATTAGCTGTTGTATAAGATCGACCGGAAGTTGTTTGATGTCACTATCTATCCACAAAACGTAATCAAATTCACCATGTTTCAGACCAACTTTCAAGAGCGTATTTCTTGAAACAGCTAGATGCGCGCGACGTTCGTACTGACTTGACCTTGAGTGCACTTCTCCCCAAGGACCATGGACGCCACCGGAAGCATTAAAATGATATGCCGCGGCGTCATGAAAACCATAATTAGTCTTGAGATCGTCTGCTATTAAAGTCGCCATATCAAAGGTACGATCGGTGCTGCTATCTTCGCCAAAATAAACTGATAATAAATTGTGGGGATAACTTAACTTTGCCAACTGTTTCATGTAATTGTCTAGCACGTGGGCAACGTCGCACACTGGAGTCAGTATAACAATTTTATACGTATAAATAGTCCGTGGAAGTTCTAAATATTTCTTAGTAATATTATCGGATAAATATGGCACAATATCCGAAGCGGAATATTCCGGCACTTTCGGTATAAATTTTAAAGGATTTTCTAAACTTGATGCGAACACTTGTTGATGAACACCGTTTGATATTGTCAAATTGCTTCTTCTCTTGTTGTTATCGCGTAAGAAATCAAATCCCGCCACGGCGTCCATTTGTCGTCCGCGCATTTGCAGACGACCGTCCTGTTTTGCACGCGCTTCATGGTAGGAATCGAAATTTTCTCTGATGGCTCTCCACCGATTGTAGGCCTTCAAATACTGAGTCTCTTTTGGTGACACGTTAATATCGTATGCTACAATTAAAATAACGCCAAGCAGAACAAGGTGAAAATAAAACAATAACATTAACACGCGTCGGTTGCACAAAACTGACATCTTCTTCAATAACATTGTATATTTCACTCGATTCTTCACTAAAAAAAGTTCTGGCAAGCTTTTTTCAACTTTCACCTCTTCACAGCATCACAATCTAATTCACATTTCAATGACTGTGAGAAATAGTCATTAAAATAACTCACGTTACAGTTTCTTATGTGAATGTTTCATTCATTTTTGTATAATAAATTGTCAGTTTTCCATTTCCGGTTCTCTATCAAATATCACAATTTTTTACTCCCTTTTTCACTTGGACTCCTAATAGTTTATCCCGTTGTCTGTTGCTTTAAGACATTGAAAATATCGACAGACAATAAAAGAAAATAAGTCCATTCATCATGGAAAAGTCAATATGTAAATATCCACGATTTTAAGCTATCTTGAACGGCACTTTAGCTAACTGGCTCCATTATAATATTTACATCGTTCGGCATTTCGAACTCTCCATCTAAGATCATTAATAATCGTAGCGCGGATCCCTCTCAAATATGCATTGTCACTTTTAAATCCAGAACAAAATTGTTCGATTAAATATTACATAACGGTGTACTTGAATACAAACTTTCACACAAAAATGCCAGTCCCCCAGTGTGATAATTTAAGCGACACTTGTTCAAATACTTGACATTCAAATTGTATAAAAAATGCTGACTTCCCTTTCAGTTTTAACAGCAGTAATTTCATAAATGGGTTTATTTCGATCTTTCTTCTTCAAGACTGGTTAAACTCCCAGCATTTTAGAAAGGCGTATTGATCAAAACTTCTCTTGAAACGCCAAATATTAATCTTATCTAAATCATCTCTGATTTTCTGTCACAAATCGCTCCCAGAAAATTGATTTCAGCGGGGAAAAAAACATCCGCGTATGCAACCGCTATTATGAAATACAATTCGTGCTTTATTTGCAGTTGACGATTTCTTCGCATGCAATGCGCGCAGATCTCTGTATTCAACGAATTCCCCCGATGAACCCGGGATCTCTGCAAATAATAGAGGATGGATTATAATAGTATATATATTTATCATAAAGTTTATGTTTATGATAACGATAAAACGATAAAATAATCTTTCGTAATTTGAATTAACCTACTGAATTTGTGTAATGGAATTGCCCGTCAGTTCATTTAGAGTTTAAGGAAATTCAATATGAAAATAGAAAACTTGAGGTACCAGTAGTACAGGGCCTGGTCAAACAGCAAGGTTGCGCCGACTGGCCTGGCAAAGGTTAATCACTTTTGGTTCCGTTAAGAAGTATTATAATTATAACCTGTTGTTTAATACTGTAAATAGTTACTAGCTACGAAACGACACAGAATGTTCGTGTTTTTTTCTTCTTTCATAGAGTACGTTCTTCGTTTTGAATTTCAATATACGATGTTTTAGAGATATATGATTTAAACTCGATTTGTTGTATCAATAAATCCGTTTTTGCTTTTCTGAAACTATTGAAATTAATTTGAGTAAAAAAACAACATATTTTAGTTTTTTGTTTGTTGTTGTTTGATTTCTTGTCAGTTTTAGGCCAACGTACAATTTTCATTCATTAAGCGTCAATATGGTTTGCGGTACATTAAAATAACGCAAAATAAAACAATATCAGTTATGAGTTAAACGCAGTATAAAGCCTCTTATTACAACCGCAAAACAATCATAATATTTATGTAGAACACATAATTATGCATGTAATCAGAAGTAAATACACTACCACTTAATCCCAAATCTTTGAAAAAAAAGGAACAAAGTTCTACAATATATCAAATGGGCCATTTGTAAAGAAAAAATGAGACATGTTCCATGTTTTGCTGGAATAGCTAAAACAAACATTACTTAAACAAAGTCGTGTCTAATTAAGAAATGACTCGTGTATAATTTCGCAGGAAGCGGATACTGTAAACACGCGCGCGTTTGTTGATTTACACATTTTATCGTCTGCAAAATTACTTTTATTATTTTTTTTCTTCTATTGCTTCAAACGTTAATTGTAGATTTGCTAAAAAGGTTCCGAATTTATCTATAATATCATGTGTATATTTATGTTTGCTAAGCGGATGCAAACGTGACCTTCAACACAGTATTTAAATAAGTTTACTTCCTATTATCACAAGAAAGGTTCGAGTTAAAATATATAGGCTCCCAATTAGGATACAATGATCGGAAGTAACATGTGCATGTACTCGCAATTAAGACAGGGTACACATTAAATTGTATAGGCTCGCAAGACAGAATACAGTTATTTCGTTTATATATATACGATGCTAGTGAACCTGGCTTCATCTCCATTGGCACATGCAATAAAAAATGGCTTTTTGAGTATTCAAGCATTATGCCTCAGAAATGATTTTTTTCTGAAGAAGGACAAACACAGGTGTTAAATACAGTTTCAATTATAAAATGGTTAAACCTATACTTTTATATGGTTGTGAAATCTGGGGATTTGGAAATTTAGACATTGTTGAAAGAGTGCAACTTAAGTTTTTAAAACATATTTTATGTCTTAAGAAAAATACCTCAAATATAATTGTTTATGGTGAAACTGGTACCAAACCGTTATCAATAGAAATTAAAGCAAGGATGATTTCATTTTGGGCAAAACTAATTGTAACAAATTACAAAAAGCTTACAACAGAAATATATGCAGTTGCATTGAGTAATTTTAAAAATAGTCACTCAAATTTCAATTTCAAATGGATAACTTGCATAAAAGATATTTTTATAGAATGTGGAATGGCTAATATTTGGATGAGTCATGAATTTCCTAACGTAAATTGGCTGGTTAAATCAGTTAAAACAAAAATTATCAGATATATTCATAAATCAGTGGTACTCAGGTCTAGAAAACACATCTAATTGCAAAAATTATTGTATTTTTAAAAGAAAATTTGAAATTGAGAAATATCTTAGTGAAACACCTTCCAAATATTTAAAATATATGATCAAATTCAGAACCAGAAATCATAAACTACCGGTCGAAACTGGAAACTGGCATAGAATCCCTTTAGAACAGAGAAAATGCACTCTCTGCAATCATAACATAGGCGACGAATTTCATTTTCTATTAGAATGCCCAAATCTTAACACGGATAGAAAAAATATATCTCTGAAATCTATTATAGAAATCCAAATATAATAAAGTTTGATAAATTAATGAACACTGACCCCTCAAATTATGTGATATATAAAAAACTTTGCATGTTTATAAAAATAATCTTAGAAAAATATTGAACTGAATTATTATATTAAACTTTGATAAATATTTTTGAAATAATTCATTTTATTTTGTATGAATGTAAAACTTTCTCCTGTCTATGTTAAAAGAATATTGTAAGATGTGTGAGTTACATACTATTAACCTCGTTAACATTTGTAATTTGTTATTTACCTCATATTTACATGTATTGTGTATTGAGTGAATAATAAAATCTTGAAAAATCTTGAAAATTATGGATTTAAGGCTTATCAACGGAAGAAAGCAGCGCTGAATATGAAATAATTTGTCATCTGGACGCAAAATGTAAGCAACTACCAAACAAAATACTGGATCACTACACAGTAATTTTTTAGGCCTATTAAGGGCCGGCATTGGGTCGCATTCCCAACCAGAAAAAGTATATTTGTTCCCTAATTATTGTAATTTTTCACATCAAAATTTGTATAGGATTATCCCGGTTTTCATTATTTTCAAACTGAATCGATTAGTAACGATTGTTTTTTTTTATAGATGGGTCAGCTCTATGTTTAACGAGTACTTTTTCGGACAATGTAACAAGACATGTGAAAACTCAACAGTTTTTGCATAAATGAAAATAGTAGCATTTTTGGGACGTAATGGGCCTTTAATCCATTATGATTTTTTTTTTAAATTAACGAGTAAATTTTTATTATGTGTAAAGATAAAATGATTTAACCAAGCTAGAGGTTCTTACCTCTCAAAATTAATTAAACCTTAAGATATTCAACAATACATATAGCCCTTGGTCCCATAAAATAGATGAGCATTTACAGGGTATAAATACGGCTTTAAAAAGCAATTTTGTCATATTTGGAGTAAACAAGTGTCACTTCGTTTGTGAATATTTATATTATATCTCAAACTATTAATTTAACATTCTACACTATGATTATCTGTTTACCCATTTATATGCATGTAGCTTTAAAAGCAAAATTGATTACACTCGTTTCAGTTGTCGTTAAACGCTATCTAAAATCAAACGTAGACAGAAATTACCATAAAGAGTAAACTTGTCTAACATTATAGACTAGAATAAGCCAAGACGAAGCCTTATAAATATTGATGACTTTATTGTGCCTTAATTATCGGTAAATGATGTAAAAATACATCTGCTGCTGTATATTTATAACTGTACATGTATGCAGCAAAACACTTTTCCAACAAAACAAAGCACAATACGTGTATTTTCTTATATAATAGTGCGTATGTTGTTTGCCTTGTAGACACACAGTACGAAATTTATTCATTGACGTTGATATTTAAGATGATACATAACAAAGTTGATATTTAATTTGATATTTAGCTGATATTCAATTTGACATTTAGCTGATATTTAATTTGATACCTAGCTGCTATCTCATTAGATATTTTGCTGTTTTTATACTTAATTGAATGTTCGAGTTTTAGGTATACGCTGGAATGTATATGCATGTATACTCGTATACTACCTTAGTAACGTTAATTATATTCATAAGAGATTCTTTAGTGGTCAATTTGAATTATTTGTTTTTTAACATTTGTAATGGACAGTCACATGTCAGAAATTTAAGTCCAGTATAAATCAAACTTACTCATTTAAATGACACTGTCAAGAACAGATCTAATAATGGACTTTTCATTTAAATAGAAAGGTATAAATGAACATTTATTTTGATATACATTACAGATAACGTCCTAAAATGTGTTCAAAGGTTTTTATCAATTTCCCTATCTTTGCGATGTTGACCAAACGTGTCAGCAATGTCATTTTTTAAACCTTCAACAATAGCATGTTTATATTTACAAATTTAAATACAAATGTAGATATAGCATATGCTTTTAGTTTGTACTGTATTAAGTTTTTCATTTAGATATTTGTTATCATTTATTTGAATGATTTTTAAATTGAATCATTGAGTTATATTCTTTTTAAAGCTTATGGTAACTATCACTGACTTTTACCGTATACTGTGCTATTATAATGAGAACTTTTGCAAATGTTTAAACCATTACCACGGACCTTACTTCCGTGCCATTACTGACTTTCAAATATACATTGTATGAGCTTTGTATTGTCCTGGATAATACAATGCACCATATGAGATACATGTAGTATCTGCAGGGCCTCCAGAGTTAATCACGACAGGTAAAACAGCCACCCCTGTTACTTCAGACTGATTGACCTTGACCTGCCGAGTGCCTTCCCCGCGACGTGCACGCCCCGGGAGAGACTGGAGAAGAGACCGGGGGGGCGACAAGCAATATGTAAATTAGACACACAGTACGAAATTTATTCATTGACGTTGATATTTAAGATGATACATAACAAAGTTGATATTTAATTTGATATTTAGCTGATATTCAATTTGACATTTAGCTGATATTTAATTTGATACCTAGCTGCTATCTTATTAGATATTTTGCTGTTTTGATACTTAATTAAGTGAATATTCGAGTTAAACAGTAATTTAATATTATAGTTAATATTGTGGTTTAAAATGGGTAAATATTTAGGTTTAGTCAATAATTTACAGATATGAGTCGATATTTAATTTAAATTAATATTAAGTAGATAGTTAAGTGAAAATTAAATTGATATCTTAATATTCCACTACCTTAGTAACGTTAATTATATATAGTGGTCAATTTGAATTGTCTGTTTGTCAATTCTTAACATTTGTGATGGACATGTCAGGATTTTGAGTCCAATATAACTCTAAATGAAACTGTCAAGAAGATCGAGATCTGATTATTCAAAAGTGACTTTTTATTTGAATAGAAAGGTATAAATGAACATTTATTTTGATATACATTACAGATAACGTCCTAAAATGTGTTCAATGGTTTTTATCAATTTCCCTATCTTTGCGATGTTGATAAAACGTGTCAGCAATGTCATTTTTTAAATCTTCAACAATATCATGTTTATATTTACAAATTTAAATAGATGTAGCATCTACTTTTGTTTGTACTGTATTAAGTTTTTCATTTAAATATTTGTTATCATTTATTTGAATGATTTTTAAATTGAATCATTGAGTTACATGTATATTCTTTTTAAAGCTTTCGGTAACTATCACTGACTTTTAACCGTGTACTGTGCTTTTATAATGAGTACTTTTGCAAATGTTTAACCATTACCACTGACCTTACTTCCGTGTCATTACTGACTTTAAAATATACATTGTATGAGCTTTGTATTGTCCTGGATAATACCATGAGTACATGTAGTAATAAACAAAATTACAATGAAAATGTACATGCACTAGCTTAAGGTCTTCAGCATACCGTTGATAAACTATGACATGACGTGAACCTTCAGATGGAAAACAAATGAGCCGTGTCATGACAAAACCAACATAATGGGTTTGCGACCAGCATGGATCCAGACCAGCCTGCGCATCCGCACATTCTGATCAGGATCCATGCTGCTCGCTATCACTTCTCTACTTGTTATAGGGTTCGTAACAAATGAGCCGTGTCATGACAAAACCAACATAATGGGTTTGCGACCAGCATGGATCCAGACCAGCCTGCGCATCCGCGCAGTCTGATCAGGATCCATGCTGTTCGCTATCACAGTAAAAAGTATCACTTCTCTACTTGTTATAGGGTTCGCAAGCGAACAGCATGGATCCTGATCAGACTGCGCGGGTGCGCAGGCTGGTGTGGATCCATGCTGGTCGCAAACGCACTATGTTGGTTTTGTCGTGACATAGCTCAAATGTCAAAAAGTGCCTTATAAAGTTTTGGAAGCCAGAACTATACAGTACATGCACAATTATCCTGTTTACAAACAAGTATTACTATCTTCAGACAACGGTTATTATTAATTCTTATTTAACAGCACTCGCTTACACGTTGTTGACACACAGCTTCGCCATTTTAAGTACGTATTTACCTGAGGACGAAATAAAGGTGTTAATACCTATATGTTTTATATAAGTCAGTAAGTTTTACAGGTAAATCACGTGAAATTGATTGCTTTTTTAATAACAAGTATACTGGAATGAGGTTTATGGCATAAAGAAATAGTTACCTTTGAGTGTTAAAATTGTCCAATCCTTCTAAAAGGGTACGCTCAATACCATTTTGTCACGTTTTAAACTGATGCAAAGAGTGTAAACAAAACAAACTTCCGCCATTTTTCACAGGTAAATATAAGGGAGGTCACTCTTGTGTGACAGTGTATCTATGACTACATGGTTTACCGCTCTTGAATTATCACATTCCACCGATATTTTTGGTTGGGGGGTACGAGTACTCGTATATACCGACTTTACTTTAAACAGACTGTTAAATAAAATTATATCGTGCGAGCCATTTGCGGTCATAATGATATTTTATTCAACGAATTCAATCAATTAAGTAAAAAAGCTATACGGATATAACATCCTATATATTATACCACAGATATATAATATTTACCTCCATGCCTATACGAAAGAAGAAAATTTACAGTACAAATAGGAGATTTTTATCATTTTCCATCGTACACAAACCTTTTTTTCCCTATTTCATCAGAACAAAATATAAGCAGTTGAAAATAACGCTAAGCCTTATGTTATATACATATGATGTCTTTTAAAAAATATGCATATCCGTGCAATATCGTTTTTAAGAAGCCGGAAAAGCGGCATAGTTATTACACGATGACATCCAAGATGGCTTGAGTGATATTCATCGATACCAATTTCTTCCTTTTTTCACGCAAATTTAACCAATTGAAAAAAAAAAATGAAAAAAAAAAAAAAGAAATTTTTTATTTTGGTCATTAAACAGTACATGTTGTATCTGTCATTTTATGAAGATTTTAGTGAACATTCAAATAATTCCGACTTATTACCATACAAAACTTGTATTTTATTGTATATACGGATTTATATTACAATATATCGTGTTGTATGTTAAGGTGTCGTTTGGGTCTACGACGCACCAATACAATTCAGGTAATATAGCGCCGAAACAGGAAAGATGATTTTGGCTAACCTCGGGTGTTAAACTTAAAGGAACATCAAGGGTCAAAACCTGATCACCTGCTCAGCTGGAGCTTTAAGAGATGCATAGAGTCCAGAAATTCGAACCCATTTAGTTACCTCTTACGATCAAACAGGGATAATCGGTGGGTCTCAACCCTTAAAGGCAAATATATAACCCCCTCAGCCACAAGGGGGACTTCAATACGTGTATGTAAATTGGCAACTTTTTATATCTGGTTTAATTTTGATAGTAATTACGCTTAATACAATTTACGGACCAGACATGATAACTGAGAGATAAACAGACTTTGCAAACGGAAGGAAGCCAAATATGCGAGTATATCTGCGCCTTTATACCGGTCTCTTTCTGCAAGCCATTAAATTGTCAGTGTTTTGTCAAATTATCTTTTCTTGCCGAAAAGACCCTTACTTCGCCTGAAAGATGGTCGACAATCCGATGTATCGTTTCTTTAAGGAAACTTTCTGCAGGGCCACACCCTCCAGAGTTAATCACGATAGGTAAAACAGCCACCCCTGTTACTTCAGACTGCTTGACCTTGACCTGCCGAGTGCCTTCTCCGCGACGTGCACGCCCCGGGAGAGACTGGAGAAGAGACGGGGGGCGACAAGCAATATGTAAATTATAATCGTGATAGATATATTGTTCAAAATGAAATTTTATTTCATTTTCACGAGTAGAGGGGCCACTTGCACATAATCTCATTAAAAGTGATATTTCTGCCAAAAAGTTTTAATTTCTTTCTATCGGTTCAAAAGATTCAGAACGGACACAAAATTTTGATATTAAAACAAAATGACTAAGTGTGACCTTGACCTGAGAAATGTCAAACCTACTTTCTGCAAATTGTCTCATTATGGCTATTAACATCTCTGCCATCTCTGCCAGGTAGTTTCAATTTCCTTCCAACGGTTCAAAAAATACAGACTGGACAAGAAAACCTGCTAACAGACGGAAGGACTGACGGACAGACAACACGTGCATAACAATATATGCCGAAAGACTTTCGGGCGTATAATAAGGAAACAAAAATTACAAATACAAAAAGATTTAAGTAAAAAATCATAATTTTATTATTCTATCTGATATTTTCACAGCAATAAAAGTTATTATTGTATTAAAATCCAACAACAATTGCAAACATTATGCATTAATAAAGGCTCAAATATCACAGTTTAACTAGACAATCTGTGTACAATTCAAATGTCAACATATTAAATAATATAAAACAATTTTCACATAATTTAATAAATTATCTACTGTATATACACAATCATATTCATCATACAAAAACAATTTACTTAAAACTATTCAGTTTTGATTACTTTAAAAGTTCAATAAACCAAATGTTTATAACATTCAGAATGCCTAAATACGCCCAGAATGCCTAAATATATTCAGAATGCCTAAACAAAATAAGAATGCATAAAAAATCACTAGAATGCCTAAATAATTTAGACTGTTATTAAAATATAAACATATCATCACCTGGTCTCATTAAAAACACATTTATACTAAATTAAATTTTAAAAAAATGGGTACACTTTTTTTAAATTTAGGTAATCATAATAAAAAAAGTTAAAATGAAGCAGTACTTTAAAATTAATTTAAATTTCTTACACATTTATTTATGATAAAATATTTGAAAATAATGCACTCATAATTAAAACTGAAATACTTAAGGGGAAAATAATATGGTGTTACTTATGTTTAAAATTGTAACCTTATTATACCATAAAGGAATCAAACTTTAACCAGTACACAGAAACTGGAAAAAAACATTTTACAAAGAAAAGGTGATAAGCACTCAACAATCCAATACAGGCTGTATTGGACCCTCAGACTTGCAGTGTCCAATGCAGGAAATATATTGGATATCTTTGACAATTATCCAAATTCTATGTATTAAACAGTAACATAGATCAAATTCATAAGATGTGTTGTACGTAAATAATGCTATATGTATATTTTCTTAAGACATACATGTACAAAATCTTTTAGGAAAATGAAAAAAAAATACAGAAAAAAATCAGTGATTGTCAAAATATAGCCACAACCATTACTCTACTGACTGTGACAGATTCTACCCAATGTGAGACTTGTGCAGACCAAGATCTGTGCCATCTGATCATGATCTACATTGTTGACTGTTCAGTCAATATTTCAGTTCAGTTCAGTTAATATTTTGAAATTTTTACCTAAATATATAATGTATACCGGTAGCTTTGCAAAAATTTATAGATGGCCAAGTCCATTTAAGATACTTAGGAAGGTATGGGTAAAATTAGTAACTAAAAAGGCAAAAAATCTACATCATAACAATAATTGTAACTGTTACAAAAATAGCACAGCCTCTTTTCCCCGATGCTTTAATGATAAGAATGGTAAATGATAAAAAGTCTGAGCTTGAAAAAAAAACCTAATTTCACAGACAAAATCCACTTAAAATAATAATTTAAGATTAAACAAAATACACTCAATAATCTTCCATAAAACAGAATAAATAAATGCTGTCCAAAAATAATTGGGTTTCAAAGGTCTCCATGGTTTAGGTTTTATGTCGATTAGTTTTAATTGAGAATGTTCACTTTGATTAATTTTGGGGCCAATCTGACTAAAGTTTAGATCTTATGTTCACATGTAAGGGATAGTTACTTGGGAGCTATTTTGAATTGCCGAGGGACGTAAGGCCAATCAAATGTGTTGCAATTTTTTCAATGAAGGGCATCTGAATATTGTTCATAAGGGTATTGGGGTCAAGAAGCCTTTGCTCCTTTAAGACACATTTAGTTTTCTAAATAACATTTTTCGGTGAAGACACCTAAATCTTTTACGACAACACCCAAATTTGTCCAGCAGAAAAGTCTCGACTAAATTCATGCTAAGGTAAACCATACATGGTAGAATAAACGATTGTCGAGTGTGTTTCTTGTTGCTCAAAAGGAGAACTACATCTAGGCCATTGATGATCGCATCTGAGAAAATCTTGACCGATTTCTGAAATGAACAAAAATATAATAATATTAACATACCATTGAAATGTTAACTTTAAAATTTCCCTACACAACTTGGTCTTTGTTGTTGTTGTTCTCTTATTTTTTTCATACAGATAAACAAAACTGTTGTTATTTAATCAAAGTGTGATCTTTAATGTTTTACCCAAGCTTACTTCACTCTACTAAAATCATTTAATTTACCCTTTACCTGCTGAAATTTGTGAATTGGGTCTGCCCTGCTTTGAATTTGGAACAGTCCATTCAAAGTTTAAGGGATGTTTATATCGAAATACCAAAACTGAGCTACCAAATGTAAAGAGCCTTGGTAGACTGCACAGATGCGCAGACTGACCTGGCTCTATAGACTGCATGGTGGCAAAGGCTTAGATCACAGTCAGTTTCAAGAGGTAACAGGTTAAATACAATCAGAACTCGGTGATATGCATGAGTGATTCTTACCCATGAAAACAATCTGCAATTCAAATCATTTAAAGTCAACTCAGCATTTCATGTGTAGTTAATGTATTATTTAAGATAGGTGACTTATAAGCCAATCAGGCTGAGTGCTTGTATGTGAGGATGAAATTTCTATGTACATTAATTTTGTAATATAGTATAATTATGTCGCTGGCATGAAAAAACTTGCTTACTTTATTAACTGTATTGCAGTTACTTGTAAGTAATATAAAAATATGAACCTAAATTACTTTTTCACATAAATGAAAATAAATCCTTAATTAAATGTAAGTATAAACATTGTTTTGTGGGACATAAGGGTATTTTAAAAAGAATACATTATACAGTGCTTCAAATCATAGTGAATAATGCCAAAAAATAGGCTATTTATTGAAAATGTAAAATAATAAATTTAAAATAGTAAGCCAAGCAGTGTATTATACAGAGCTATTTGTGTTTTTTTATTGTACACTAATCAAGCTGTGATAAGCTAAAAAGCAAATTTATACAAGAGCGATCAGTAATCACATGTGTCGCCTCATGATGGCCAATTTCATGTTGGGACAAATTTTGTGACAGACAGACAGACAGACAGACAGACAGTGCAGAACTAGACTTGGTACTGATCATTCCTGTAAAGTTTGGATAAAATTGCACCAGGAGATTATGAGGAGTAGTCCGGACAAGCTTTTGCGTATCTGGCAACACACAGAAAAATCACCTTTTATCAAAGGGCCATAACTCGGCCAAAAATCATTCACCCGGAAAACCCGTGCAATATGCGCAAGGACTTGAGCTACAGATCAATCCTGTAAAGTTTCATTGAAATTGCATTAGTGGTATAAGAGAAGTAGTCATGACAAACTTTAAAAATAAAAATTATTAAGGGGCCATTACTCTGACAAAAATCATTGAACCGGAAAATGCTGACAATATGCACAACTAGACTTGGTACTAATCATTCCTGTAAAGTTTGGATGAAATTGCACCAGTAGTTTATGAGGAGTAGTCCGGACAAGCTTTTGTGTATCTGGCAACACACAGAAAAAAACACCTTTTTATCAAAGGGCCATAACTCGGCCAAAAATCATTCAACTGGAAAACCCTTGCAATATGGGCAAGGGCTTGAGCTACAGATCAATCCTGTAAAGTTTCATTGAAATTGCATTAGTGGTATAAGAGAAGTAGTCCGGACAAACTTTAAAATTAAAAATTATTAAAGGGCAATAACTCTGACAAAAATCATTGAACCGGAAAATGCTGACAATATGCACAACTAGACTTGGTACTGATCATTCCTGTAAAGTTTGGATGAAATTGCACCAGTAGTTTATGAGGAGTAGTCCGGACAAGTTTTGTGACGGACGGACGGACAGACAGACAGACAGACAGACAGACGACGGAGAAGTGATCCCTATATGTCGCCATTACTCCGTAGAGGCGACACAAAAATGATAAAATATTTGAAAATATGCACTCACATATTATAAGATGCCATAATGTAAAAGTTTTCAGTTTCATTTATCAATTTCAAATAAGTATTGGGTCGAAACTTAGATAAAACTTAATAATTTAAACTTGCTTTTGATATAAACGATGAGCTGAACTTTAAAACTGTCTTAGGATTTTTCCCTTATGTGCCCGTATAATGCTACAATTTATGAACTTGGTAGAATTTGAAGCCCCGTGATCTGAGCACGATCCTGAACCTTAAATCTTAGAGAACATGGGCCAAGGTGATTGCAGGTAGGATTAGAGCCCATGTATACTCCACTGGAATCTTATTTAGTCATTTTAATTGAAAGACTCAGTCACATGATGCCTAACCATTAAAACAAGAGCCGTATGAACCGGGTCAAAGATGCTCCCCGAATAGGTTTTGGACACAGGAAGGTATACCTCTTGTAGTGTCAGAGTTATGTCACAGACAAAGTTAAAAGTGTAAAAACAACCCAAATGTTGCGAGCGACACACTGTCTCAATATGGTGATCAATCCTGTAAAATAGTTGTAAAATCTGACTTCAAATAACGAAGTTATGGGCTGGATATGATTTTGCTGCAAGGTCATGCTGTGACCTTGACCTTCAAGGTAGCGACCCAAATGACACATCGTCTCAATATGGTGATCATTTCTGTGAAATAGTTTTAAAATCTGACATCAAATAACAAAGTTATAAGCCGCACAGGATTTTGCTGCAAGCTCATGCTGTGACCTTGAACTTCAAGGTAGCGACCCAAATGTTGCAGGCAACACATCGTCTCAATATGGTGATCATTTAAATAAAACCAGTGCTGGTAGCTCAAAGAATGGTAAGATCCAGTAACCAGTTCTGGTGACTTGTGACATGTCACGACAATTCCCAGGGCTGTTTCATGAAGTTCCCGCAAGTACTTACAATGTGTGAAGTTCCTGCAAGTACTTACATAATGTCAAGAATCTGTTATATCTCAAGGTTTCTCAGAAACTTTCTGGTTTAAGTATTAATTTATATTCTGGTTAAAGTATTAATTTATAATGGGGCAAAATCTTAATTCATGAACTTCCAGGGGACTTTTAAACCAAACATTAAGACATACATTCAGGATACATCCCGGATGTCTGGGACTGTCCCGGAAACCAGGGGACTGTCCCGGAGGTGTAAATTTAAGAAAATTACAATACACATATCTTTTATAAGCAATTCATTAAATTTTTGTGACAAACGGCAGTAATACAGATAAGTACATGTTCATAATATATAATATATATACATGTACATGTACTTAACAAAAGTGCTAAATACTCCTGTAGATAATTTTAAATGAATATTTTTTTCCACGACATTTAATAGCATAAATGTAATACATGTCTAGTGATCACATCTATTTGCATTTTGAGTTTGATAATAATTAAAATAATAAAGGTCACATGTACATTAAACAAACTGATAAATAACTCACCTGAGTACATAGCATTTTTGTTCAGTGAATATGTATATTTATAATAACTGTCCAATATAGGATAATTATATCAGACCCTATAGTGTCCAATATGGAGATATATTGAATAGTCACATGGTACAGTTTAAAAGCAGCAATTGGATGTTTATTTAAAAACAATTGATATACAATAAGTATATTCATAGTATATATACAGCTATTCATTTTAAATATCTACATGAGAACAGATGGTATAAAACACATATTATATTATTTTAGCCAATAGAAAAATGCTGCTGCTTACAACTGCTCACTAAAAGTAAGAAAAAAAGCAAGAATGCTAGAAAAAAAAACCCATAAAATAAAGTGCAACCATCATTCTTAAATGGTGCATTAATAAGAACAAAAAAAAAACTATAAAAAATTACAATTCTTACATTTTTTTTCAGACCTTGAGTCATATTAATTATAACTGTCAAGAAAAAAATAAATAACTTTCCACTTTTATTGTAAGATCAAGGAAGACCTCAGCCTCCCTTTTTTTGAAATATCTTTAACAGAATTAAACAATAGAAATGTGTCCATAGGATGTAAATGCTCCTACATTCTACTGTTTTGCCAGTCTAACAGATGGACACAGTCTAACAGATGGACACAGTCTAACAGATGGACACAGTCTAACAGATGGACACAGTCTAACAGATGGACACAGTCTAACAGATGGACACAGTCTAACAGATGGACACAGTCTAACAGATGGACACACGTCTAACAGATGGACACATTCTAACAGATGGACACAGTCTACAGATAGACACGGTCTAACAGATAGACACGGTCTAACAGATAGACACGTTTTCTAACAGATAGACACGGTCTAACAGATAGACACGGTCAACAGATAGACACAGTCTAACAGATAGACAATTCTAACAGATGGACACAGTCTAACAGATAGAAACGGTCTAACAGATAGACACGTCTAACAGATAGACACATTCTAACAGATGGACACAGTCTAACAGATAGACACGGTCTAACAGATAGACACGGTCTAACAGATAGACACGGTCTAACAGATAGACACATTCTAACAGATAGACACAGTCTAACAGATAGACACGGTCTAACAGATAGACACGGTCTAACAGATAGACACGGTCTAACAGATAGACACAGTCTAACAGATGGACACAGTCTAACAGATGGACACAGTCTAACAGATAGACACATTCTAACAGATGGACACAGTCTAACAGATAGACACGGTCTAACAGATAGACATGGTCTAACAGATGGACATAGACAAAGATGGACAAAGGCAATATGCCATGCTGCCTCCCTTATGTTGAGGGCAATAAAGAAATTGTTTCACTGTTTAGATATCACAAAATAAATCTTATCCTACTATACAGTATACTGTATATCATTACATGATTATCAAAGTCCTCGACAGCTTTTAATAATAGAAAGAAACTAAAATTAAAGGATGATCATCTACAAAATAAGGGATGTAAAGGCATACAAAACATGCACAACACATGCAGTTATATAATAAATGCAACCAAACTCATGCATATACAGAAATTAAAAAGATACTGTAATTTCCAGTTCCAAGGAAAACACACAAACAATTACGAGGACCAAGGTATAAATATTTCTAAAATAACACATTTTTCTAAAATTGACACCAACTGCAAAAAAGTTTCAGACAGCGTTGTCACAGGAAAAGGGAAATAACTAAGGATCAAATAAAAACAAGAGCACCACAAATGGCATTAACGCTCATCTTTTAAAAATTCTAAGTAAGAAGGGGCATTACTCGAAAAATATTGCTTTTAGAATTATGCCCCTTTGTCTAACAACTGCACCTTTTCATGATAAGCAAGTACCAAATTATTCCAAGTTTCATGTTGATACCTTTTGAAATGTTTGAATAATGGGCTAAATTGAAGTTATGCATGACAACCACAATTAACGACGATGCCACAGCAATCATAAAAGCTTGACTTTTTCTTCAAAACAGACAAGCTAATAAATAGGACATATTATTATTTTAGGATTTTACAGCCAAAATAAAATAAAACTTTACATGGGAACAAATCAAATATAACGTAACATATAGAAAAATAAAGAAAATAATACAGAATTTAATATTGCCAGTCTTTTGATGAAAACATTCTGAATTTATATTTATTCATTCAAATGATTTCTTTCTCTCGAAACAGTGTAATCAGAATTTAGATGAAAATCATAAAATATTAAATGAGGAAATGAGGTTGATAAATTTTTTTAAACATTTTAATGTGACACTAAATATTAATGATAATTTTGGCATACTGTCATAGTATGATGTTATAAAAGTGACAACACAATTAATTTAATGCCAGTTTAACGGCAAAGTTTTTGATACTGAATAATGATACAGCCAAATAACACTCTATATGACTGATGTTATTTGCATTCTGTAAACTGTTCTAATACAAGGAAGTTAGATCGTTTTGTTTTTTTTTGCGAGAAGATTGCATTATAATTACAGACTAAGACTTTCTATGTTATTTTTGAAAAACTGGTAATTTCAGTGTTAAACCATTAAGAAAGAAGAACAGATTTGTGTAAGGGGAGAAAACCACCTTGACTGTGCGATCTATACACCAGATAATGATCTTCGGTCCTTCCGTGCCGATATCGTGTGGTACGTGTTGCTTCGACTCAATCTGTATTATATCAGTGATAGAGAGATAGATACACACAACACGTGTACAAAAAATATGCACATAAAAAACATGACACATTTTAACACACACACAAGCTGAAATAAATTTTCACATTTTTTTTACTATAAAATTTTTAATTCATACAGATTTTTTTTTTCAAATTTACTTAAAATAGTTTAAGGCACTGTTGAATCTGAGGAGAGATCCCTCCAGATAAATGAAAACCTAAAATAAAACGTGAAAATTGCAGATTTGGTTTGAATCTAATGCAGCATCACAGATGTTTAAATTCCTATGTCACCTCACTTTTGTCATATAAAAATTTGAAAGTTAACCCTGAAGTTCATTTTGAAACAAATTTTGTACAGATACGATTTTGTACGAAGCTTGTGGTGTGTTTTTTGTACATTGATCGAGATATTTACAAAATTAACAAATTTATTGCTTTATTCATTTCAGCTTGATCCACATTCAACATTAATTTCATGTACACACTCACTGCAAAATAGGAAAAACAAAATCGCCAAACACACAAAGTTTTCACAACTCTTCCTCCCACACATCTCAGCCACAAAAGAGCAAAATCTATCAACAATATTGTGTTATTTTTTTATTAACAATATTGATATATTTTTAGATTGACAATATTTAGTTATGTTTCGATTGACAAATATTGAGTTCTTTTTAATTTTTTGATTGACAATATTGAGGTATTTTAGACTTACAAATTATAATATATGAAACACTGTCTTAAATTTTCTTTTTTTTCAAACAGTCAGTGTATAGATAGTTCCTGTGTTTTGCAATATTTACCTCCCTTGCTAAAAGTAGCTCCCCGTTTTCAATATAAGATAGTTTACAAGCAGAATCATCATGTTTGCGTTTAATTGTATGGCCATATATCTATGCTTTTTTGACAGTTTATACAGAACTTGAGTATTTTGTATGGGAGTGGGTTTTTTTATTTATTTATTTTACTATATATAATATTCCTTTTGAACAAAAAATCCTTTCTAACTTTGCAAGTGAAGAAACATTCAGGCAAGCCAATTTATCATATTTAATTTGTTTATCTTTGTGCAGAACTATCCTTTTTATTACAGAGTGAACCTATTCTTTTAACAAAAAATCCTTTATAACTTTGCAAGTGAAGAAACATTCAGGCAAGCCAATTTATCATATTTAATTTGTTTATCTTTGTGCAGAACTATCCTTTTTATTACAGGGTGAACCTATTCTTTTATTACTGTATAGAACAATTTATTTTTTGCTTAGTTGAACTATCCTTTCATTATCGGTTGGAACTATCCTTTGACAAATGGCACAGAATTACAAGAATAAAAGCACATTTTTACAATACAGACAGAATGATACTCTGACTAAATTATAAGTAAGATAAAAAGTATGCAAATCAATATTGTACACTTAGTGACAGTAAATCAAACATTTTTTTTAACTCAAAGAAGCAAAAATTGTTGCACCATTAAAATAACACCAATTTAATAATTGCTTAAACTTGAGACTTTAGCTTTCCTGCTTTTTTGTTCGCTGTTTGAATTTTATGTCATACCAACACAGTTAAAGGTAATCTGGCGACTTTCAAACTTTACTTGTGGTAAGACTTCTGATGCCCCTCTGTGCTTTATTTAAGACACACGCAGGTACCTGAGTAAAACCACAGATTCTCCTTAAAACTAGCTACATAGATCTTTTTCTTATGATTTTCAACTGAAAGTGCATTTTTTTTTGCGATGAAAGGTGAAACAGAACTTATATCACACTGCCTCACTGTAACACATCCACATCCTGTGTTGATACATACCACCCTTAAAACTTCCAAACATTTCTACGACAAAATTTCAAATAAATATCAAATAATCTTTTTGTCATTTAAAAATTACACAGCTCTGAAAGGTTTATTTACCTTCAGTTCAGGCTTGCCCACTAAGGCAATAAAACTAATACTTAGCCCAATTAATCAGGCAACATCATAAAGTTTAATGTTTAGGGACTGCACTGAGGTTTTGTCCACAAGACAAGACTGGAAATAACTTTTCCAGATTAATGTTCCATTTGAAGACTAGATCTTGAGTCGACCAAAATTTTTTGTGCAAAATATCAGATCATTCGCTCTCTCCGTTTTTCCAGGATAATAATTTCACTTGCGACAAATGACCCAAAACTATAAAGCATTGCAACGCTTTTCACTCAAATCGGGCTGAGGATATCACACAAATAGGATTTTCAATTTATTTCTGAGTATATTTCTTAATTATCTTTATCATATCTTTCTGTTTTAAGTGTCCCAGTCCATCTATATGTAACAAATTCAAAATTTTATGTTCAAACGGCCTTTTGACCTCAGTCGAGTCGTACCTTCAGATACAATTATCAATTTTCATATTTGAAATCTGACCATAAGTCACGCTACTACATCTTTATGCTAAAGCACGCCTATGATAAAACATAAGCGATCACGATCAATGATCAATGACCACTGAATGTATGAAAAAAAATAATAATAATTTTTTTTTCTTTTTAAATGTAAAAATATTCAAAGAATACTTATACAGTAGATATACAATTTACAATTTTAAAGCTTGTACCAAATTTTCTGAATTAATTCACAGTAAATCTGTAATGTTTATATGGCAATGTTGACAGTACTACCGTCAAAACTGATTTTTTATGTTTTATAACTTTCACAGACTTTGTTGTTGTTTTTTTTATTCCATGAAGTTTTTTTATAGAAATACACACAATATTCTATGCTTAGTTACAATTTTTTCAAATTAGACTTCACTGGAATTCTAAAATCTTTATTGGAAATGAAGTATATAAATAAAAAATAGTCAAAATAAAAAAAAGTTCAGCATTACACAATGGGTCGTAAAGATAATTAACAAGTTACAATAAAAGGACTGCAAGCCCTTGAAAAGCGTATTTGTACTCCTGAAATGTGACATTTTTCTATGCCATCTTTCAGTAGATTTCAAATTAACCATTAACCTGTTGAATCCGAAAGTGATTACCCTTTGCCAACAGTGCCGGGCGCCAGTATAGAGCCAGGCCAGCCTGCCCATAGGTAAAATTTGACCTGGCTCTGTACTGTTAACTGGGTAACTTAAAATTTTCATCTTAATGTCCCTAAATTTGATAATGAACAGTTCAAAAAGCTGAAGGCAGACAAGTTCATTCCAGAAATTCAACTGGTTAAGGATTAATTTTAATGAATAATATACATATACATGTATTATGATACACAATAAAAAAATTCTATGTGCAAAAAAAAAGGTGTACAATGAATTAGGCAATATATGTATACAATATGTTGAATTAATATAAAATGTTTACATTTGTACCTCAACCCTGTACCTATATCATTTTTTTCTTTGAGTTTGATCTAATGAAAGGGAAAACAGAAAATTCATAAACCAAATTGCATTTATTTTAAAGTAGACGAAAAAAGTTTCCTATTCACAAGATAAATTATAAATTTCAGTGTTTTAGAATTGCCTTGTTTTTATTTTAAAATTATACATGTAAAATTTATAAAAAGGGAAAACAATGTAATGTATGATAAACAAACAAATCAACGCCATACACACTGCAAATAAACATACTGAAAGTATTATTATGAAAATCATTTCAAAATCCATCAGAGTTGTCAGCTGTACAGCATGCTCTATTCCTGATACTAAAACAAGGGCAATCACCCAATGTAAACAATTTCAACAAAGGGGAATAGTGTAACCAATGTTATATTTTTAGGTATTGCTAAATGATCTACAGTTAAGAGCTTCAAGACATGAGCCTCAAGTTCTATGGATGACTGAAGTTGTTTTTAAAATCTGTAACCAATAATTTTTTTCTATATCCACAATGGGGAATAATTCAGTATCCCCAACCCCTAACCAAATATCTGAGAGAAAAAAAATGTTCAAATAATGAATCATGATTTATGATCCCAAAGTTCAATTGAATATCATCAGTGATTTAATGACGTATAAGACTATCAAGGTAAAAAACTTCATGAATTATTATATCACAGTGACAGCAGACAGTACACTGAATAGCTAGGAGAGCCCAACTATTTAAATTGTGCTCCAAATGATTTCTTATCTTTATCTTCAAAAAAACTAATTATACACAAAAAATCCTCAATAACCTATATTTGTTGAGTAAAAAAAAAAACAGAACAACGCTTCAAAATTAGAACAATCAAATGTTTGACACAGGACTAAACATGTGGTTGAAATAATACAATAAAAGTAATATTTCTAGATTGTGTAACATACCTGAGTTGGGCTTGAGCTTGTTGCTTCGCTTGCTGTTGAAGATATTGTGCTTTCCACTGGGATTCCAGCCTACAGAATACACCTCCTGCGTACTGGAATATAACAAACAACAAAGTTTGATTTCTAGCCTTAATTTCCGTTTTTTAGGATTATTTCATCCACGTTTTCTTTGAAGAACGGTAAATCTTTTCTAAATGAATAACTTTTCAAACTGCATTTGTCCTATTTTCGTATTAAGGATAATCAATTATAATATTGATTTAAATTTTAACAGCCCATGTCTCATGCTTGCACTTAGTACAGAAAAAAAAATTCATTAATTTTTCAGGCTAACTGTACCTTTAAACATAATTACTATAGCACTATTTTGATAAAGATTAAAGCACTGTCAAGTTTGCTTCCTAAAACTAACAGCTGGGTCTGGGGTTAAAAAAAAAATTCCTTAGCTCAGATCTCGGGCATTTGATAGGTCAAAAACCAGCACAGTATATATTGACCAATGACAAGTCTGAGCTCAGAAAAAAAAAATTATAATATGGACGCCAGTGCTTTATAATTTGACGGAACATGTGGTTGTAACAAAAGTATCAGCTCAAACTCAGATCTGAGGCCTCTGACTGGTCAAAAACCAGCACACAATGTATACTGACCAATGAAAATCCTGAGATTTGAGGAAGAGCTCAGAAAAAAAAAGTGTTTTTAACTTGGAGGCCATTACTTGTATCTAATGATGAAGCATGGTCTTTACCACAGTAGAACCATTAATGACTTAAGAGTTTTCAGAATCAAAGTACTAAAGTTTAGTTGCCATCATTATAAAGTCAGGGGCCAAGGTTATAAAGAAATTCTCCAAGCTCAAACTAAGATCTCATGTAATTGATCTTAGAAAGGATACTGACAAATAAAGTTCTTGAAATTTGAGACAAAACTCAGAAAAAAAGTTATATAACCTTGAGGCCTGGTCTCCCTGCAGAGATATGCTTGTCAATATTGATGGTATTTTATAATGATCAAGTGGCACCTACCTGAATACCTGGTGAATTTCACATAATGGAAAATAAAATATCATTTGAAATACCTCTTTCTTAGGTCTCTCAATTTTTTCTGGATTCAGCCTCAATTTAGTAAGATATACACGGATCTCTTTCATTCGCCGCAAATCTGAAACAAAAAAATGACACATTTGAAAGTTCATGTGTTAATTTAGTATACTCAAAACATAAATAATCTATGTCAATTTTCTAGCAAAAATTTGTATTTGCATAGTAATACAGTCTGTTTACCTTTGGGTTACTGTTAGTAGTATAAGCTGTCAGTAGGACAGCATGGTTCGACAATTCTCGGAGCTTCATAGTAAAAAATAGCCTGGATAATGCAGAAATTTCTAATTTTAAAAAGGACCATAATTCTGTCAAAATAAATTTTTTGAGTAATTTGAGATATGGGTCTCCTTATGGGTGACCTCTTAAAATACTCTCCTGTATGTAAAGTTTAAACCCATTCCTTTGAATAGTTTTGGAGATACCAATTTGCATGAAAAACTTGGCGTGAGACCCGATTTGGGGTACAATAGCTCTCCCTTTTCTTCGAAAAATTGAGCTAAAAATCAAATCTTTTGCATGTAAAAATTTGTGTAAGCCTCATGCTTTTTTGACATGCAGGGACAAACTTGGACTGAAAATTAAGGGAGATGCGACTTCTCCCTTCAGGAAAAATAGGGAGAAGTTCTGAAATTTAGGAAGAAGTCATGTTTACATGCACCATCTCATTAAATCAAGTGATAACATTGGATTTTTTTCTTCAATTTTACTTCACAAAATAATAACAATGTGTAACAAGCAGACCAATACATACATATAAAAATATATACATGTATATGACATATACATGTAAAATGAACAAATGTGTATTTGAATATTTATATGACTTAAGGAAATACTAGATCAACGTATCCTCATAAATTGCTCATGTTAGAATTTATCAATACAACAAACTTTTGGTGGTTCAACAGTTTCTGACACCATTTCTTGATGTAGTAAATCAAAATATTGATTTTTTAAGCCACGATTTGAAACATGTAAAAAAAAGTTGTATCCTTTACCTTCTGATCTCTGCGCATCTTGATTATATCTCATGGAGCGCCCTGTATCCCAGGCTGATTTCTTATTCTGGCTGTAAAATAATGAAACAACATTACAATATTGAAGTACTTGAAACATAGACACTTTTTAAACCTTTTTTTAAACAGTCTACGTATTTATGTATACATGTAATTTAGATTTTATCTGAATTACTTATGTTTTCAATTTTTCTACTTTTCTGTCAGTTTTAACAAGAGCTGTCAGTAGGACAGCATGCTCGACTATTCTTAGTGCTTGATAGTAAAAAAAATGCCTGATACAGTTACCTCCTCCTGTTTACAGGTTGGGGTCATGATGGTGAACAAGTGTGCAAAGTTTCAAAGCCATATGTCAATGGACTTTGAAAATATTTGAACTATTACAAAAACTTTAACGTAAATTCTAAGTCGAAAAAGGGGCATAATTCTGTCAAAATGATTGATAGAGTTACCTCCTCCTGTTTACAGGTTGGGGTCATGATGTTGAACAAGTGTGCAAAGTTTCAAAGCCATATGTCAATGGACTTTGAAAATATTTGAACTATTACAAAAACTTTAACGTAAATTCTAAGTCGAAAAAGGGGCATAATTCTGTCAAAATGCTTAATAGAGTTACCTCCTGCTGTCTACAGGTTGGGGTCATGATGTTGAACAAGTGTGCAAAGTTTCAAAGCCATATGTCTATGGACTTTGAAAATATTTGAACTATTACAAAAACTTTAACGTAAATTCTAAGTCGAAAAAGGGGCATAATTCTGTCAAAATGCTTGATAGAGTTACCTCCTCCTGTCTACAGGTTGGGGTCATGATGGTGAACAAGTGTGCAAAGTTTCAAAGCCATACGTCAATGGACTTTGAAAATATTTGAACTATTACAAAAACTTTAACGTAAATTCTAAGTCGAAAAAGGGGCATAATTCTGTCAAAATACTTGATAGAGTTACCTCCTCCTGTCTACAGGTTGGGGTCATGATGGTGAACAAGTGTGCAAAGTTTCAAAGCCATATGTCAATGGACTTTGAAAATATTTGAACTATTACAAAAACTTTAACGTAAATTCTAAGTCGAAAAAGGGGCATAATTCTGTCAAAATGCTTGATAGAGTTACCTCCTCTTGTCTACAGGTTGGGGTTATGATGGTGAACAAGTGTGCAAAGTTTCAAAGCCATATGTCAATGGACTTTGAAAATATTTGAACTATTACAAAAACTTTAACATAAGTGGTTACGCCGACGCCGACGCCGACGCCGACGCTCGGGTGACTGCAATAGCTCTACTTATTCTTATCGAATAGTCGAGCTAAAAAGTTTAAAGTGATGAAAATTAATAACCTTTAATGAATAAAATAAATTCTAACTAAACATAGTAGAATTGAAGCCTTTTTATTTGCTAACATAATCACTCCTAATTCCTATATCCAACACATAAATAAAAAAATTTCATTCTAACATTATATTTTAAATATAATTTATCAAACTTTTTTATACTGCATGATAGCTTAATATAAATAATTTCAATCTCAATGTCAAAGTATATTTTACAGTTATATAAAACATTTCCTGTTATATAAGAACTGAACGAGTTCTTACTCAAAACCAGGAGCATCCATAAGAATAGCTTGCGGATCAATCGTGACCCTTGACTTCTTTAAGCCCCGCCCCTTTCTTGCTGTCCCCTTGGGTTGTTCATCGTCTCCAATCTCATCATCGCTCTCGCCAAAACCAATGTCATCATACTCAAATGATACTTCACGATCAATAGTCAGGGCTTGAAGTCTCGGAACAGGCCTTGCAGACTAATAGAGATATTATGACAAAATACAATAGCAGTCAGGTTTGATTTGAATTAAACAAAGCAAGAAAAAACTTCAACATCACATCAAAATATGATACAATTATCACATAAGTACAAACCTTTGTGAGTGGCGTGGCTGAGTGGTGAATGTATCAGGCTAGAGAGCTAAGGATTGTTAACGGAATGGGTTCAAACCACACCAGGGTCTGAGATTATAAAGAAATTCTCTAAGAGCAAACTCGGATCTCGGATATCTGATGGTCACAAACTGTCACAGACTATATGCTGACCAATGAAATCTCTGAGATTTGAGACGGAACTCAAAACAATGCTTTATAACCTTGAGGGCTGAGAAGACAAAAATTTAACACTCATTGCGAAGCACTGGTTGTTTTCACTGTTTGAGGCCTCAAAAAGGGGGGGGGGGGACAAAATCCCATCAAAACACGTCTATATGAGGGAAAAGGTTAAAGAAATAAATTCTGTAAGAAGTAAACAAAAACTTTGTTTCAATAACCAGCCAATATATAAGATTTCAGGATCATTAAACAGCAAATGACACCTCAGAGATTAATTCAATTTAATGTAAGTACTGTCACTAAATCAATTAACTTACCTTAACACTATATTAAACCACAATATTAACCACTATATAAAATAATGGAATTATCCTGCTTTCAAATAAGATATGTCCATTGTCATTAAAGGGGATATTAAATGTTAGACTCATGAGTAAAGACAATGATCAGGAGGCATTGGGCAAGATTGGTTTGACTTTCTACTGGTTGCAAAATTTTCTAATTTTTTGGTTACTGAATATTATTTAAGCAGACAGTTACTATAAATACTCACGTCTGTCTTTGAATCATCTTCAACTCCGGATATAACGGAGGATATGGCCACGCCCTCTGACCTTGAGTTACTGGCAAATTCTTCATTCGCAAAGACATTCAGTTCCATTTCACTAATGTACATAAACAGAATTATAAATAAACTCATCATTATTCCAACAACAAATTCTTTTGATTTAGCACTTTTTTGTGACAATTTGTAAATTTGCTTGAATATTCAGGACCATTGTTCTTCATTTTTTTTTAAACCTGAAATTCAAAAACTATTCTATTGAAAGTTTGAAATTTCAATATATTAGATAAAAAGGTATGCATTATAAAAATTAAAGCCATTTTTGCATTTTTGAAAGTACAGTTGTACATTTTACAACATAGAGGTTTATAAAATTAAATCAACAAAATATTAAGTCACCATGCATAAAAACAAAGAAATAAGTCACAGTATCATTTTGTTAATGAGATCCTAAGAGTGTGATTACATCTAATAGTGCAATAACGGATTAAGTCCTACTAAATTTAATAGGTGTTAACCCTTTACTTCATGTGATGCTGTAACAGTAACTGCAATAATTACTGAATTAAGATTCTGAAAAGCAAAACAATACAGTTCATTTTGATAAGCTCAATAAATAACTATTATTATAATTTCAAAAAAATTTCTTTAAACAATAAAATTTAATTGTTTACAATATAGGTCAGTCTTAATCTCTATAGTTACTAAATAATTCTAATATTTAATGCATGCGAAATATTCTAATAATTTCATTCTATACTTTACATAAAGATTTATTTGGAGTATAAACTAATATACTTACCATTAGACTGTCAAATCAGTAAGAACTTATTGATTTGTCTATTTGATCAGAGAATCTGTTACTATGATAACAACATGTGCCTCATTTAATGTAACATATAGGTATTAATCATTATTTAATGAGGAAAATCATAAGCTAAGGCAATAAAACTAAAAACCTAACTATTCATTGTAATCGCTTGTATGCGTGTTTGGTTTCTTGTTCATGTGGCTAATGAAGAAAATTAAATAGCTCTATTGGTCAATTCAAATTGAAGGTTTTCAAAATCAACCAATCAGAATCTGATATTTGAGACTGGTCTACTTTTTATTTACAGGAAAAGGATAAATTCTGTAATTGCAGCTACAACTGTAACATTTCCTTATTTATTATTTGTGCACCAGGAAATATACAAGACTTCCTATGAATTGAATCGTCAATAGGCTATATAGCAACAGTTTTGTTTATTTTTAAGTATCTATTTATTATATTTTGAGGGGAGTAAGGGGAGGTGGACTGGTTAATTCACGTTAGTTTATAGCAAGTACTGCTGTACAAAAAAAAGAAGAAAGGTGCCTCTGTGTGAAATACGGTATTTCAGGCATCTGATTCAAACAAAATTTTCATAATCTTACTGGAAAAGCTTCCTGACATAGAAAAGAGTTTCAAAATTGCTTTGGTGATGGACAAGAGTTTAATAGTCAGTGATTTTAATCACTTAGTGATGGAGGTCTATTATTATTGTTTAAATCCACATATTAAAACATTAATATATTTAAAAGCAAATATAAAAATTGTCAATTTCAGAAATAAAATTGAAAAATTATAAGAGATGTTATGTTCGAGTAATTCATAAGAAGTTTTAATGTTACATTAAATGGTTAGAATTGTTACCATAGCAACAGGAAAGTTGTGTTCATACAATGACTTTAGAACAGTGGTTTTAGATTTCTATAAAAAACAGTGGTTTTGATACTAAGAGCATCTAAAAAAAGAAATTTTCAAAAAAAGAAAAGTAAATATCAGGAACGAAAGAAAAATGCAAACTAACCCTGAGAAGATAATGTTTTCATACTTTAAAAAGAAAATATATTCCCAAGACCCAGTGGGAGAAAAATTTTTAAAAACCCAAGACCCCGGGATGTGACTGTGCCCAAAAAACGGTTGACTATACATGTATGTCTACTTTTACTCTTTCCCTTCTGAAATTTCCTATATGGACTTGCCGGAATTCAATTTTGGAACAGTCCATTATCAATTTTAGTGATATCAAGATGGCAATTTTAAGTTTGTTGTTTGTATGTTGTAAGTACATAACCTAGTTAGACTGCAAAGATGGGCAGGCTGACCTAGGACTATTTAACTGGAGGTAAAGGCAGTCCACTTTTACTTTTAGGATTCTTTTATGGTTCAACTGTGCGCAGAATATTGAGCAATACATTTTCAAAAGTTTGAGATTAAAGGAAGTTTAAAGTTGAATGAAATGTACGAACATAATATCTGTGCACAAAATTTTCAGGAACGTTTTTTAAAACTTTGATGTGCTAAAAGGCTAAAGGGAATACAGACTACACTAAATCTATTCCACATTATGAATTCAAATAATCACTTATAACTTTAAGAAATTCTAAATAAATCATGCTTGTCAAGAACACAACTAGGGTTTAGTTTACAAAATGTTCGTAACCTCGAGGCCTGTTAGGAGGGTTTACTATAACAGACTCATTACCAGATCAGACACCTGGTATCTTCTTTGACAATCGCCCTTTATTTATTTTTTATCCAAATTAAAAAATTATACTAACAATATTTTCAGCAGACGACAATTTTCCCCAGCGTGCTTAAGGGTTAAACATGCAAGAATCTATCTCTGACAAGTTGAGACTATAATCATGTGAACATGCTGATATAAGATCTACCACTACCACTTCCTATACTGTAAACAACATATCGAAATATAATCGCACCATTAAGTTTGTACAATCATTCTTCATTTTAATTTCGTACAAATATCTTTGCACTTAAATAAGGTTCAAATATTTTTGCACCTTAATTAGGTACAAATAGCTTTGCATTTTATTTAGGTATATGTACATGTACAAATATTTTTGTACTTAATTTTGGTATAAAAAAATCTTGGTAATCACGTATCTTTATGGCACAATATCTTCTGTACCTAACTAAGGTTCACATATTTATTCACTTAAATTAGGTTCAAATATTTAGGTAAAAAAAATTGCTCAAACTTGTCATAAAAATCAAACCAAAAGCCTAATAAAACCTGACCAAAGTAACATTTTGTAGGTGTTTTTTTCCCCTATCAACTAAGGCTAAATCATACTGTTTTTTAACTTCAGCTTTTTGTAAGTGTTTTAGCTACAAACATCTTTTTTTACAATAGCTTAACATCAAACTTACGGAAGAGTTATACCATACAAGTTGATAAGACATTGAAATAAAGGGCAAGAATATCTCTTTTGTAAGGAACCACTGTAAATAATAATAATAAAGTCTTAAAGCCTACAGCATACATGTGTAATACAAGAATATCTGTAACATGGACAGATGCTACCCCAATGCAGAAGCTAAAATTAGAGCTTTGCTGTAAGGAAAATGTATTTATAGTCCTAGTGACCTTGACAAAAATGAAAATGTTAAAAATATGACTTATTGTGAGGAAAATCTATTTATAGTCTTAGTGACCTTGACATAAACGAAAATACTTAAAATATGGCTTTACTGTAAGGAAAATCTATTTATAGTCTTAGTAACCTTGACAGAAATTAAAATGCTTTAATATGGCTTTACTGTAAGAAAAATCTATTTATAGTCTTAGTGACCTTGACACAAATAAAAATGTTAAAAATATGACTTAATTGTTAGGAAAATCTATTTATAATCTTATTGACCTTGACATAAACAAAAATACTTAAAATATGACTTTACTGTAAGGAAAATCTATTTATAATCTTAGTGACCTTAACATAATCGAAAACGTTAAAAATATGTCTTTACTGTAAGAAAAATCTATTTGTAGTCTTAGTGACCTTGACATAAATGAAAATGCTGACAATATGACTTGACTGTAAGGAAAATCTATTCATTGTCTTAGTGACCTTGACATTAATGAAAAGACAATCTATTTACAAAAGGAATGAAAAAACCAGCAACTATTTGAAATAACATAAAATAATCAGGGAGCATAGAAAATGTGCAGAACATAAAAAATACATATGCTGTGTAAGTTAAAGAATGTGTAAGAAAAAATATATATGTCCTTTTCAGACAATAGTGTGTGCAAAATTATAGGGTATGTATATATTTTTAAAGCAAATTTCAACAATTGTGTTAATTTATCTATGTGTTAACTGAAATACATCAATTTTTGAATTGAGTAAGCTGAGTTTTATTAATACATAAAAAACATCTAAGAAATTTCCCACTTATTATGCTAAATTTTAGCAACTTTATTCATAAATACATTCACTTTGGAGGAAAACATAACCTTAATCTTTTAATTGTATCAAGATCTATAAAAATGTCTGAAGAAACATGTATGGTATGCATATTTTCATATGGAAGGAAATTGTGCCAAAGGTTAGAAAAACTAGAAATGTGTCAACAGGACAATAATGTCCCCATTTCATTTGTTGTCACACATATCTACATACTTTTGTGTCTTAAGTTATTGATTAGACAAGTGTCATGTGTCACTTTGACCATGACTTAATGGCAATTAAATAAGGGTCATATACTGGCCATGGGTAGAGTCACTTTGACTATGACCTAATGACCTTTAAATCAATAGGAGTCTTGTACTGGCCATAAGTACTGTCTTGTCTAAGAGTAACAAACTTAAACTTCATCCTTCTCAAGATATTGATTGGACAAGGGGTTTTTACATATTAAGTCCCAGTGACCTTGACCTAATGACCTCAAAATTAAAAGGGTTTTCAAAAGGCCATGGACAATTTTAAAAAAATCAGGGTTCATATGGGCAATGTCCCTACCAAGTTACATAAACCATTGCTTATTTCTTTCCATGTTATTGGTCAGACAAAGCATACATATGTACATATGGTCAGACAACTTTAATCACAAAATACTCCCCACTTTTTCAGTTGCAGCATAAGAGAAGAGAACAAGAACTTATTTGATCCACAAAATGGAGAAAAAAACACCCAGATTTGACATGGTTCCCTACTGGTACCCTGCAATTGATGTTTATATAGTGAAAAAATAAGCATTTTATATGTATATGATGCTTAGATTGTGCAAAAAATTAAGCATTTTATCTATAAATTAGGCTTAGGTGAAAAAAATAAGCATTTCATATATAAAAATTGGTAAAAAAACAATAAAGCTACGATAAAAATATTTTTTACCCAGTCATCCAATCATTGTATTTCCTACAGGTAAATGTGAGTCAATTAATAAAAAATCTTGGTGACTTTATCAAGGTTCAGAACTGTTTACAGGAGATTATGTGTCAGCAGTCAGATAGCTCAGTCGGTAGAGCCACGGAACGGTATTCCGAGGGACGAGAAGGTTGCACATTTTTCTCACCCTAACATAACTATTTCAACAAAAATACACAAGAGATCTAAGACCATATGTTAAATTAAAGAAAAAAAAGAAAACAGAACCCCACTCACCCATATCAGGGAGTTTTTAAAAAGTTTAAACAATTTTGTAATATCGACTACAGAAACTAAATTAATGTAAAATTTGATACTCATGGCATTTTACATATACATGACCTCTTACTGTAAATCCTTGTTATTAAAGAGATTATGGTTGTTAAATAAAGCCATTTCTGTCAGGAAAGTTTAACTGTTAATTAAGAGCAAATACCAATTATTACTTTATATAAAAACCCAAAACTGTTACATTAGACAATAAATAGTTATATGCTAGTATGGGCAACAGAAAATTAGTGGTTCTTCAAATTTAAAAAAAAAAATTCTGAGAAAACAAGTTTAGGCTAAATGTAACCGGAGCAATTAATAGATAATCATCCTATTTTAGACATTTCATATTTCAATCGATCAATCAAATGATAAAAAGACAATTTAAATCCAAACACACAAAACCAGAATTCACCGCAATGCAACAAAACTAAAGCCTATATTTACTTAACAATTCCTAAAATGTACCGACGAGGGGAAAACAGGAATTTAGAGCCCAATCAAAACACTTAGAAAACACAATGAACAAGAATTCTACACACTGCCACAAACTACTGTACCAAATTAGGCCAGGACCAATTTTCTATAAAGTTTTGAGAAAGTATTCTAAAATATGCTAAAACTGAGTCTTAAATTCTTTTATTATTAACATATGATCTATTTTTTCCAAGAAAGTTAGAAAAAAGTTAATGAAGATATTTATTCAGGATCTGTTAACCAATTATATAAAAAATAAATATTTTTTGCGTACACATAAAAGTTTATTATTACAAATGTCAGCATACTTTCAGATAAAGAACGTTCATCAATTTTATCTTACTTTTCAATTCACAGCTAATTCTAAACTACTCGGTTCAAGGTATCAAATAAAATTAAATCATGCAAATAATCACTTTAACAAAATGAGTTACTCTCAGAGACGAAATGTCAATGAAAGATCTTGAGAAAGATTGCTAAGTCCTTTGTACTTTGAGATCGAAAAAAGAGAGAAAAAAAGAAGGAACCGTTCTCTAAGAGTGTGTCTATAAGCTTATAGCTTTCTACACAATTGAACTAAGGTAATTTCTTTATAAACTACACTAAACTCAATTGAAATTTATGAAAAAAATGAAATTTATGAAAAACAAAATTTTATGAAAAACAAAATTTTGAGACAATTTTAATTCGAAAGTTGTGAAAACTTGGTCCTGGCCTATTTAATGGACAAGGAGATGTGGGCTGGTTGCTATATGAATACCTGGCGTCTGAAAGTCTTTGATATGGAACACAAATTACATCACGATGTGACAATAAATCATCATTAACTTTGTTTAACTGACTCTGGAGGTCATTCTCACTGCCCGGATTCACCTGCGCTACGTTCACCACGTGGTCTCGAACCCTGCATCCCTGTGTAATCAAAGTTCATATTCATACATGTTTATGAGTTATCAAGGTATTATTTTTCTTAGTTTTAAGTATAGCATATTATTAATATTTGATAATTTACGCTTTCCATGCCTATGATATGGAGTATGCCTGCCCATTTACGTACATTACAATCTATTTGCCTAAAAGATAGGTATCTCCATCTATGGAATATATATGTATAAAATGATTTGATTATTATTTTGCATTTTTTATTGTAAGTTTGGTAGGAAGTTCCGGAAAAAATTATTTTATTGTAACTTCTTCCTTCCTTCCATGAACGTTTAATTATAAATTCCAGATATCATAAAATAAAGTAAACGTAAGCATCTAAATGTGATCTAAATTCCTTTGAACTCTTAAAAATAAAAAGTGTGAGCACTTAAACTCAAGGCACAAACTATTTAAATGTAACAGTAATTTCTTTATATTTAACTCCATTGGGACCATTTAATACACCTGAGACCATTTAAGTTTGTACATGTCACATGGTTTATTATTAAAAGGATTTTCATCATAATATTCTCTTATCTCTAGAAAAGAATATTAATTTTGTAGACTTATCACATTCTCTAGAAACCAATATATGTAGACTTTATCATTTTCTCTAGAAAACAATATTTGTAGACTTTATAAAATATTTTTGTAGACTATCATTTTCTCTAGAAAACAATATTTGTAGAATATCCTTTGTGTGAACCCTATATTTATACCTTGTTTTGCTGTGTTGGATCAAACCTGAGGCATTTTTGGTGACAGCAAGGGTACGTCCCAACATAAGACGAGCTGCTCATTTCATTATCGTACCGAGGGGGTTCAGGATGATATTTACAGTGACCATAGTCAGTACACGAGAACGTCTCCCCACAGCGACTACACATCTGATAATGGACCGTTCCCCACATCCGCCAGTAAACTTCACGCCATGATTTAAGCTGTGTTTTTAGATCGATAAGATACTGGTTAACGTCAAATGTCGGATCCCGTATATGACAGAATGTTAGCTGTCCTCTCTTATCTATTGTCATCCTGAATAGCGTAAAAAAAAAAAACTTGTATCTTTTCTTACATCATAGTTTAAACAGACGAGTCTTAAAGGCCCATTATGCCTTAGAAATGCAATAATTTTTATTTCTCAAAAATCTTTCTATCTTTAGTATCTTGTCACAGTTTCCGAAAAACAATTCTTTTGCCATTAACATAAACTATCTTATGCTTATTTTGCGGTGTTTGCAAATGGTTTATTTAGTGAATTAGTACCTTGTATGGAAGTCAAAAACCTTCTGTGTTTACATTTTGCTACCTTAACAACACATCAATGATTGTTCAATGATACTTTTTCCGGCTGTTGAATATCTTGTATGCTCTAAACATTTATTAAAACATAATCAAACACAAGTAAGGCACTTCTAAATAATTGCAAAAATATGGATTTCTGAGGCATAATGTGTCTTTAAAGGATTCAAAATCTGTACAATAGCATAATGCAGTGTCCATTCTATGAGGGAAGATTCACTCATATATTTGAGAATTCCCCCTTTTTTCAGAGACAGGGGGAAAATTTTACTAAAAGAAAGAAGGAAAAAGATCAACAAATGTAATAAATTCTCATTTTTCGAAAAAAAAAAATCCCCCCCCCCCCACACTGTGTTTTTGAATCCTAGAATAGAATAGACACTGATTATGTGTAAAACAGTTTTAGCAAAAAAGATTCTTTGAATATAAGACAGAGAAAAAATTTACCAAAAGAAATATTTAATTAAACACTGACATTGCACATATGTCATCAGTTTTATTGAAACTTTACAATGTTTTATTCTTTTACTTTTAATTTTTTATACTTTTTATCTATGAACAAACAAAAATTCTTTGGATTATAGACAGACCAATATAAACTGAAGTGATATAAATAAACAGTTCTAACTAACCTGCTTGGCATACATTTGACTTTTCTCTCCAAGTTTCTGGTCAGCATCTTTTTACATATTGAGCACCTTCAAAAATAATAATAAAATCCAGTACTTTTGATGAAATTTCTATTTGACCAAAAAACATGTATAACTCATTAATTCATATGAAATTTCTATTAGCCCAAAATATAATTCATTAATTCATAGGAAATTCATATCAGACCAAACTGTAACTCATGAATTGATAAGAAATTCTATTGGAACAATATATAATTCATAAATTCAAATGAAAATCCTATCAGGGCTTAAAATATAACTTATTAATTCATATGAAATTTCTATTGGAACAAAATATAACTCATAAATTTTTAAAGAATTTCTATCGAACCAAAATATAAAAGCCAACTTATAACTCTTGAATTCATAAGAAATCTCTATCAGACTTAAATATAACTCATGAATGCATATAAATTTCTATTGGACCGAAATATAACTCACAAATTCATATGATATCTTTATCAAACCGAAATAAAACTCATATGAAATTCATTTGAAATTTCTATCCCTCCAAAATATAACTCCTGAATTCAAATACCTGAACAATGTTGATGCATTTTCTAGACAGTCCTGGTTTGTGAAATCTGGCTCAAACAACTTCTCAAGTTTCTTTGCAAACAATTTACTGAAAATTTGATAACAATTTAAAACATAAAATTTTAGCATTAATAGAGTATAATTTGTCAACTTAGTGCAATAACTGCTTAACTCCTATTAAACTTCAGAGGGACTTAACCCGTTTTTGCACAAAAGTGACGATTTGGCTATAACTCATTAATAGATTAAAACAATCCAAACAATTTGATAATTGAAAAAAAATCATCAATTAAGTTTATATCTGATACAAATAAATTGATACATTTGCAAAGATCCTAAAATTTTGCCCTCAACCTTTCAACAAAATTATAACATAAAGTCGAATATCGGCAATATCAAGTCAGATTTGCATGGCCTACTGAGATAAAATACATTAATCACAAAATAGTGTTCATCTTGTTTAAGCTTAACATCAAGATAAATTCTTGACCTTCCTGAGAAAAATAAATAAATAAATCTTATCCTGCAACACAATTTTTTCATGGTTTTATTTCATAAATATGATGCTCAAATTAAGATTTGTCAATATTATAAGTTCCAATAAGCATTATTTATAAAGATATTACCCAATTTAACATTTCAAGTAAATAAAGGGAGGTAATTAGAAATTTATTTTCTATAAATTCTAAGTCAACTTTTCCAATAAGAAATGAATGCATGTAATTTATTGATTAAATATAATGTGCACAAATATTTGCAGTGCACATTTTACATATTCTTCGATGTTTAAAAATTGTTTTCTTTGCATAATTATATACATATATAATTTTTTGCAAGTGTGGTATACACACAGTAACAATATCAATCACAAAACATATTGTTTAAAAAAAACTTCAAGATCAAAAATCTTCTTTTTTTCATAATACAAACAAAATGTTCTATCTTATTATGAAAACAAAGTTAATGATTAAAATCTAAGAATTCTTTTAGTATGGTTGTTTAAACATTTTACACAATTATTAAGTCAAGGTTTAAGCAGTTAGCATTTTTGTTAACCAATTGACACCCCCAATTAATTGATTTACACCATAGTTGCAAAAAAAAACAAAAAAACTTTGATAAGTCTGGAAGACAGTACAGGTATATATAAAACATAATATACCTTTTAAATTTGTCTTTCCTATCCTTTATATCATCAGCTTCATTGTGTGAAAATAAATCAGCAATTCTGAAATCGGGAAAGAAAAAAAAAGTCACTGTAAATAAAATGAGCCACCAGAATGAGGTTATTATAGTGCCAGTTATTACCAGAAACTCATTTATATTCTGGTGGGCAATTACCTGTGTTGCTGGATTCTAAACCAGGATAAACCTGTATTTACCTTTTAAACATGAACAATTCCAATTTGTTCTCACTCTTTCCACCCTGAATATCTTAAATGGACTTGTCCATCTTTTAATATGGACAAAACCATTCAACATTTTCAGGGGAAATTCTAAAATATGCACTGAACAAATAATAAACAGTGCAGACTATTATCAGATAGTACAGACATAACAACTAATTTTGGACTGCACTGATCATTACTGTGTATAACAAAATTCTACCGTTTGTCATGTGACATTTGGGCAAGAAAACCTTGCACTGTATAAAAAGCAGTTATATGATGCTTACAGCTCAACATTTAATGGGAAATCAAATCAAGAAATATATTCACATGATAAGCTATATACATTAACCTGCTATATGTCTATAATGGATCAGTCAAGCTTTGAATTTGGAACAGTCCATTCAAAGTTATAGAGATTTCAATACTAAAATACAAAAAGAGGCCCATGATGGCCCTGAGGTCGCTCAGCTGTATATAGCCCCCCCCCCCACCCCCCAACGTTGCAAGGCCAATTTTAACCCAAGGGCTTTTATTTGCACAAACTTTGTAGACACCCATAAGAAGATGTTTCATGCTAAACATCTAAGCTCTAGCTCATTGGGCTTTTTAAAAGAAGATTTTTTTTAAGTTTTTACTATACACATATAGTTAAAAACAATGACACCCCTGGGGCCAGGCCAGTTTTGACCCCAGGGCTTTTATTTGAACAAACTTTGTAGACACTAACTAGAAGATGTTTCATGCTTAATATCTAAACTCTAGCTATTTGGGTTTTTTCAAAGAAGATTTCAAGTTTTTGCTATACACATATAAGGAAAAGCAATGATCTCCGGGGCGGGGCCAATTTTGACCCCAGGTCTTTTATTTGAACAAACTTTGTAGACACTCACTAAAAGATGTTTCATGCTTAATATCTAAACTCTAGCTATTTGGGTTTTTTCAAAGAAGATTTTTTGAGTTTTTCCTATACACATATAAGGAAAATCAATGACCCCCTGGGGCGGGGCCAATTTTGACCCCAGGGCTTTTATTTGAACAAACTTGGTAGACACCTATTAGAACATGTTTCATGCTAAATATCTTAACCATAGCTCTTTGAGTTCTTTAAAAGAAGATTTTTTAAGTTTTTACTATATGCATATAGGGAAAATCAATGACCCCCGGGGCAGGGCCAATTTTGACCCCAGGGCTTTTATTTGAACAAACTTGGTAGACACTTATTAGAACATGTTTCATGCTAAATATCTTAGCTCTAACTATTTGGGTTCTTTAAAAGAAGATTTTTTAAGTTTTTACTATATGCATATAGGGAAAATCAATGACCCCCGGGGCGGGCCAATTTTGACCCCAGGGCTTTTATTTGAACAAACTTGGTAGACACCTATTAGAACATGTTTGATGCTCAATATCTTAGCCATAGCTCTTTGAGTTCTTTAAAAGAAATTTTTTTAAGTTTTTACTATATGCATATAGGCAAAATCAATGACCCCCCGGGGCGGGGCCAATTTTGACCCCAGGGCTTTTATTTGAACAAACTTGGTAGACACCCATTAGAACATGTTTCATGCTAAATATCTTAGCTCTAGCTTTTAGGGTTTTTTAAAAGAAGATTTTTTAAGTTTTTACTATATGCATATAGGGAAAATCAATGACCCCCTGGGCCAGGGCCAATTTTGATCCCAGGGCTTTTATTTGAACAAACTTGGTAGACACTCACTAGAAGATGTTTCATGCCAAATATCTAAGCTCTAGCTCTTATGGTTTTTTAAAAGAAGATATTTAAAGTTTTTTCTTTCGGTTGCCATGGCAACCAGAGTTCTGCATGGAATTAAATTCTTTGAACAATTTTTAAAGGTGACCACCAAAGGAACATTCCTGTGAAGTTTGGATGAAATTGGCTTAGTGGTTTATGAGGAGATGTCATTTAAAGTAAAAGTTTACGGACGGACGACGGACGCCGGACGGACGTCGGACGAAAAGCGATCACAAAAGCTCACCCTGACACTTGATGACAGGTGAGTTAAAAATTAGGCTGCCCAGTAAGTATAGGTTCCCTCGTTAGGCTGCACAGATGTGCTGGCCTGGCTATTTACTGGTGGAACTATAAGATGTTCAGAATGGCAAAGGCTAATCTGTTTTCAGCTAAAGAAGGTTAAACAATGACTTTAAATGTTTTTCTATTTTTAGCTCTGGTGGCCATCTTGTTCTGCAAACCGGAACAATTTGAGCAAATTTTATAATAAGCTATCAAAAGATCATTCCTGTACAGTTGAATCAAAATTGACCAAATAATTAAGGAGGAGATCTCATTTAAATGTTTTTCTGGGTTTTTTAACTATGGCAGCAATCTTGTACAGTAGACCGGAACAATATTAGCAAAGTTTTAAATTTATGCATTAACTCACCTCCCTACAAGTTTATCATTGATACAGTTCATATTACACGGTGTACTAACTATAGCTGACATGTTGCCATGGCAATATTCTATACATTCTTGCACCTGAAACAAAAAAAAATTCAAATAATATCAAGACTTTAAATATAATTAAAACACTATTTATCATAACTTTAATTATGAAGACAGTATATAGCTTACTGAAACTTGGTCTACTTCTTGTAACTAATGACACAGTTGTGTATGGCTTGAACTCATAATCCCCGAGTTGAAAGGCAAACAAATTAACCACTAAGCTACCACTCCCAAATATTTAAGCATTCAAAAAAGTAACTGACAAGTAAAATCACTGCAAAATCTATGTAAGGTACATTTTTTTTTTGCCAGTGATAAAAATTCATTCCTGAAAACTGTGAAATTAAAGTTTTAAAAAGACAACAACAGGCCAATAAGTAGAACTACAACTTTCATAAATTGGCCGAGTAGTTTCCTCACATATAGATGATTTTCGAATAGCAATTATTATCTCCCCTGGCTGTGATTTTGCGTGCCATTCTTAATATATTATATGCTTAAGTTAAAGGGACTCCACTGAGGTTTAAAAGCCTAGAAACATAACATTAGAATTTCTTACATAAATGAACTGGGGCGCTTTAAACAGAAATATATGCAAGATAGTTAAGAAATATACTTTAAAATAAATCGAAAATCATAGTTTTATGTTTTTCTTAGCCTCATTTGAGTGAAAAGCATTTAAACGCTTTTCATTTTGGGTCATTTTTTTACAATTTGAATAATTATTATATAAAACGAGGTGTGCGAATGATCTGAAAGTTTGCACAAAGATTCGTGGTCTACACCTACATCAAATGGTACATTTATCTGGAAAAAAATATTTTCAGTCCCATCATGTCAAAAAACCTCAGTGGAGTCCCTTTAAGATAAAAATCTCTCATAATTCTATCATATTCATGAAAACTGATCAAAATCTTTCACGTATTGGCGCTATAGTAATATGTTCATTCATATGTATAAAAGAATTTGACAATTCACCAAAATTAGCTGTTTATATTAATATTTTCATATTTTGTCAATTATATTATATAGAATATTGACCCACAAAATGGCTGCTACTTTCGCAAGGAAGGTAAATATTGTAAAAATCTGGAAAAAAAAATCTACTGAAGAACCTGACAAGAAATCATTAACACAGTGGTGACAAGTAAGTGTTTTGAAGACAGCATGTGCAAACACTCGGCAATGGAGTCTTTAAACACCAAAAGCAGCAGAATCATCCCAAATAAAGAAAAGATAGTGTTTTATAGACATCATAAAATATAAAACACAAAAAAACAAAACAAAAAAAAACAACCACATACCAAGCTATCCATCTTGAGAAAGTCTGATGATATTAGGATTGATATCACATTGTTTGGTTCTGAAATCAACAATATCAACAACATAATTAATAGTAACAATACTTGTAAAAACTTTAAAAAAATTGTTCTGTAAAGTAGATGCTAGCTTTACAGCTATAAAGGCTCGCAGCCTTCTGAAATTTGAATTCTATATTTTAAATTTAGAAATATATATCAATTAACAATGACAACAAAATGTTAACATTTTTACGATAATAAAATCTATGAAATCAATCTTGATGTTTTCCACAAAGAACATATAGTTTTTCAGTTTAACATTTTTGCAACCAACTGAAAGTAAATAAATTTTAATTACTGTTTGAGTACAGGTTTATCATCCAACAGACACATATTTTGGTATAGTACATTGTCAATTTGATTTGAAATATATAATACAGTGGATAAACAATGAGACTACTTCTGTTAAACAGTACCGTCAAACCTGTGGATAAACGCCATCAAAGGGAGACAAGTTACATCTTTATTCAGATTAAACTGTGTTGTATTTTGATAAATGAAGGTTTGTAAAAGAGTGGTCTTTATTTGAGGGATGATCTTTATTTGAAGGTGGTCTTTAACACAGATTTTACTGTATATAGTGATTGCCTTTATCCACTGTGTTTAAGGTATGGTACTTTCTGTTTTCTAGTCATTTGTATGCATACATCTAAATTACTTCATCAGCAATGTACAAATAAAAGCTCCTTTTTGTAATGTAAATTTCATGATAAAAATAGACATGACAGTCTGACAGACTAAATCAAAGATTAAAATATCATTAAAACCTTAAAGTTTGGGCCAAAAAACTTACTATCAATATCAAACAACATTACCTCCCCTGAAAATCTGAAAATTAGTCCAAAGTTTTAAGATAGTGTATGAATTAAGCTTAATAATAAATAAAGAGATGTTATGACCTTTCAATCACAATAATAATGTCAGTGTTGTTTTTTTGTTTTTTTCTCATTCAACCTTATGGGACCAGGTTCATCCAATTTAGAAACTAATTCAAGTGATAAAAAATATGTTATATAATAGGAAACAGAAAAATAACAGCAATTTAAAACAACCAAATCAAGGAACTTGAAACCATTCCGGGAGAGAAGAAAATGGCAATTACTAGTGATTTCCATACCACTCTTAACATGCTGAATTTGTAAAATGGACTTGCCCAACTTTGAATTTAGAACAGTCCATTTAAAAATGAAGGGATATCAGTATAAAAAATTCGCTTTTATAGAGCCTGGTCAGACTGCATAGAAATGCCAGTTGGCCTGGCTTTAAACTTGTGACAAAGGCTGACCTCTTTTGGTTCCAGCAAGTTCATCAAAGGTAAACTGACTGACCCTTCTAAAGATTGAAACAAAAAAAGCCACCACATGTAAATATTGTAAATCATTATAATACTAATTACTGAGGGTGCTTTTGATGTGTAAAAAAAAACAACTACGATACTGAATAATTATATATAAAATATAAGGATTATAAAAATCTACATATAAAGACTAACAAATATATGTGCGACACCTGTGATTACATGTTGATAAAAGTCTATATATAATATTCCATGTCACACAAATCATTGCCCCCAGAAGCGATGACTTAGACATGGTTATAAAAGAACATTTGGCAGACTTGCAGGAAAAGTAGAAAGAAAAGTAAAAAAAAATCAAATTATTGCTAAATTTACTTTGATCGTTTATACTCCATTACGGGCAGAATGTTCATTCAAGGATACTGCATCTAAAGTACCTAACATCCACCATTTTATTTTAACATCTTTGTCAATCAGTAGGCAAGGAAACTGCATCTTAAGTATGAAAGATCTAAAATCCACCATTATATTTAACCCCTATGACGACCAGTGAGCATGAGTGACAGATGGACAATTCAAACAGCATCTCTATTCTTCATAATCATTTGTGTAGCTTCTAACCTGCTGCAAACAAGTCATTCATCTTTGCCACCTGTAAAGAGCCAGGCCAGTCTGCATATCCATGCCGCCTGACACACCTCTCATAACTCTATAATGTTGGAAGCTCAATTTTTGTATTTTTATATTGAAATCCCTTTAACTGGAAATGAATTGTTGTAAATTCAAAACACAAGGCAAGTCCATTTCACAAATCCAGATGGTTAAGAGAGCAAATGTATTATTACTTTCTAAAATAACAGTTTTAAAGGTTATAACAATAACATAATTACATAAGAATATAATAATGTAATTCATAATCATTATGTAAAATACAGTAAATACCACAAAATATTGACGGTATTTCAAAACTCTAAACTGGATAAGATTTTTCAGTGCCTTGATCAAAACTGGGAAAAATTTAAGACAACAATTTCACAATTTCAAAACCTACATTATTTTGCAAAGGAACGTTTGGTTGCCTTTTCAATTTTACTTGTATAATTCAGTATTCCCTCAAAATGAGATAACTCTAAGTTTCATATTTTGAAGTTTCAATTCCTGTCCAAAAGCTGAGTGAGTCAATACTTTTTACACTAAGAACTTTATAATCTTCTGGCTATATAATTCAATATAAATTCAGCGAAAACAAGAAAGAAAAAAAATCTAACAATTAACAGAAATTGTATGAGCAAAACTTTGTACAAAAGAATCAAAATCCAAAATCTGTTTAAACATTCAACATGAAGAATAATTGTGCTTTCTTTCATATAAAGCAAACTTTTTAAAATGAGCTATTAATTTTTTCACAGCTTCAAAAAATTAAGATTTAAGCCAAAGCTTTTTCTTAGCATTATTACCAGCCCATTGTTAAAATTGCTACAATGAGTAGGGCAGAACTTTTTTGTGCCCTCTTTTTAAAACCTTACGAATCGCTAAATATCTTTAATGGACCTATACATCTTTCATTCTCGATTTAACCATTCATCATTTTAAGGGGGAATGCTGAACAGTGCAGACCATGATCAGAGGACACATCTACATCTGCACAACGTGCATGGGTAAATTTAGTTGCCATTGACTGGCAAAGAGTTAATGGACGCCAAAAAAAAGTTATTTTCAAGTTATTTAAACAAGACTGTTTCAGTTGAACTTTTTCTGAGTCCAGTTCATGATTATACTTTTGAATAAATGAAAACTACTCTAAATATTTCATACATGCATATTGTACTGGTCATGTTGGAACAAATCTGGTCATGTTGAAATAAATAATTATGGTCATGTAGGAACAAATCTGGTCATGATAAAACAATGTGGTCATGTTGAAACGAATGTGGTCATGTTGAAACGAATCTGGTAATGTTGACATGAATCTAGTCAAGTTGAAATGAATCTGGGCATGTAGAAACAAATGTGGTAAGTTGAAATAAATATGGTCATGTTGAAACTAATCTAGTCATGTTGAAACAAATCTAGTCATGTTGAAACAAATCTAGTCATGTTGAAACAAATCTGGTCATATTGAAACAAATCTGGTCATATTGAAATGAATCTGGTCATGTTGAAACAAATGTGGTCATGTTGAAATGAATCTGGTCATGTTAAAATTAATCTGGTCATGTTGAAACGAATCTGGTCATGATAAAACAAATCTAGTCATGTTGAAACAAATCTGGTCATGTAGAAAAGAATCTGGTCATGTTGAAATGTAACTTGTCATATTGGAATGAATCTGGTCAATGTTGAAACAAATGTGGTCATGTTGAAATGAATCTGGTCATGATGAAACAAATCTAGTCAGGTTGAAACAAATCTGGTCATGTAGAAAAGAATCTTGTCATGTTGAAATGAATCTTGTCATATTGGAATGAACCTAGTCATGTTGAAACAAATCTGGTCATGTTGAAACAAATCTAGTCATGTTGAAACTAATCTGGTCATGTTGAAATGAATCTAGTCATCTTGAAACAAATCTGGTCATGTTGAAATGAATTTGGTCATGTTGAAACAAATCTAGTCATATTGAAACAAAAATAGTAGTGTTGAAACAAATCTGGTCATGTTGAAATGAATATGGTCATATTGAAATGAATTTGGTCATGTTGAAACAAATCTAGTCATATTGAAACAAAAATAGTAGTGTTGAAACAAATCTGGTCATGTTGAAATGAATCTGGTCATGTTGAAATGAATCATGTTGAAACTAATCTGGTCATGTTGAAACGAATCTGGTCATGTTGAAACAAATATGGTCATGTTGAAACAAATCTGGTCATGTTGAAACGAATCTGGTCATGTTGAAATGAATCTGGAAACTAATCTGGTCATGTTGAAACGAATCTGGTCATGTTGAAACGAATCTGATCATGTTGAAAAAAAATGTTTAAAGTGAAACAGGTATACCATTATTAACATTGGTGATGTAAAATAAGACTAAATCTGACACCAATAAATAATGGGGAAGGCAGGCATAAAAAAAAGCACCATATCTAGATAAAAACCTGATCCAGTGTTGATTTATACATACCCATCTGTTGACGCTTGTTATTTTTTGCTGCTATTTTTTTGATAATTTAATATTTATAGAATATACCACCAAAAAATTTGGTACATAATTTAAAAATTATTGATTATGTTACAAATAACATACTAGTATTTATTCTTAATTAAGTATGTTCACTAAAATTTGTTTAAAATAGATAGAGCACAGTATCAAACTATTTTATTGTATATCTAAATCAAGAGTGTTGTAAAGAGTCTAAAATCGCTCTCTTGAGAGCTTATTGCAATGCAACATAAGTATTCTGCACGGAATGCAATTATTTGGACGATTTTCAAAAGTTTCATGAAAAAAAACCTCAAACAAGATTTGTTAAGACAATACCTTTGAAACAATATTTTATTTTGTTTTTCAATAAATTATAATGATAAATGTGATGTAATGCTATCTCTTATTGTTGATTCTTTTTGACAAAAGACAAAAAATGTTATGTTATTAAACTCAAGTAAAAAAAAGTTAAAATTATAAAAATACAAAAATTTAACCTAGTGCAAATAATTAACCTTACAAAACCAACCATTGCATACTTGGAAAAAATGAAAACTAATATTTTAACATGAATTTACTTATACATGTATGTAAACATTTTAGTTTTAAATCACACCAACACTATCAAGGTCATATGTAGACTTCCAAGCTTAAGAGTGGGAAAAAGACCTAAGGCCCCCCTCTATGCATAATTTCAGCTCCAAGAAGGCATCACAAATAGAACCACCAACCTTCGTTAAAGGTTCAAAAGTAAACAACATGCATTCAAAGGACGATAATTTTTTACTCATACTATTACATATTGAGAACATTTAAAATGACTTGAAACGCAAAATTACCTAGTTTGGGTTTATCACTGACATCACTGCGTTTGACATATCTCATCAGCCATTCAAAGATTTGAACGTCACAGTGGACAGATATATCAACTTCCTCCCAGCGTTGAGCATCCGTGGATAAATATTCCGCAAAATACTTCATCTCCTGCACCAGAAGGTCCCGCGGACACTGAAAATCCTGCTTCACTATAATTATAACAATTGTGATTTCAACAAAAAGATTATTTCATTTAAAGGAATAACAAGAGCTGTCGGTAGGACAGCACGCTCGACTATTCTAAGTGCTTGATAGTAAAAGAGCCTTGATAATGTTAAATTTTTTAAGTTCACAAAAGGGCTAATTTTTTTTTAAAAATTCATGTTATAGGCCTTAGAGAGAGTCTAATTATACAGAATTGGCTTGACTATTCGGAAGGTAATGTCACGAGGGTGCTTTATTGAGTATAATAATACTAATTACCTATGAATACATAAATTTGACAGAAAAGGTACAAAGGCTTGTTATTAAGATGTTTTATCAAGTAAATAACTGCTTTATTATTATGAATGCATAAAATTGTCCCAAAAAAGGCACAAACCCTTCAGTAGTTATTGAGATAACAGCTTTCAAGCAAAACTTTACCATGAATTTCTAAGTTGAAAAAGGGGAGAAAAATCAGCCTCAATGCAAGATAAAATTATGGACCTTTGTCAGTGACCTACAATTATGACCCTTAATGCATATGTGAAGTTTTAAATAAATATCTTTAATAGTTATTGAGATATGTAAAACTTGCATGTAAACATTAACCAAGAGACTAAGTAGAAAAGGGGATATGAATCAGCCTTAATGCAAGATAGAGTTATGGAACTTGGTCAGTGACATATAATTATGACCCTCCAATTATGACCCTAAGTGCATGTGTAAAGTTTCAAGTAAATATATTTGAAGACCTTTAACCAAAATTTCTAAGTTTCAAAGGGGCAAATAATTCTGCAAATATTGCAGTCAGAGTTATGCAATTTTGCAAACTGATGTACATTGTTACTATAAAAAAGTATTTTAAATTTCAATTGAATATCTCAAGCAATAATTGAGATATTTGACTTTACAAAAAACTTTAACCAAAATTTCTAAGTTAAAAAGGGGCATAATTCTGTCAATATTGTAGGCAGAGTTATCCAACTTGTCAATCTGATGTAGCGTGTTACTATAAATAAGTATTGTAAGTTTCAATTGAATATCTCAAGTAATAATTGAGATATTTGACTTTACAAAAAACTTTAACCAACGCCGACGCTGACGCCGACGCCGGGGCGACTGCAATAGCTCTCATATTCTTCGAATAGTCGAGCTAAAAAACGAATATTCTAGTGTTACCTGTTTTATATTTATAATATTAATATTCACCCTTTAAAAAGAGGTACCATGAAAAAAAAATTTCGTATTGAAATCAACTGTATAAAAGGGGAATTAAAGTTTAAATATCAATATTTATTATGCAAGAATAAGTTCTAAGGTGCCACCATTTTGACAAATTTTTACTCTCACAAGACTTGCTGGACTGAGATTATGATGTGACACGCCCACTTGTAGTATTACATACATATACAGTGATATCCTTATTAGAATAAAATGTTTAGTAACAAAATATGTCATTGCTTTTAAGGGACTCCACCAAAGTATTTTGACACATAGGGACTGGAAATAATTTTTTGAGATTAATGTTCCATTTGATGTAGGTATAGACCAATAACTTGTGTACAGAATTTCAAATCATTCGTTAACTCTATACTGACCCTAATTTGAAAAGCATTGCAATGCTTTTCACTCTGCAATGCTTTTCACTCAAATAGAGTTAGAGTAACACATAAATATGATTTTCAATTTACTTATGATTTTCAATTTTTTTCCAAGTATATTTCTTAAATTTCATTTGCTTATCTTTCTCTTTTAAGTGCCCCTAGCTGATCTATATAAAAATTCAAATTTTATATTTTATGCTTTTGGACCTCAGTGGAGTTTCTTTAACAATACTTTAGTTGGTTTAACAATGGTTGCGCAAGTTTTGCTTGCTTAACAGAAATTTACATACTCCATTCATTCAATTGACATGGGTATGTAATATACTTTGTACTCTTCAGCACGGAGTTTAATGGGTTTTTTTTTATTATATGTAGACAAGAAGTAACTTACAACTTTTAGCTTCATCGCATACATGTATGACCATCATTGGACTGAAATATAAATGATGAAAAATTTACAAAATAAAACAATAAGACCTGTCTGGTTAGCCCAATAGGCAGAGCATCGGTCAGTGTATCAGGCAACCCGGGTCCGATTCCCAAATAGTGCAGATCGCATTTTCATTGTGATTGATCATGAAATCCTTTTAGTGGTTATTCTATTAATAATAACATTATCTAATTATTACCATATGACAATCAAACCCCATTCAGCATGATTTAACATTATTGGACTACCTAGTAAATCAATATTTAAAGGGTATAAATCTATATCTTATGAAATATTTTTATAAAATTTTATCAGCAGTAAAATTATATTGGTTCCATTATCATTCCCAAAAAAAGTTGTAACATAGAATGTCTCTGTTATCTAATACACATGAATAATATACATAAAAAGTATAAAATGTTCCAGAACAAATTATTATTTTGCTATTTAGTAGGGTTTTATCCATTTAGCAATGATTTTGTGCATGCACCATTCCCTTTTATTTAAGGCAATAAATTACCATATTTATTTCATACAAGCATTTTGGAAGTATATTCATTTTTTTTTTAAATTCAAACAATATTTTTTGTATCAGATATATAGCTTTATACACTTTAACTCACCCTTTATCTCCACTCTTTAAATCACTGGAAATATCTTTCCCTGTTAAATCTTTATCATCTTTGCTACCTGTTAATTGAATAAATATACTGTAAATCACTTTATATTCGCGTGATCTTTATTTCACGGAAACCCCACCCCCGGATTATTTCGCGTATTCATGAATTCGAGATGGTAGGGTAAAAAATTTAATTTCGCGATTATTTGAATTCTATTACCGCCATATAACAGGGTAGGTTGATACTTTGTCGCTCTTACGCAATGTAAATTAATATTAATGGTGCTAATAAGAGTCGATTTTTATTTCATATACAAAATATATCTACATACATGTAATTGACTTATTATGAACGTTTTTTCTAATCATTTGTCAAATTTGTTTTTGTTTGCAAATACCGTGTTTGATAAAACCTTAAATGTTTGTAAGAAGGTGTTATATACTTGTTTATAATACTTAACATACCGTATGAAAATTGTCCGTTGATCACTGTTTTACCGTAAATCTATTGTTATCTAAACAATAAGTGTTCACATTTGTCTGTAAAGTGCAAAATTTGTGGATATTGTCTCTTTTTGTGTTTAACATGCATGTATTCATGAGGAAAAAGGAATTGGAAAAATCTTTAACCTTCATATCATTATTATGATGTAAATAAAACATTGCACATATCAGTTATTTGCATTCAGTTATTGTATTCATTATAAAACTTAATCACAATTCGAAAGAAATTGTCATCAGATTTTTTTTTAATAATGTATGTTACGTTATAAAATTTACGCGACATCATGAATTCACGACGCGGCCGATTCGCAAATAATAGCGAAAATAAAACCATCGCGAAAAATACCGGATTTACAGTATCAGTATATATGTTCTTAGTTAAACAGTCTATATAATGAATTTACAAGAAAATACAGCATATTTGCTGTCTTTAATTTAAACAGAAATGTATACATAAAGGTCAACATTATTAAAAATGTTTAAATTGTAATGACATTCAACTTTACAAAAATGCAGTAATATAAATAAAACATACCATAACCTTAGTGCAGTAAAGGGTAAACTCCCAATAAGTTAGTTAAGGAGTTAACCTGTTTAGTGTTACTGCACTAAGGTGACAATAGACTTTTAGAATTACCTTTAGGTTTAGCAGAGCAGGGTCTACTGCTATTTTTACTCAGATCTGAGTCTGACATGCCAGAAGGCAAGGAACCCCCTTGCCCTGTCATGTTTTTCTCAAACTGGTCAAAGGGAAGTAAATCTCCACTGAACAGCAACTCTTCATATCTCCTTGCAACCTGACATTTGAAAACAATTTAAATCTCATAAACAAATCTACACAAGATTATCATTTCAAACAATCACAAAAATGTTACTGCACCTCCCTTCAGAATTAGCTGATAGCAAATGTTAAGTTTATACAGAATTTTTTTTATCAAGTATGAAGTTATTTAAGCTCGAAGTCATTCGTCAAGGTTAGATTTTTTTGGGGTTTTCACCTGTTTTATATGATGTGTATAACATTACAAAAATGTGTGGCAATTTGTTTGACGCTAAAATTTACTTTAATCAGATTATTGTACTAAGCATCATGTGTAATAATTAGTTTCTTGTTCAAGGAAACAACAGCTTGCCCCTGCTTGCTCAAGGAAACAAATTCAACAAGATACAGGCTTGCCACTGACAGGGTTTGAGCAATCTATAACTACTACAACTGCTAAACAACTCAGCCATGCTACCAAACTTAAACTGTGATAGCAAATGTTTGCACACTTGGCCTAATGACACATCAGATAATTATATCAGAAATAAAAATTTCCTGAAATTTCTTAAGTTCGGATTTCTGAAGTTCAGCAACAACTTTATTAAAGTCTTAACTTTCTTTATTTAAGATCTTTAATTAAGATTTTTATTGTGTAATATGAAACTAAAATTATTTATGATTCTCTATTTTTAGAGTTGTCATAATTTTGACTATATTAAAATAATCCTTACCATTCCTGCAGTGGTTCCTGGTACAAGTCTTGATATTGCTTCCCAGTTTTTGCTCTGAATGTGATTAAAATCTTGAGAAGCTATCAGAGTTTTAAGTATGAGATCCAGCGCCACTCCGGCCCTCGATGTTGGTTCCACTGAACCCATTGTTATATACACCTGAAATGATTTTTTCTTTTTGTGTTATGTCATTTCAGCAATAATAATATTCAGTGTGTCAATGCTTTTAGCTAAGATTTTTTAACTATCTGAACTGAGGACCAGAAAACCACAAACCATCCATGATAGTGGTTGGCAACTTGGCAATATATGCTAGCACAATAAGGTTTTACAAACATAAAAATGTTTAACTTTAAAAGACAGATTAAAGTTAGATATAGAAAGATTAATTTAAAAAAAAGTAATTCTGTAAGACCAGTTGCCAATAGCATTCTTCTCAACTGACCTGTGAAGTGAAATTATAATTTTGCAATTTAAAATTAATTTTTTAAACAATTAGTGAATTACAAAAGAGATAGTAATTGGGACGGGTCACTATTTGATGGGAAAAATCCGTACCATCTCACATGTGACAATGTAAGAAACAATATATAGATATGCTATTAAAATAAACAATGACAAGTTAATTTCAAAATTCCAAGTCCAGATAAAAAAATTGTAGAATCTAGTGCCTAGTGGGAAATGCACTTAATTATTCGTGATTGCTTTACGCTAAACTTTAAAGTCATAATTATTGAGTCCAGTGACATACATATTTAATGAATAGCATTCTTCTCAACTGACCTGTGAAGTGAAATTATAATTTTGCAATTTAAAATTAATTTTTTAAACAATTAGTGAATTACAAAAGAGACAGTAATTGGGACGGGTCACTATTTGATGGGAAAAATCCGTACCATCTCACATGTGACAATGTAAGAAACAATATATAGATATGCTATTAAAATAAACAATGACAAGTTAATTTCAAAATTCCAAGTCCAGATAAAAAAATTGTAGAATCTAGTGCCTAGTGGGAAATTCACTTCATTATTCGTGATTGCTTTACGCTAAACTTTAAAGTCATAATTATTGAGTCCAGTGACATATATGTTTAATGAATGGCAAATGTATGAAATGAGTATTTCAGTAAGTATTCAATTATCATACTCTTCAGATCTGTTTTAAAGCTGGTCACCATCCAAAATCCAAGGACTCTAAGTTGTGTAAAAATTGACAATTAAATGAACGAAAATATTAAATTGTTCAAATAATAAAATTATATTGCAACTAATTGAAAGATCGAATCGGATTTAATTGCACTGCAAATCGATATCAATCACTTACTTTGCTACAATATCAACTTGATATAATATAATAAATAAAATTTCGTTCTGTAAAATTTTCAAAAACGGTGTAGCGTGAGAATTACACTTCAGAAATGTTTCATCTGAAAGCATGAAAATGAAAAATTCTGAAAAGAAACAAATTTTATTGGAAATAAAGGAGAAAACAAGCAATTGCCTTAACAGTAGAAAGCACGCAAATGATTTGATTGAAGTTATTTCTAAATTACAGGTACAAATTGTTCATAAGTATCTTTTTTGTTAAATTATCTGATTTTGTTTATCCCAAATCAGCCAATTTGGACCCAATTTATCCCCTAAAGACATGCCATTAAAATTACTCATTTAGTGTCACTGATCAACATCTGGAATAGTAATATGAAAGTAGGCGGAACCTATGGACGGGGAAGTCAGAGACAAAAAATTTTCATTTTTTATTTTAAATTCTAAAGAAATCTGAACAAATGAGAACAACACTGAGACTGTACTAGTTCTGGCTTCCATAACTTTATATGTCGCTTTTATTTTGACGTTGCGACAGTAAAGTTATGGGTCAATCCTATTTGCAAAGGCTACCAGAATTTGACAGTTTGTGCGCCGTACATAAAAGCCTACTAAAATCACCCTTTTTAATCAAATTTGGGTCAAATAAAAATATCATTTGATAAACAAATCAATTTTGAACCAATTCATGTGTTGTTTTTAAATGTAACTTCAATGACATTGTGTACCCAACTATTTTTAGAGAGATATGTAGAGGATGTTTACCAATATGGAGTCTGCTTTCAAATGAGATCTCGCGGGACTTCATGTTTTGGAAATTCTAACATCTATTTTTAGTAACGGACCATACACTATTTTTAGTAAGTGTATGATTTTATATAAAAACAAACAAATAATTCATGAATCATCACTCAAAACAATATAAATCCAACATGTTTTGGTACAATGTCTGTTATTGAATAAATACACCGTTATTCATAATTGCAAAGCCATGTTTTCAATTAAAAATAGCATTTGGGTCACGTGTCACCAAATGTCATGCAAATGTATCCGAACCTAAATTCTCGCTGGTCATAATTAGGGCAGCAATGTCGGCGAGTTTTATGAAATGTGAACCCGCTGATAAACTTTGAGGCAATATTTCATTAATCTAACATTTTGTGTTCAAAAATATAGACTGAAGGGTCCCAAATATATCTAACTACCTGTATTAAAATAGTTTTTGTCCAGATCACGCAAATTTATTGAATTACAGCATGACATAAAAATGTCACGGGTCTGGTTGACTTTCGATACGGGGTTGGCTTCAGCGAACAGGTCTAGCAAAACTATAAAACCTGTTCGCTGAAGTATCTTTAGCTAAGACTGTACTGGCATGCGAGCAGTTTCCGTACAAAAATCAGAGTTACTTAAACATTATTTTTTATTGCGCTCACTCACCAAAATTTGAATGTTACACATCAATATTCGGCTCGTCACACAAATCATGGAAATTCCATCATGTTCTAAACATAGAATAACCCTTACTTATGAGGCCTCATATGGGGTACCCAAATTATCCATTATTTTGTATGAAGAGAAGTAGTTCCCGTACATAAAATCTAACCCATTATAATTATACAATTTTATTATATCGGAATAACCCTTACTTATGAGGCCTCATATGGGGTACCCAAATTATCCATTATTTTGTATGAAGAGAAGTAGTTCCCGTACATAAAATCTAACCCATTATAATTATACAATTTTATTATATCGGACCTATTTTTCATTTACAATTGTTGAACAGACCATTATCTAAGAGATAAATAGATGTAATTCAGGAAATAGAGCGTAGACTAAACGCGGGTATCTATTACCCGGTACCGTTACCCCAACGCATTCACATGCAATAGCATGCTTGTATGCATGATATTTTACGCATCAAAGGCATAAAATTATTTTATATTGTAATATTGGTCAAAATTCTGATAATTAAACAAGTTTTCATCACATTGCCTACTTATTTGTAAACAGGTGGTATTAGTGGAAAACCCTTTAACAAGCCTCACGTGTAAGTATTTTTGCGCATGCGCGCAATGACGGAATCCCCCAGAGAAAACAAGGTCACGTTTTGACGACGCACAGGTGAAAGTGATTTAAAATGAGACTTTTTATACGTACTGCCAAACTGACACTTAGATTTTGTCTCGTTTATGTATCTGCTTGATTTGAAATGAATTTTTGAAGAATGCAGGTAAAAATCGAGCGTTTAAATGAACGTACGGGAACTGCTCGCATGCTAGTAAGTTACAGCTAATATGAAAGAAAAAGGCAAAGCCTCAAAGCAAGCTCGAGTTTCTTTTACTGTAAGATAGTTTAAAATAATCCTTCATTTTTATTTTACATTTTCTGTTTTAAAATTGTCATTCGGTATTTTATACACTGCTTCCGTTTATTCTGGTTCCCCCTTTCTATTATGGTTCCTTTATAAGTGTGCAGCACACCAGTTAGTCCAATATATTAGACGTTACAGGCTTGTTATAGTTTGTGTCGGTCAAGCCTGACGTCTAACGCATAGCATCATAAAAAATTCAAAAAATGTCTATTGTCTTGCCTTTCAAGCTTTATTCAAAAGCTTATCTTCTTTTCTTTCAATTTCATGCTCAATCATACACAAAAACTCTCAAACAGTGTACTTATCAATTTAAAATAAAATATAAACATCAATCTATTTTTGTCTATCAGCCATACTGGTTTAGCAAGGTGCTTTACAGATTGATTCCAAATTTTTGAACGGAAAAATATATTCGAACACACTGACATGTGCATGGGCAATTATTTCGTTAAAAAAATATTCCGTTAGATTGTTCTGATTCAGTTAAACGCTTGCATTTGAATTAGCCAATCAGATTTCGCGCACTTTATGGCCTCCATTTGTTTATCGGCTGTAAAAAGAATTGAAATACATGAGAGGATATAATCATGATTTTTCGGATGTGACAGTTTAATTATTTTGACAAAAGGTATTTATATTTTAGTTTTGTTCATAAATAGGTCAAAACTAATGTAAATACACGCTGTCTATATTGTTTTTCGTTCCGCCCGATTTTCTGGCGGAACATTCTATGGGTTTTTGAGCAATTTCGATATGACGTTGCTTTGCCCAGAAGCAAAAATATCTCAAAGCGACGTCATATTTATAGGACTACACACCAATCTACGCTTCCATTTTCAATCAGAGTACTTCGGCTTTTATCGTTATCTTGTAATTCGAAAAGTTGTGATGTATGACTATCCAATTCTGTATTTCGAATGAAAGTTTTCAAAACCATCACTTAGCAGGTACTAGCGTTACCGTAAAGCTCGCTTTGCGAGCAGGCCCTCTGGGCCAGCTCGTCAAGCTCGCTACTAACGCTGTCAGATGAGCTCACCAAGTCTATGGACCGGCATAAACAACATGACCTCGCAGTGCTGGAATTCAGCAAAGTGTTCGACCGAGTCCCACACAGCCGCCTGCTAGCCAAGCTTCATCATTATGGTATCAGAAACCATACCCTGAAGTGGATTGAGGCATTTCTCACGGGCCGCACTCAGCGCGTAGTCATTGATAGAGCATCCGTTATCAGGGGAGTCCCCCAGAGAAGCGTGCTCGGACCCATACTCTTCCTGGTCTTCATCAACGACCTGCCACTCCATGTCACTCTTTGTGGACGACTGTGTGGTATACCGGGAAATTGTCACTGAAGAGGACTGCCACATTTTACAGGATTACCTGAAGAAGCTGGCATTGGGGCATGAGTTTCCACCCAGAGGAGTGCAGCATAATCAGGGTCCACAGGAAGAGAAACACCATCATATACCCGTACTCCTTGAAGGGCCACACACTTGTGATAGACTCGACAGCCAAGTACTTCGGAGTCCATATGTCCGGAAACCTCTCCTGGAACCAACATGTTGACAAGATTGTGAAGAAGGGCAACAGCACACTCAGCTTTCTTTGACGCAACCTGTGCATCAGCAACGAACAGGTCAAGAGCACAGCCTATATAAATGTCACTTGTGCTACCAGGCCTTGAATATTGCTCCACCGTCTGGAACCCTTATACGAAGGACCTTACACGAAAGCTTGAGATGGTCCAGAGGAGAGCTGCAAGATATGTGATGAACCATTACCACAACACCAGCAGCGTATCCTCCATGATCCAACACTTGGGGGTGGGAGACATTAGAGTCATGACGGACCAAAGCCCAGCTGACCATGATGTTCAAGATCACCAATGACCTTGTGGACATTCCAGTCAGCGATTTCCTCACCCCTGCCCCGAGCCACACTAGAAGTGACCACTCCAAGAAGTTCCATCAACCATCCACATCCACATCGTACTACAAGAACTCCTTGTTTCCTCGTACAGCCACAGCATGGAATAGGCTACCTGCCCCCGTTGCAGAGGCCCCCGACTTGGTATCCTTCAAGCAGGGGTTATTATCCCTTACATTCAAATCCCCCATTAGGGGCCCAGCTACAAGTACCCATTAGTGATATTCAAGGCTGTGCCAGCCGCGGCCACCGTAACCGGAAAGGTTTGGGTTAAAGAGGCAAAAATGTAGCTGGCCAGACTTTTTGTCTATATCTCTTTCTTTTGACCTATCCAACCTCTTCTAACTTTCTATCATTTCACGTATATTTCTTTTTCTTGACCTAGCACCACCCGTCGTGTTATAATCAAGTGTGATTGCGCCGACGTACGATGTAGATGTAGAAATACCAATTAATATCAGCTGTCTGCCAAAACATACAGGTATATTGGTGTAATTCATAAAGATGTAGTTTGTCTTGTAAATGGCTTACTTGACATGGTTTTCTCTTTTCAAACAATATTTATCTTGGTAGCCACAAACTTCAGACTCCAAGTCAACTTCGAAAGAACAGTACCTTCTCTTAAATAGTAATTCAGTAACTACTTCTGTTCAAACTTTTAAAAAGAACAGCATATTTTTAACATCTTATAATTGCAATAATGTAAAGCTCACTTTGGTCTTGCTAATAGCCTATGTAAGTTTAAAAATTCAATATGATTTTTTTGCAGGATGACGAGGAATCTGTCGTGCTTGCTAGTATACGTAGTGTACACAAATTATTTTCACATTACCTTGAGGTTGGTGAGATGTTGATGGAGCAGGACTCCTCGGAAGGTAACTTTATCATTGTACTGTAAATACACTTATTTTCACGGGCATGAAATTTCGTGGTTTTGTCACAAAGGACATCTCATGGACTCTTTATTTTGTGGATCATTGATTTTGCAGAAAGTAAAATGCAAATAATGTTGTGCAAAATAATCTTGCAGCAGATGAAATGAAATTTCATTTGATCTTGAATTTGTAGAGTGACCTACAATGTACATTGTATCTATGAAAACCACAAAAATACATGTAAATGCCCTATGGTAATAACAATTTTGCAGTACCTTTAAGTAAGATAAAATTTGAGTTCACAAGTACTTAAGTTTTCAAATTGTTTTAAATCATTTGTTTGATTCTTCTATTGGCTAATCAGTGATGTTCTGGCCATGACCAGCACCATGACAAAAAAAATAGCAGTAGGATTGCTCGAGACATTTACAGTTTCCCGCCAAAGTAAAGGGAAACAAGTCTTGCAGAAATAATGCACCTATAAAAACACTTATAATCTGAAACATAGAGCTTGTTACATAATATATAAATTATGTATTTGAAGATGATATTTGATATACTTACAATACTCGTTAGTACTGACCACATTTTAGATTTATCAAACGAAGACAAATATAAACAATGGTTGAGAGATAGATATAAAGATGCAGCACAGAGTTTGGTAGAAATGTTATTACATAGTAACACAAGTGTACAGGTATGTCAAACATGTATGGCATTTGTTACATTACAAGTAAAGTAAAACGTTTGAGTAAACATTTGAGTTTGTATGTTGTGACGTTCCGTAAGCTAGCTGGATAGCTTCCTCACATGAAAGTATCCAAAGTCCCTGTCGGGATTCGAACCCACAATGGTGTTCATTTGAGTAAATGTGGTTGATTGATTACATGGCAGAAAAGTTTCTGCAAAATGAGTTGTATTATTTTCATAGAATTTGATCATATAAATACACTTGGCAACACTTGGAAACTGCTACTAAGAAACTGATTTAAGCCTAGCCTGAGGCACTATCTGCAGATTTAGCCATTAGGAAGGTATCCAGCTAGCAAAATGTAAGTGATTCTACTTGGGTGCGGGTTCATACCTGAAATAAAGCACAGAAGAGCACCTGAGGTTTGCCTTCACCAGTAAAGCTGGAGAGTCGCCATATAACCTATACTGTGTTGGTGCGATGTAAAACCCAACCAAAAATTTCAATTGGAAAAAAGACACATTTAATATTGTAGTATATTCAGTCATATTGTAACACCTTGTAACATGATTCAATCATATTGTCACACCTTGTAACATGATTCGATCATATTGTAACACCTTGTAACATGATTCAATCATATTGTCACACCTTGTAACATGATTCAATCATATTGTCACACCTTGTAACATGATTCAATCATATTGTAACACCTTGTAACATGACTCAATGAACCAGTATTTGTTGTTGTTAAATTTTTAATTTTTTTTATTTCAGGAGCTAGCATTGTCTGTACTCATGAAATTGATTGTAAAGGAATCAAACTTTCCAGTGTCATCAAAAGATTGTACAGATCCTTTCCCCCACAATCTTTTTAAGGTATTTAAGTTGTATGATTTGTTTTGAAAAAATAAATATCATTGGTTAATTGCAAAACTGTTGTAAGTCCTTCTTTATTTCATATACATGTAAGTTACTGCAGTATTGCAGTCAGTTCTCAAATTATGTAGTGTATGTCAAGCATCTCTTGCCAGTTTTGAAGGTTATATTTAATAACTTTAAGGGTCAGGTATACTAGTTTGTAATGTTTAAAAGTGTTTCTTAAAGATGCACTATGATCGTCTTTTAGTAAAGTATTTTTATTGCAGAAATTAATTGAATTCTATGCAATTCTTACGGAATATGTCTTATTTAAATAAAAGAACATACAAACTATTTATGGGAATCTGTGTTTATTTTCATGGGTCAAGTAAAGATGGCCCCTAATGACACTTATATAATTATAGTGTGTCCACTTATAGTGTGTAGGATTTAAAACATAACATATCTATTTTGTGTTAAGTCAAAATGTGTTTATTTTACTTGAAGACGGTGAAGCAATTATCAATATTTTCAAATATCAAATTTGAGCATAGTATATCTTTAACATAATATTTAACTGTGTCAAACTTTTCGTTAATGATAAATTGAGCATTTTATATACATGTACACGTACATGTAACTAAATAGGTCAGTTGGTCAAATTTGAAAATTAACACTTAAATTTGTTCTAATGCTGCACTTAAACAAATACAACCTCGTAACAAAAGTGTAAAATAATATGTTAAAACTGGACTGTTTCTTGTAAAACAATTTTAGCTGAAGGTTCTGGCTGGTGACTTATTACCATAATAAACCTCTTGCTTACTCCCTGCTTGTGAAAGTTTACTGTCTCCTCTTCAAAACAGATGTTTTATCAATATGAAAAATGTATATAATTTCAGAATATGTGGGCATTGTTGTTGTCAGACGAAGTAAACAACACTGGGTTATTACAGAGATTTGAGGAGTATTATGTATATGATGACATTAGATACCATACAATGAAACTCATACTGTCACTGTGCGACCACAAATCTAAACAGGTGCTCTTTATGCTCAATATTCCTTTCTAAATGTCTTGTAGCATTGTCATAATTGTGTTCTCTTAAGGTTTTGAATTGCATAGCAGTCAAGTCAAAGAAATCCAGTAAAATTAAGGCCCATTATGCCCCAAAATGTTTCTATTCTTGTCTATTGCCAAGTATTTCAGTCCAAATTTTGTATTTCAGTTCACTTAATGAATAATCCAGTTAGAATTTTTTGTTGCCAATTAATCAAGTTCAATTTTGTGTTGCCGAGTAATAAAGTTCTATTCTGAACCTATTTACTTGTAATTTAAAAACACAATCAAACTAAAACAGATTAAGATAAATTAGTTTAAAGTTACTTAATAACTTAAGTCTTAATTTCTGAATAAGTACATGCACATTGTTTAGAAATCAGCAATTAAATTTATTGATTTCATTTTTCAGAAAATCACAGAGACGTGGTTAGGAAATGTATTTGCAGTGTTAGAAAAATTGACAATACCATCTGTGCAAAAAGATGAACCTCTTAAAAAATACTTGTGTGCAAAATCAGGTACATTTCTATCATTTTAATGAATAGTATGAGTCAGTCATTAAGGCTAAATGTTTGACTGAGAGCTTACTTGGATTATTTTCTTGAATTAGCAGGATTTTCAAAACTTCTAGTAATCCTTTTTACTCAAGACTTAATACTACGTATGGTAAAAGAGTGGTAGATTCAAGATTTTCAGACTTTTGGAAATGAAAGAGTGCAACATCCTTCATGCCCCCTCCCCCCCCAGTGGCACTCAATTTTCAACACTTTAAAGTACATGTATAAGAATCAAACATGTGTTTGTTCAAAACCTTTATTCATGGATATTTATTACTAACATGTGCCATTATGGTGTTTCAAGTTTTGTGGAAACTTTATTGAATATCAATTTCTTGGTTTCTTGTATAAGGGGCATCCATGGCCAACTGGTTAAGATCATTGACTTCAAATCACAAATCCCGGCAGGGACTTTGGATTCTTTCATGTGAAAAAGCTAGGATGACTCGGGTGCCAGTTTGTGCCTGAAATAATGCACGGAAGGGCACCTGAGGTCTTCCTCCACCAGTAAAGCTGGAAAGTTGCCATATGACTGTGTTGGTGCCACGAAATCCAGCTAATGGTCATTTGCCTCTTGACAATATTTCAAAAATTGTTGAATTTGGACGTTGGTCACTTTTGATGAAAAAAACAAGTATCCTCGAATGAATAAAATTAGCCACCCGTAGCATTTCTAAAAAGTGTAACCTGTTAACAATACTTGTCTTTTTCAATCATGTGTTGATGAAAATTTATCTATACATAAAATTTCCTATTTGAGGCAAAAATATTGCATTGTGTTCTTGCACATTTGACATCGCATGACAATATGAAAGGCACAAAAAAATATAATGCGAATCACAAACTAGGACAGGGTCAAATCTACAGCACCCACTGAAAGTATTTTATCTTTATTGATATATTTGTGTAAATTGGTCAATAACATCAGTGTTTGTATAATGTAATCATGACAATATTTTGGTATGTAAATGCAGGTCAAAGTCAGAAAATAGCATCTGTGGTAGAACAGAGACGTTTGTATTCATGTTCCTGGGTGGAATTTCTGAAGTTTAAGGTATGTTGCTTTGGATTCAAATCCCAACATGGACTTTTGATACTTTCCTGTGAGGAATGTATCCGGCCAGCTTCCGGAACTTCTGTGGTTCTACACAGGTGCCAGCTTTTGACTGAAATAATGGGCGGAGGAGCACCGGAGGTTTTCCTCCACCAGTAAACCTGGAAAGTTGCCATATGACCTTGTCTACAAAATGTTGTGTGACTTAAAACCAACCAAATAAAGAAAGGTGTAAATATGATTTACTGGTTTAATTTTTTTTAATTTTTTAGCTTAAATAGTCTCCTTTCATTAAATGAGTGGAAATTATCTAACTATGATAACCAATTTATTGCCATACAGTAAAACCTCTGAAAACCGGACACTTCTTGGACTTGACCAAAATTACTGTCTGGTTTCAGAGGATTTTTCATGCATGTTACGCATAAGTAGCCATTGGAAATCGTCCTATTTTTAGAATTCAGAGGTTCTGGGATTTAGAGGATATTTTTAATGATACTTTCCAGTTTTCAAAGGATTTTTCATGCAGGTTAATTTAAGCATAAGTAGCCATTGGAAATCATTTTCAGAACTCAGAGATTCTGGGATTTAGAGGATATATTTTCTATGAAGTTATAAGGAAGGAATACAGATTTTTAAAATGGTCCAGTACTCAGAGGATTTCAGCTTTCAGAGGGTCTGGTTTTCAGAGTTTTTACTGTACCTGTAATTTTCCTTTAATTACTTTTAGCTTGTATCTACATGAAATATGTTTTGTATTTGACAAATTTTAATGAGAAAACAAAATTTACATTGATGAAAATTGTTCTTTTAATTTCAGTTGACACCAACATTATACAGGAAGGTATTAGTGATTATACATGAGAAAGTCATGCCAAATATAGCCTCACCACTTGTCCTTAGTGACTTCCTTATTGAGTCTTATAATATAGGTAAGTAATATCAGTGTCAGAACCTCTTATACTCAGTGATTTTCTAACTGGTTGGTTCCCTTAGCTCAATATAGGAGAGAGGATGGAATTTGTAACCCAGGGGGTCTATGGTTTGATCCTTGGATGAGGCAAAAATTCTCTGTAACAGTTGATCTTGGAAATTGTGTATGATGGTAATTTGTGCTGATTCAGAAATCACGTGGGATCAAAGACAGTATGGTGGAATGACAGACAAGATATGACTTAAAATGTATTAAAATTAGGGTAAAATTGTTAAATTAATGTTTGTGTATAATGTTTTAAGAGGTCATTTCTATCAGAATTTCATAGCTTTGTTTGCAAGAAAACCTTTTGTATCTTTTGTTCAGCTGTAGTAACACTAAATGTGAAAAATATCCATTTTTTAATTATCAGAAAGATATTATTAAATAGTCAGCAGTATTGAGTGAAATCAAACTTCATGAAGAAGACATAGGCTGGTCTGATCAAGTATACATGTTGATAAAAATGGGAAGTTATAAATGGCATTTACGGTAATATGGTTAAAGTAACATGTATTTTTACAATTTTATTCAGGAGGGGCCATCAGTCTACTGGCACTCAGTGGTTTGTTTGAATTGATACAGAAACACAATTTGTAAGTGACTTTAAAACTATTGTGGCCATTATCTTGCCTTTTGTCTAATAGCATGTCCTTATGTAGTTGAGATTGGAGGGTGTCCATGGCTGCGTGGTTAAGGCCGTTGACATCAAACCTCTTGCTTCTCACTGCTGTAGGTTCGAGTCATGCCAGAATCTTTGGATTCTTCATGTGAGGAAGCTATCCAGCTAGCTAACAGAACATCAGTGGTTCTACTCAGGTGTCAGGTGTCCATTTGTGCCTAAAATAACTGTCAGAAACGGGGGGAGAATGTAAAAATACAAATTTCATGAATGACTATAAGTGGCCCTAAGGAAATACAATGCAGTTCTTTGAATGAGAACTGAACTAAATCAAATTTTAGATAATAACCTGATGTCAGTCTTGAATGATTTTATTCCTATGACTGAGCATTACCATCACTGCTTAACTAAATCAGGTTTCTAAAAGCTGTTTAGTAATCTTATTAGTAAATTTAAATACAGATTTTTTAGCAAGAATAATACTGTTCCTTTTGTTCAGCCTCTATGAAATATTTGTAAATTTTACAGCACATTTCAGAAAACATACATTGTACATTGTTGTTTATTGATTCATTTTATGTTTCAGGCATTACCCGGACTTCTACGAGAAGCTGTATGCAATGTTTGAACCAAATATATTCCATGTGAAGTACAAGGCCAGGTTTTTCTATTTAGCCGATCTTTTCCTGTCATCTACGTGAGTACTCCAAGGATTTGTTAACAAATTTCATTGCTGTTCAATTTAACACTTCAGTAATTTTCCTTCTTTTATCCGCCTATATGACTGAAATACTGTTGGGAAAAGGGGTAAAATGAAACAAACAAACACAGGGCCAAAACACCATTTTTTGGGAAGGGGCCTCAGCATTTTTCTCGGGGAAAATATGCGTGATTTTAGCATACTTTGGGAAAAGGGGTCTTAAATTTAACACAAACTTTTAACAAGTTTTTCAAAATAGAAAAAGCAAAAGCACTGGGAAATACTAATAAGGCAGTAAAAGACCTTAATTCAACACCATCATTTAATTTTGTTCTAAATTCTACGGGAAATTCAAAAGGCTGGGGAATTTTGAGGATTAAACCGGGGGAAAAAAGGCTAGTTTGGTTGGGGAAGCAGCCTATATTCGGCCTCTACAAAGAAGGGTTTTTTGGCCCTGAAACAAAATCCTTCTTTTATCACAAAGGCCTATAATTAAAAGGCCTCTTCCTAATTGAAATATTCTTTAAAGTCATGCAGTTTTCCCAAAAATCTGAACTTTCACCAGTTTTTCACTTCCCAATTTAGCAATTTTAGCAATATTTTTTCCCAATTAAGTGAGAGAAACCTCTTCTCTTATCTCTCATGAACCTAAAGATATACAGCCTCTGCCACCATGAGGGAAATATGTTTGCAACCCTATTAGGGCTTGATTTAAAGAACCCTAGGTTGTGTGTATGACTGAAAAACCACTAAGTCACCGCTCACCAATTTGGTTTAGATAAGCAAACTCGGTTTGCAATGACATGATGTTAAGATTGTTAGGTATAGATTCTTTGCTATTAGGAAAGGTTCAATGCATTATCCATTGAATAATTCTTTTAATCCACAGTTCAGCTCATATCATAACATTTCAGTTAAAATGGACTTAAGCTGGAACAATTTTCAGTATCAATGTACATTGTAGTAGCTTTAATGTTTTTGTTTATTTTGTGAAATAGGCATGCAACAATATAAATTGATAATACATGTATAAAGATTAAAGATATTCTTCTTTCTAGAATTTCTTCTGAAAATAAAAAAAAAACTACATGTGTTTATTGCACCATGTCTTTAAAGGCATGGTTACACAGGTAAATTGGATTAATTGCTGTCTTAGATAATTATGTAATTCACATAAGAAGAATGTTACACATTACACAATGTGTAAACGGACAGTTTTAAATGTTAAAGGCCCTTTATGCCTTATCAATTGATTTCTCAAAAACTTATTATTTTTGTTATTTTGTTAGTTTCCCAAATAATACTCATTTGCCATAGTTACACATGAAATATCTTTTGCTCTGTTTGCTGTTAGTATAATATTAGTAAATTAGTATTTTGTATGGACGTTTAAATACTACTTTGTTTACATTTTGCTATCTATACAACACATTATTGCACATTTAGTGCTACTCTATTCAGTTATAAAACATCTAACATGCTCTTAAATCGTTATTAGGACATTATTAAACTCATGTTTGACATTCCTCAAAGATGAAAAAAAATACGGATATGCCTTTAAGAATAATCAATAATCAATCAACTATTCTTTAATGTATCTTTTCCAGACATTTACCATCATATTATTAAACTCATGTTTGACATTTCGAAAGATTGAAAAAAATATGGATTTCTGAATCATAATGTGCCTTTAAGAATAATCAAAATTCTTAAATAAAAAATCAATTAATTATTCTTTAATGTATCTTTTCCAGACATTTACCATCATATCTTGTAGCTGCCTTTGCTAAACGTCTTGCTAGAATCTCTCTGGTGGCGCCACCTGCAGGACTGTTGGTGTCAGTACCGTTTATTTTCAACCTGATTATTCGGCATCCAAACTGCAAGTCACTCATTCACAAACCTGATATGGAAATGGGTATGCCATATTTATTGGTTCCAGGTCTTTACAGGCTCCTGACAGGAGTCCTTTAGTTAAGTTGTTATTGTCCTTCAAATTGTCCTTGTTTGTTGGAGAGAATTGAAATAACTGATAGGTGTAATATAAGGTAGTGAATTTTTTGTTATAACCAGTAAGTGTAATATAAGGTAATGAACTGTAATAACCAGTAAGTGTAATATATGACAATGAATTGTAATAACCAGTAAGTTTAATATAAGACAATGAATTGTAATAACCAGTAAGTGTAATATTAGACAATGAATTGTAATAACCAGTAAGTGTAATATAAGGCAGTGAATTTTTTGTTATAACCAGTAAGTGTAATATGAGACAATGAATTGTTATAACCAATAAGTGTAATATAAGACAATGAATTGTAATAACCAGTAAGTGTAATATAAGACAATGAATTGTAATAACCAGTAAGTGTAATATAAGGCAGTGAATTTTTTGTTATAACCAGTAAGTGTAATATAAGACAATGAATTGTTATAACCAATAAGTGTAATATAAGATAGTGAATTGTAATAATCAGAAAGTTTGATATAAGGTAGTGAATAGTAATAACCAGTGTGTTTAATATAAGGAAGTGAATTGCAATAACCAATAAGAGTAATATTAGTTAGTGAATTGTTATAATCAGAAAGTTTGATATAAGGTAGTGAATTGTAATAACTTGTAAATTTAATATAAGGAAGTGAATTGTAATAACTAATAAGTTTGATATAAGTTAGAGTATTTTAATAATCAGTTTGTGTAGTACAAGGTAATGAATTGTTATAACTAGTCAGTTTTGCATAAGGCTGTGAATTTTGGCAGGTTTAATGCAAGGAATAGTAGGTTTAGTGTAGGGTAGTAAATTGTAATAACTTGCTAGTTCAATGTAAGGTAGTGAATTGTAATATTGTTAAGTTTAATTAAATGTATGAATTTCAGTGACCAGTAAGTTAAAAATAAACTAGTGAATTGTAATAACTGGTAAATTTAGTGTTAGGAAGTGAATTGTGTTAAGATTTTCTTCTTTATTGTCTTTTATTTTTTTCTGCAATATTTAAGATTTTCAACAGTGTGCTTATTCTATTTCTGATTTTCAGTGGTGAACTTTTGATTTTCTATGGTGTCCTTAAATTTTCTGTTCTATTTTTAGATTTTGATGATGACCCGTATGACCATTCAGAGCAAGATCCTGCCAAATGTAAAGCCATGGAGTCTTGCCTCTGGGAACTTCAGGTAATAGTATTAGCTACACACTTATTTGAGCTACTCTAAAGCCAAGCTTTCAGGAGGTAACAGTTATTGGTCCCATACGATGAAACCTGGTCATTAAACCATATATGGGATCTATTTTTAGACATTACAACACCACAATCCTCTAAATATCTAATGCAAGTATTCTGTTTTCAGACATAACAATATCACAATTGTATAGAAGTTTAATATATGTATTCTATTTTTAGACATTACAACATTACAATCATATAGATGTTTCATATATGTGTTATATTTTTAAACATTACATCATCACAGCAAGGTGTTAAATATATGTGTTCTGTTTTTAACATTAAAACATTATATATTTTGTTCTATTTTTAGACATTACAACATCACTATCATCCGGATGTAATCAAGCTTGCAAAGAAGATTTATGAAGGGGATATACCAGATAGTGTGCTGGACTTGTCAGACAAATTTGAACTCTCTGCAAATGATGTAAGAACATTTTATAACTATCATGCTTTTTTTGCAATCATTAAGGACTACAAACCCTAATAAATCTGTAATACCCCGGTCACATATTCAAGGAAAACGCCTACGGAAGAGCCACGGATTAATTCCGGCATCGTCCGTAGTTACCCGTACTGGTCAGTAGCTCTCCGTATTGTAACTGTGATCAATCGTAGTAGTCCTTGTATATCCGTAGCGATCCTTGACAATTTTTGAAAATGCACAAAAATTTGCTACGGAAAAATCAACCGTAGCGTATCCCTATTAGTCCGTATTAAACCGTACTGATACATACTTGTCCGTACGAAAACCGTACTAGTCCGTACTGATTCGTAGGCCCGTGCTTGTCCACGGTTTGGTACGGAGAACTACGTATTTGTACGGTTACCCTACGTATAAGCTACGATTTTAATACGGATTAATACGGCATTATCATGGAAAGTCACGATCGTAGTACGCTGTACTACGGAGAGGCAACGATTAGCACAGTCTTACACGGTTTATTGCGTTGCATTACGAAACGGTACGGAATGGTACGGTCCACCACTGTTTAGTACGGATAAATTAAGTATCATGTACTTTTTCAAATGTACAAATAGCACCTGCTTGTTAAAAACAGATATGTGTTTGAGCATTCAATAAACTGGCTGCAAATGTATATTGATGTAGCTCAGAATACGGAGGCAGTGGTCGAGCTGCTTGATGACATGCATAGAGGTAAAAAAAATATGTTAATATCGTACAACAATGCATAAGTAATATAGTAACATATAAACATTGAATTGTGAAATTGGAGTAAATATGTACATAAAACGAAGTGTCTCATTAGCCTCGGGCGCTGGCCCTTGAGTGATACTTAGATTAATTAACAAGCATTTTACATATTCTTACACGATAATTTTGTAACTGTAAATGAACAGCACATTTTAAAATCAAAAGAGAAGCAGTATTTATCAACATTTTTCATTAATGATTACTAGTCAATATCTAATCAGGTAAGTGAAGACAGAGGTGATGGTTGACTAGAGATGGGCTTTTACGAAGACCCCTTCATGTTTAGTATGAAGCTCTTACGGCCGAACTTGTTGAGGATCCGGTGTCCTTCAAGAATTTCACTATAATCTGACCTGATGTCTCGGGGGGTCGGACGCGATGAGGCCGAATCCTTTCCGCCAAAATCATTGAACTCTGCAATTCGTTTTCTAGGTGTTCTTTTCTTGTGAGACATTGAGCATGCAAGAGGTTGTGGACGGATATAATATGTTGTTTAGATCCTTGGCAATTCGTTCTTCTCCGTATCAATTCGTTCTTCTCCGTATCAGACCGTACTTATTCGTACTAACCCGTGCTTATACCGTAGAAGACCGTAGTGTATCCGTAGTGCGTCCCTCCTGATTCGTGTCGCTCCATATCAAACCGTGTCGGTCCGTAACAATCCTTGTCTCTCCCGGGGCTTTTGGTGGTAAATCCGTCGAACTCCGTACTCATACCGTTGACTTTTCCGTAGTAATCCGTGAACAATTAGACCGTAGCTCTTCCGTGGCATTATCCGTGAATATGTGACCGGGGCATAACTATGGAGTAATTTCAACTTACTTAGTAATAAGCATAGCCGTTTTTCGTCTTCCTTTGATAATTTCATAATTACCTGTTTTGAGGTCCACATCTTAACTAAATAGGGAGAAAATCTGATAAGTAGTCCAGGGTTTTTTAGTTCAATTCTTGGCATGGCATAATTTCTCCTTGGTGATTGGTCCTAGACATTGAGTCTAATGGTCCTTTGTCAGTGACCTTTGATTTAATAATCATATGTGATAAGTAGTCGTTCACCTGTGGAGAAATTTGTAACTACTGGATATTATCCCCCCGCCGATGGAATCGGGAGGGGGATATAGTTTTGGCGTTGTCCGTCCGTCCGTCCTTCTGTCCGTCCGTCCGAATTTCGTTTCCGGAGTAGTTCTCTGCAACTACTGGCTGGAATTCAACAAAACTTTATGGGAATCATCAATATCAAGAGGAGATGCGCATATCGTCGGCTTGTTCCGGTCAGACCCTTTAACTCGGAGTTATGGCCCTTGATTAGTTATGTAGTATGCATAAAGAGTAAAAATCGTTTCCGCACTACTTCTCTGCAACTACTGGCTGGAATTCAACGAAACTTTATGGGAACCTTCAATACCAAGAGGAGATGTGCATATCGTCAGTTTGTTCTGGTCAGACACTTGAACTCAGAGTTATGGCCCTTGATTAGTTATGCAGTATCCATATAGAAAAATATTTGTTTCCTCTCTACTTCTCTGCTACTACTGGCTGGAATTCAATGAAACTTTATGGGATACTAAGAGGAGATATGCATATAGTCGCCTTGTTCCAGTCAGATACTTATAACTCAGATTTATGGCCCTTGATTAGTTATGTAGTATGCATACATCTCATTGGCATTTCCAGATTTTACTATTTAACACAAAGTTATGGCTCTGTTATTGCCCTGAATATTTATCAAGTTCAAAGAATATTACTGTTTATGCCATGATTAATATATAAATACAGCCTTCTGTCTTCAGTTGTTGTGTTAATAATAACCAGTACTCTGCGGGGGATATAAATTCAACGAATTTGCTTGTTTATCAAGGAAAGCCGGTTTGGTGGACTAACTGCTAAGATTTTATAAATAGATACTGAATGTTGGTGATTCTACACAGGTGCCTGTTCATTCCAGAATTAATGCACGGAATGGCACCTGAGGTCTTCCTCCACTGAAAAAACTGAAATGTCCTATACTGTGTTAGTGTGACATAAAACCGAACCAAAAAAAGAAAGAAAGAAAAACAAACATTAAAAAGATCACTTCCAAGCTCAACTTTTAACTTTACATTCTTTTCTATCAAGCATGGTTCATAGATTATACAATTATTTTTATCTTTTCAGGTGTTTGAAAAAGAATGTACAAAGAAACTGAAAACAACTGCAACTACGTTTGAAGCTCCTAAAGGACTGCTCGGGTGTAAAGATGATAAATTGAGTTTATGTTGGACTTTATAACACTTTATTGAGCAATAAATTCATATTTTAATGTCATTTCTTGGATTTTTATTTGCTTGTTATGGAAAAAAAGTGCAAAAAGCAGTGAATTTTAATTTTTTATTCTTGAGAAAACAATATGTTATTTCATACGAAGGCATGATCCTTAAGCTGCAGGAAAAATAAAGACAATCTGCTGACAGAAGCTTTTTTAAGTGACCAACAAATGAAATGATTGCTTGTGTTTCCTGACTTAAGGGTGGCAAATGTTTTGTCTCATGACTATTTATAGAGTTTAATAATTTATAATAGTCTTGTCCATCATTTTGTTCCATTTCTCATAATGTGACTTAAATACCTATGGAAAATATGACCTTGGCCCATAAGTGACCTTTGATATATTGTGACTGGGAAAGATGACCTTGGCTCAAAAATGACCTTTGTTGTATTGTGACTGGTATACCTCTGGAAAAAGATGACCTTGACCCTTAAAGGACCTTGTTATATTGTGACTAAAAATACCCCTAGAAAATATGACCTTTGCCCATAAGTGACCTTTGATATCTTGTGACTTGGAAAGTTGACCTTGGCTCATAAATGACCTTTGTTATATTGTGACTGAAATACCTATGGAAAAGATGACCTTGACCTATAAGTGACCTTTGATATATTGTGACTGGAAAAGATGAACTTGGCTCATAAATGACTATTGTTATATAATGACTTTAAAATACTCCTGGAAGAAAAGATTACCTTGACCCGTAAGTAACCTTTGTCAAATAATATCTTAAGGGAGGATTTTTGACATGATGGGACTGAAAATATTTTTTCCTGATAAATGTACCATTTGATGTAGGTTTAGACCACTAATCTATGTGCAAAATTTCAGATCATTCGCACACTTCGTTTTTCCAGAATAATTATTCAAATTGTAAAAAAATTACCCCAAATGAAAAGCGTTTAAACACTTTTCACTCAAATCAAGCTAAGGAAAGCATAAAAATACGATTTTCAATTTATTTCAAAGTATATTTCTTAACTATCTTTGCTTATATTTCTGTTTAAAGTGCCCCAGCTCATTTATGAAAGAAATTCAAATGTTATGTTTTAGGCTTTTAAACCTCAGTTTTAAATACCTCTGAAAAAGATGATCTTGTATGTTACAAACTTAAGGAAACACCAGTGACCAGGGGTCAAAACCACTTTACCTGCTGGAGCTAACAGATGCAAAAACTCCGGTAATTCAAACCCATTTAGTCGCCTCTCGATCACGTAAGGGATAAACAGTGGCTGCAAAATGATTCATGATCGGCAACCCCTTGGCCTTAGCCACAATGTGCTCTAAATTTAAGACATGCCGTAAAAAGTACATTTTAATATACAACCCTGTGCACTACTTGCATAACAATGAACTTTAGTTAAAGGTTAAAACTGCCTTGTAAAGCATTTGTTCTTTTTATATAATTATCAAAATTAACCTTTTACCTGCAGAAGTTCTTAAGGTATTAGCACCCTGATGCATTACCTCCGCGTTGAAGAGTATTCAATTAGGCTAGAATTACTGTTAACTACATTGAAAATGAGGGCCATGGGTTCAATCCCCAGGAGGGTCAACTTTTTTTTTCTTTCTTTTTTTCTTTTAACATTATTTATGTATCTCTCATGTCCCATATGGAAAGAAAAAAGTGTTTAATTTTTAATTTACATAGGTATTTATTCGCTAAATTATGCTTAATCTAGTAATAAAAATGGTACCTGATATTTTCAAAGGGTAATATACTCAAAACTAGACGGTAAAAGTATTTCATATTTTACAAGATCAACCAATATACTTTTTAAAAAATTTAGGGAAGCTTTGAAAACAGGCACTCATTTGGGTAAATTTTAAGAATTTTTTGAATTAGGCTCCCTTAGTAGAAAAATGGTCAGACATGTGGTAAAAATGGGTGGGGTAGGATAACATTTTTATACAGATTTCATAAATTTTAAGTAGAAACCATAATTTTGCTTATGTGGATTGTTAGCTGAATGGTACTATTTGTTTCTTACCAAAAATTCATGGGAAAACATTTTTCATTAGAATGTTATTGCAGATTATTTAAAGGTTCCTCATTTCTAAAAAAGGTCCCCCATAACATCCTAGCTTGAGTTCAGAAAAGTGGTCATAACTTGATTTCCGTACGGTAAACTTTGTTTAAATTTTGTATACAGGCGTACTTTAAGGTATACATCTGACATATGATGCCATTTCTTTAGTTCCTGATAGTGCCCATTAGGGTCTTAATACCTTAAACGAACTTGTCCGTTTTTCATTTTTAGCTCACCTGTCATAAAGTGACATGGTGAGCTTTTGTGATCGCTTTTCGTCCGTCCGTCCGGAAACATTTACTTTAAACGACATCTCATAAACTGCTAAGCCATTTCATCTAAACTTCACAGAAATGTTCCTTTGGCAGTCAACTTTAAAAATTGTTTCAAAGAATTTAATTCTATGCAGAACTCTGGTTGCCATGGCAACCGAAAGAAAAAGCTAAAAAAAATCTTCTTTTAAAAAACAGATAGACCTAGAGCTTATATATTTAATATGAAACATTATGTAGTCAGTGTCTACCAAGTTTGTTGAGATAAAAGCCCTGGGGGTCATTGATTTTCCTGATTTGTATATAGTAAAAACTTTAAAAAAAATTCTGTTAAAAAACCCAAAGAGCTAGAGCTAAGATATTTAGCATGAAACATCTTAATGGGTGTCTACCAAGTTTGTTCAAATATGGGCCCCGGGGTTAAAATTGGCCCCGCCACGGGGTCATTGATTTTCCTTATATGTGTAAAACTTTAAAAAATCTTCTTTAAAAAAAACAAACAGCTAGAGTTAAGATAATAAGCATGAACCATCTTCTAGTGACTGTCTTCTACTAAGTTTGTTCAAATTAAAGCACTGGGATCAAAATTGGCCTGCCCCGGGTTGGGGGTCATTGTTTTTCCCTATATGTGTATAGTAAAAACTTAAAAAATCTTCTTTTAAAAACTCCCCAAAGAGCTAGAGCTTAAGATATTTTTCACGAAACATCTTCAAATGGGTGTCTACCAAGTTTATTTTAATAAAAGGTCTTTGGTTAAAATTTGCCTTACCCTGGGGGCCTATATACAGGTGAGCGATTTCAGGGCCATCATGGCCCTCTTGTTGAAACTGTCCATTATACGTGTTAAATGAATATATTGATGATTTTTAAATGTAACGTTCGTCAGACCTCAGTATAGAGCCAGCAGAATTCACGGGAGTACAGGCTAGCCTGACTAGCTGTATACTGGTAGCAAACATTATTTTCAGTTTCATGCCCAGGCATCAAGATTAAAAATAAACATTTCATATACATGTATTGTGTTTCTTGTTGTTGTTGTTGTTGTTTTTTACTAGTTGGTAATGTTCAAAAGAATATAATTGTGGTGACAAGAGTCATGGTCATAGCTGCACGTAAATTGTTGTTGGGGTGGGGTGGGGAGATAAATTACACTGACATTGTAATAGCCATATTGCGACTTTCTAGATTAACCTCAGGTGTCCCTCCGTGCATTAATTCATGCACGAGCGGACGCCCGAGTCGATGACTCAGTTAATCAACAACGTGCGTCTAGCTACGCGCATGACTGTCATTACTATGTGTTCAATCTATTGGACATAACGATAGAAAAACTCGGTCAAAACCGAGATAAATAGTACGTTTCGCAAGCCAGTGTTATCAGAAGTTGTTTTCATATGATAAATACGAGAAACGTCAATGGGGTATTGAGGAACAAGCGATAAGAGAAGAGGATGATCGATTTCTGATTTTTTTTCTAATTTGTTTAACACATACGAGGGCAAATCAAAAAGTTCGTGGAATTTAGTCATAAAATTAAAACGCATGGTTTCAGCTTCATGATTTTATGATACGACAATAAAAAATATACAATGAACAAACTTGCCAAATATTAGCAATATACAATAAAAACTGTTGACATGGCAACAAATATACAAATCCCGGTACAAAAACCCCGGAGCACGCCAACGTCATTTACAACGTCGTATTCAGTTTGTAGATTATTCCCTCGCGTCTTCAAGTTTCTCAAATTCAACCCGAAGAAAATAGCATCTATATTATACCGTTAAAGTAAAAAAGTATATACCCTTAAGGTATAAGTTTCAAAATAATTATAATTGTATAATTATTAACAATCCGTAGACAAATTTTATGCAAAAATATGACAGAAATTCATATCTTTTTCATTAAAACTCGTTCCGAACTGTTTGAACATCATAGACGACCTTTTTTACCTTGATATTCTATTTTTTTTTAAATATAAGTGTTTTATGCGCATAATCACTCACCCCACTTTTTTTTCCAGAAAACAAAAGGATAAATAATGATAATAAACAGAAAGTAAAATAACAACAGCAAATTATGAAACAATGAAAAAAGGAAAGAAACCAAAAAGATTAGAAAAAGCAACAGAAGAAAAAAAAAAAACAAGCCTTTTTTCTTAATGTTATTAATCATTTTAAAGGGGACACAAAAAACAAGCCTATTTCTTAATGTTATTAATCATTTAAAAGGGGACACAAAAACAAGCCTTTCTCTTAATGTTTATAGAACAGAACAGAACAACACTTTATTAACTCTAGTTACAGTAACAACAGCAAATTATGAAACAATGAAAAAAGGAAAGAAACCAAAAAGATTAGAAAAAGCAACAGAAGAAAATAAAACAAGCCTTTTTTCTTAATGTTATTAATTAATCATTTTAAAGGGGACACAATACACACGCCTCTGTATTTTGAAATGATACGGTTTTGTCCTAGTTTTTATCACCTCTATTTCACTGATATGGAGTGTGTGGTATTAATACGTCCAAGAGATAACAGCAGAACTATTTGTCGCCAATCAGTTACATGTTTTGGATTTATATTTTGAATTTTATTTAATTCACCGAAATGAAAATAAAATTTCAACTTACATACGTGTGTTTAATGATTTTGATTAACAATGCCGCAGCCATTACGGAGAGTAAGTAAACTATTTTCTAAATCTTCTAGATGATAATATTATCGGCATTGTAACGCTTTTTTGTTAGTTGATTTAATAGATGAAGTTACGTTATACAGTATCGATAACTTCGATAAGCCTTACCCTGCCGGAACCGGAAGAGATAAGCCAACCATTAGAGAGTACCGGTATGGCTGAGTGGTTAATGCGTCGGACTCGCTAGCCGCATGGGTTCAAACCCCATCAGAGGCAAGTCGTTGTTTCCATGAGTAAGTAACTAAATACTCACTGCTCAGTTCTGGTTGGTTCCAGGAACGTATTCGAAATTGGGTCTATAATCTTATAGCTTCCTTCGTAATCGAATTATTATAAATTTTCTTTCAACCAAACCATCCTTTGCCACCAGTGTTGAACCAGACCTATCTGCACATCCGTGTAGTCTGACCAGGCTCTATATACTGTTGGCAAAGAACTGTTTTTTTTTCGTCTTGATAACACAAAAATTGATAATGGACAGTTCCAAAAACTGGATAGACAAGTTCATTTAATACAGGGGCAAGTATCAAAGGACTCTGCTAATCATTTTGAAACTTAACTTGATTTATACAGGAGGTTTAAAAAGATATCTGAATGGAAATTAAGATGTCCTGTAATGTTATATGCAAACTTGAATTACATGCTCGTGTAAATATCAGAAAATACCAACTTAAACAATAAGTGGATACATGACTTAAAACTTGTATGAGGAGATATAACTTAATCCTCTAAAACATGAAACTATAATGAATGTTTTGAGTACATACAGTTGCGTAGACCGTGTGTCGGTCATTTGCTATAAACAAGGTTTGCTTTAGATCTGCTTAATGCAGATGTCTTGAATGTGTACAACATAATTAACAGTGGCCGTAGTAGTTATAAGTAATATTATATCATTATCACCATTGTTATTAATATTATCATTGTGATAATTATTATCATTATGATAATAATCACCTTTGTGAATATATATTATCATTATCACGAATGTCAATATAACCATCTGATTTTAATTATCATTGTGATTATTATTTTCGCAATTGTGATTATTATCAAGATTGCTATTATTATTATTATTATTATTATTATTATTATTATCACCATTGTTATTATTGTTTTCAGTGTGGTTATTTTCACAATTGCGATTTCTATCATTGTGATTATTATTTTTATTGTGATTATCATCGTTACCTTCGTGATAATTATAAAAATTGTGATTATCATCATTGCGATTATTATCACTCTTTAGATTATTATCATCATTGTGATTATTATTATCATTGTGATTTTAACCAACATTGTTATTTTATTACCATTGTGATTATCATCACAATTGTGATAATTATCATTATTATCAACACTTTATTATCGTCATTGCGATTATTTTCATCATTGTGATGATGATTTTTATTATTGTTATTATTTCCACCAATGTGATTTTGATTTTTTTTTCATCATTTTGATTAATATTATCATTCATTTGTGATCATTATTTTCTTGGTGATTATTATTTTATCATTGTGATTATTATCATCATTGTGATTATTATTATCATAGCTGTCAATTTCTTTTTAAGAATACATGGACCAGATGTGTGGAGAAACCCTTGACCTTGACCTTTATGAGACAGTGCGCCTAAAGCTGACTGCACAAGCAGTTTACAAACCCAATATGCTATGTCACCTCACGATCAAAACGAATTCTTTTTACCAAATAATGTTCTACTTTAAGGTAAGAAAAACAGTACCGTCATATATTTTCATGCGACTTCTCTTAGATATATATGACCTAAGGATCTCTATGATTTCTAGTTGTTAGATGATTTATGATGCATATTGTACATTTGAGCCGCGTCATGACAAAACCAACATATTGCGTTTGCATCCAGACCAGCCTGCGCATCCGCGCAGTCTGATCAAGATCCTTGCTGTTCGCTTACAAACTCTATAACAAGTAGAAAAACTGATAAAGAACAGCAGGGATCCTGATCAGACTGCACGGATACGCAGGCTGGTCTGGATCCATGCTGGTCGCAAACGCACTATGTTGGTTTTGTCGTGACGCGGCTCATTTTATGCTTAAATATGACGTGTGACACATTGTGATTTTAATGTACTGTGAAAATTATGTTAGATTCACGTCTCGCATCTTTGGAAATAATGAAATATTGTTTAGTTATCTTTATCATCATTAACATCATCATCATCAGCAACAGCAGTAGCAGCGGCAACAAGACCATCAATATAATCTTCAAATACAAAAACAACATTATGATCAATATCATAAACATTATTATTATCATCATCAGCAGCAGCAGCAGCAGCAATATTGATAAAGTTTTCAACAACAACATTATGATCATTATCAACAACATCATTAACAGTATCATCATCATCATCGTCGTCGTCGTTTCCATCATCATCATCATCATCTCGTCACCGTAACCGTCATCATCATCATCATCCTTTTTTATTTTATTTTTAAGAGTTTTGCTTTGGAATCGATGTGTTATAATGATTGGCTAGAACTTCACGACGGCAAATATTCAGCGTCAGCTTTTATAAGTGGTAAGATTGTTATTTCATATTATTTATTTAAGAAATAATATATCCCGAACATTGAGTTCGGATGCGATGATTATATCACGAAGGCGTAGCCCGAGTAATATAATGATGCGTATCCGAACGACAAACCGTGATGTTATCAAGCGATAAAATCACCGATTTTTATATATTATTTCGATTCTAACACGACATCAACAAATAAATGCTGCCGTAACTGATATTAAGCTAAATTGTTCCTGATTTGTTAGCGTACTTATTTTCAGCGCGTCGCATTTTTTTAGTGGTTATGTCACTTGTATAATGATTACGTGTCACAGTCATATCTAAATATGGAACGTCAACAGTGACTTTGTTGCATAATAACACACACTTTCGGTTCTATGTTCAATAGGGAAAAGTGCGGGTCGTGTTAGAATTAATGGTATATGTGTTTATGTGTTAGCACAGTGAAGTCCCTTTGATTACTTACATCTGCATTAAAGAATTGGGACCTAATATGGCAATGTATCTCAGGTGAGCGATCGAGCGCTATCATGACCCTCTTGTTTTGGTTGAAATGTTTTTAGTGAAACTTCCCGAAAAAATATTCCGGTTCTGCAGCATCACTCATTTTATTTTATGTGAATTTTAGCCTTTAATGAACTTGCAAATTTATTAAAAATTTGCATTCAGACTAAGAATATAATAGATCTATATGAAACTACATAAACATTGATATACATTGATATTATACAATAAAAAATGGTTACATATATGAATTTATTTTCCTCGTGAACTTTAAAACGACCGCATTTTTTCCCCATTGAACGAAAAACCCAAAATTTTGTTTATTTTAAAAAATAAATATTTCCCAAATGTGTTTTATTGCTAAACATACTGTTTGAGTTTGGTGCGGGGAATTTTATCACAGGGGGTGTCCGAGTATATAAAGATGCGCATCCGAAAGAAAAAGTATGTTTCAACAATTTTAAAACCCGATTTGGGTAATTATTTTGATTTAAACGACATCAACAAAAAAATGGCCTACTTAAAAATTTGTAAAAAAACGCCCGATTTGTTTCCGTATTTTTCAGCGCGTCACAATTTTTTGTGGTTTCGTCAATGTATAACATTGTACTATTTTGAACGTCAAACTGTGCTTTATGAACGATAACACACCGGCTTTTCTATTGACATAGAGAAAAAGGGGGTGTTAAATATGCTATAAAGTCACTGTTTGGCGTTCTATATGTAGACATGTGACGTAATCATTATACGAATACATGTCACGTAACCTATGGGCTATAAAATCCGACGCGCTAAAAATAAGCGTCGTTCGGATGCGCATTATTATATCACCCGGGCTACGCCCTCGTGATATAATTCCTCGCATCCGAACTCCAAACAGTGCGATAAAATCACAGTTTCGTATATATTATTTCTTAATCAATTTACTAGTATATATTTTTTATTTATTGGCATATATATTTTTATTAGCCTTCCAGATTTTTTCCGCCTTTTTGATTGGATATTGATCACCCGAAAGAAATTGATATAATCGAGCCAGACGGGTAATATACACACTAAATTTCCCCGTTGGGTACCCAACGCTGTAAACAACATGCGCTGAGGTGATGCGCATACGGTTCGATTTTACGAGGTGTAAATTCCGATTTACAAGCACTTTTTAACTGTCAAATTGATAAACATTTACCAAAGTAGAGTAATGATACATATTCCCATCAGTATTGAAAAAAAAAAATATTGACCTTGTGAAAGCTTGATATTAATTACAAAAAAAGTGCGTTCAATAGACTTCTCCTTTTCTCTTGTTTACATTCGTTAGGTACGGGAAAAATACGTCATGTATTTATGTGACGTCATGTTGTTGATGAAGAGGTACCCTAAAGGGAATCCTTATTTTCGACGTTTCAATTGAAACAGCAATGTTTTGTTTTTTTTAAAAAATCGTGTAAACTCGGCAGGGGAAGGGTAATAAAATTATTATTTTGGTTTTGGAGTGATATATGTGGATATGTTTCCTGCCAAGATAAAATATCACCCTCGCCTAACGGCTCGGGTGATATATAATCTTAGCAGGTAATATATCCACATAATATCACTCCAAAACCAAAATAACATATAATATTTGCACAAACGTTTATTATTTTGCATACATTTATGTTGATTTGCATCAATTTATATCAATTTGCATAAAGCTATATTAAAATGCATCAATTTATATTGATTTGCATTAATGTATATAAATTTGCATTCATGTATATCAATTTGCATAAATTAATATTAATTTCCACCAAGTTATATTGATTTGCATAAAATATGTATTAATTTGCATCACTATCATATTAATTTGCATCATTTTGTATTACTTTGCATCAATGTATATTGATTTTTTCAGGTATGACCCCTCATCAGTGTGGAACTTACAAAAGGACCACTGTACGAAACACTTCCGGGAAATATCTTCATCTTAAATTCCAAAGCGACGATACTATACAAAAAAGCGGATTTGATATGATACTGACTAAATACCATAACGGTAAAAAAGTATAACCTTAAATTGATCCTTTGCATTTTAAAAAAAAAAAACTTTCCCCATAAAAGGAGAAAAATTGAATGTGTTTGGAAACGATTAAACTTATTTATTTAAAACTATTTTTTTTAGTTGTTGGAAGCTATAAGTTTTATTAAAATTTTCTCTCGAATCCTTTCCCAGGACAAACCATACCAAAAGAGCCAAAATTGAGGGGAAAAATTTTTCTAGACAAAAACCCAACGGTTTCCCCCCGGGCCCCGGGTTTTTAAAACCCAGGCGACCAGTGATCTAAGTTGACGGATTAAACCACTCGGCCACGCCGCAACTCTAAGAATATTGATTATATCATTTTTTTACATTTTTACATTTTAAAATAAATGAATGAAATAAACCAATATGTCCTTACTCCAAAGTATTCTGTAAGCCATTTTCAAAGGTTTGAGTATTTTGTGTAGACTTTGCTTGGTGTAACAGAAGTACGCCTCCATGGTTAGACTTATTTCTTGTGAATTTCACCATTTACCCCTACGCAAAATGCCATTCGCATGTCATTTGGATGATGACGTATTTGGCAATGAATATTATTTACTCATCTGTATGCATGCTGTTTTTAAATCCTAAGACACAAATCTGCCCATGGTTTTGTATTTCTTGTAATGGTTAAACAAAGATTAAAGGTTCATATTTTAACACTGTATGGATTTTTCATTTCTTACATACACAATTTGATGTACATATATTTCTTTTCCACAGGAATTTGTTATACCGACGAGTATGCCTGTAGCAATGGGCACTGTATTGCCAACAACATCTCGTGTAGTGGTTTCAACCCGTGCGGAGATTATTCTGATTGTGGTAACAACGTAATCAGCGGTTCCAGTAGTCGCGTGTTTAATGTGGGCGGGATCATAGGCGGGGTTATTTCTGCTGTCACCGCCCTTGTTATAATCGTTATCTAGGGAGGGGTAGGTTTTCAGACCCCCAGGAACAGGGGAAAAACCTTTTGGGTTGGTTTATTTTAATTTTTTCTTTAAAAATTTACCTTTGGTAGTTAGCAAAAAAGCTTTTTTTTTATTTTATTTTCAAGCCATGTTGACACTGTGACGACCAGATGGTCCTCTTCAAGCTTTCCTAGCAATGTTTTTTTTTTTTTTTGTTACTTTTCCAGCCCTAAAGACCGCCGGGTTTAACCAAAAAAATAAATTTAAAAACTTTTCCAAAAAAATAGAAAAAAATAAAATATATAATTTAAAAAAAATAGGGAGTTAATCATAGCCAAAAACAGTTTTTACTTTCTACATGTTTAAAAAAAAAAAACCAATTTATTAATTTGAAAAATGAAATTTTTATCTTTTTTTAGATAAACCCGTTTTCGTTTTTTCATAAAAGTATTGAAAAAGAAGGGTTTCTATTAAAAACCATTCTTTACAAAAACAAACTCTTTTCAAATTGCATCACTGGTGTTAATCAGGCACACATCTGGTACCGAGACTGTCTTTTAAAACTGGTTCAGAATACAGATTTAATTCATAAATTTATTTAGACACATAACAAACTCTTAAATAATACTTAATGTTAAGATTACACTCGTGTTGTAATAAACCATATTGTAATTTTTTTCATTCTTTTCCCGCGTTTTCATGATTTGATTTCCCTTTCTTTTTTCTAGGCTGGGCGGCAGCGTCAGGCACCAGTTCACGTGAGGACAACAGCAACAGCGCCCCCTGTACCTCAGCAGTATGCTTCTCCTGTACCTCATCAGTATTCATCCACTGCGCCTCAACAATATGCATCCCCTGTACCTCAACACTATGAACCGCCACCGCCATATTCAACATGTTCAATGCAACAAAAACCCCAACCTCCTTCTCAGGAACAGCCTTCTCGTTACTGAATAAGACATACATTTAATTTTGTCTTTTTTTTTTATTAAACAAACATGAATAATATATTCCATTGTCATATTGATACTGAATGTACGAAGATACTTCTTCTATAGTTAAATAATTTCTCCCCGAGAGTTGGTTTCTTATTGCTTCTCCTTATTGTTGTATTTTAAAACTGGCCACACTAGGCCACAAGGACCATAATTATTATCCTTTTTTTTTCAGACATCTATGCTAATAATTGGAAGTTTGTTCCGCCTTTTTTTTTCATTCATTTTGCACATACTTCACATAGTCATTTCAATCTACCTCCAAAATTGATCTTTCGAAATGGTACTTAGGAATCATATACATGTAATAACAAGTAAAATGTATATTGTTGGACATTTGAAACGTTGTGAAAAAGATATAAGTTTTTGCTTTTTGTGTGAAATCTTTGCATCATTATAATAACATATACTTTAATATTTGCGGATCGTTATAAAAATAAGTACATTGATAGACTATTCATGAAAGTAGTTTAATTTTTATGGATCGTTATCATTAACAATAGTTTTATATTTGTGGGTCGGTAAAGTTACAAATGGTTTAATATTCGTGTATTTTTTAAAGTACAAGTGGTTGAATATTTATAGAGCGTTTTAAGAACAAATAGTTGGATCATTCTAATGAAAGTTGTTTAACTTGTGTGGATCGTTGTGGATTGTTATCATTAAAAATAGTTTAAAATCAAATACATGTAGTTTAAAACCAAATAGTTTATTATTTGTGGATCGTTATAATTGCAAGTAGTTAGATATTTGTGGATTGTCTTCATCACAAACAGTTTAATATTTGTGTATCGTTATAATTCAATATTTGATAATTTCCTAATAAAAATAAAAAAGAAATGTTGTTATAGTAAAGTAGTTCATATGTCCTGTTCATGTTGTTTATGAAACATTTGAAATGGAACTACCAAATGTTGCATTAATGTGACAATTTCAATTAATAAATCATCTTTTTGTTGAATAAAATTCTTGCTATATGGCTTATGTTATTCAAACAGTTATGTTTCAACGATCCCAATCGTTCATGGTAACCTCCTATTATAGATCACATATTATAATAAAATTAGCATGGGTCTCCTATTAAGACCGACTCGATAATAAGACCACTTTAACCAGGGCCCAAAAGTGGTCTTAATAGCGAGACTTTACTGTACTTTTTATGCTCCTCGAAAATTTTCGGGGGGAGTATATACTCGTCGGGTTGTCAGTCCGTCCGTCTGTCCATCTGTACGTACGTATGTCCCGAATTCGTGTCCTGCCCATAACTTTGTTATTTGAAGTCGGATTTTAAAACTATTTCACAGAAATGATCACCATATTGAGACGACGTGTCGCGCGCAACATTTGGGTCGCTACCTTGAAGGTCAAGGTCACAGCATGACCTTGAACAAAAATCGTGTCAGACCCATACCTTCGTTATTTGAAGTCGGGTTTTAAAAATATTTAAAAAAATGATCGCCATATTGAGAGGACGTGTCGCACGCATGACCTTGACCAAAAATCGTGTCCGGCCCATAACCTCGTTATTTAAAGTCGGATTTAAAAACTATTTTACAGAAATGATCACCATATTAAGACAACATGTCGCGCTCAAAATTTGGATCGTTACCTTGAAGGTCAAAGTCACAGCATGGCCTTGAACAAAAATCGTATCCGGCCCATAACGTCGTTATTTGAAGTCGTTATTTAACATGTTGAGACGATGTGTCACGCGCAAGTCGGAAGATAGATCTAATTGAATAGAAGTGCAGTGCAAAAAAAAAACAAAAAAACAGTAACTCTGCATTGCCTAAGTTTGAAATTATCACAATTTGAACTTTGTCTGGGACATGACCCTGAAAATACAAAAGATATACTTTTCTGTGTCCAAATCCTAGTCGGGGAGCTTCACCCGGTTCAACCGGCTCTTGTTAATAGATCATGTGACACTTATTTAAAAAAGATAGCAGAGTAGTTCCAAAAGTTGACCATGTAGTAAAAATGAAATTTTAAAAGCGCTTAACAATGTTTGTCGTTGACACACATATTATTTTGAACTTTGATAGACTACTGGATGGCTATCGTTATAAGCGGTACATATCATTAAATACAAAATTTGCCACGTCATGACAAAACCAACATAGTGCATTTGCGACCAGCATGGATCCAGACCAGCCTGCGCATCCTCGCAGTCTGATCAGGATCCATTCTGTTCGCTTACAAACCTTATTACAAGTAGAGAAACTGATAGCGAACAGCATGGATCCTGATCAGACTGCGCGGAGGCGCAGGTTGGTCTGGATCCATGCTGGTCGCAAACCCATTATGTTGGTTTTGTCATGACACGGCTCATATATACTTGTTTATGAATCAAATAAATAAGCTATGACAGCTTACTTTATATAAAGGTTAAAAAAATCTAATTTTCGTTGTGGTCCTGCAGAACCATTTAAGTTTAAATACGAATTTATTCTAGTTCGTACATTGTCGTATGCATTGGAACCTTTCAGCTTATTAAAACATTATGATCTGTTTCTGATACCAATCTATAGTAAGCAATGGGTGTAAAGTTTCTTGGTCACGAAACAACGGCTTTCCACTGACGAGGTTTAAACCCACGCGACCAGCAATTACTTGCTACGCCGCTACTCAAAACCTGATATTTAACAAACAACTAAATTTCAATTAAAATTTTAATGTCTTCCGAAAATGTAATTAAATTGATATTCAACATTTACATTAAATTATTACTTTTTCTGTCACTGTTCCTCTTTTAGGTTTATTTGATCTGAGAATCATTCTTTTACCAATACGTATAACAGAAGAAAACTTATTATTAGTGCTGGAACAAATAAGCTTATAATAATCTATCAAGAGACACTTTTTAATCAATATGATGCAAAAGCAAACAAGAAGTATCTTTTTAAACGATACTCGGCTGAAGTAAATCTGTTTAACCCTTTACCTCATATACACGCGAAACAACGCACTTTCGACCGCCCCCCCCCCCCTCTTTTAGGCCTCAAATAGTGAAAAAATGTCATATTTGTGCCCAAAACACGTTTTCGTTTGAGAAATGTTGCTAAAAAAAGTGAGCACTTTTTCGGCGCCGTCCCCCATCAAAAAGAAACATTGCGGGGGGGGGGGGGTCAGGGGGTTGCCAGAAGGGGGATGTGCCCCCTTCTGTTTGGGGGGTCTGAAGGGGGGGCGGTAGTCCCCCTCATTGCCAAGAAAATTTTGGACTTTTGAGAGGCTAAAAGTGACCCCAGGTCGATCATAAGGTTACATGGTCCAGTCAACATTTGTGCCAAGTTTGATAAGTATTGAAGCATTTTTATCATAGTTTTATAGCAGCTTGAACTTGTAACAGGAGGCTTTTCAATGAAAACGGCCATTTTTCACAATATGCTCATGAGGGAAAGGATTAACTAAAAAAATTTAAAATGTTACAAGACAACAATTTTTCACCAAAATTAGGTGAAATACCACATGGTAGTATAGAGAAACTAGATTTTGGGTAATTCCAAAGTTTTTCATCATTTTTTGTTAACTAAAAAAATTTAAAATGTTACAAAACAACAATTTTTCACAAAAATTAAGTGAAAGACCACGTGGTTATATGGAACAACTAGATTTGGGTAATTCCAAAGTTTTTCATCATTTTTTGTTACCCTTTTACCTCATACACACGCGAAACAACGCGCTTTCGACCCCTCCCCCCTTCTTTTAGGCCTCAAATAGTGAAAAGTGTCCTATTTAGGCCCCAAACACATGTTTTCGTTTAAGATATGTTGCTTAAAAAGTGAGCACTTTTTCGGCGCCGCCCCCATCCAAAAGATACATCAGGGGGTTGCCAGAAGGGGGATGTGCCCCCTTCTGTTTGGGGTGTCTAAAGGGGGGGGGCGGTAGTCCCCCTCATCGCCAAGAAAATGTTGGACTTTTGAGAGGCTAAAAATGACCCCAGGTCGATCATAATGTAATGTGTAACCAACGCTGAAAAGCCTTCGACTCTATCTCAATCACTTGAGAAGTTGCAGCACTTTAAAATAAATTTTGATAGAAAAAATCAAGGCAAAATAGTGATTTTGGTAATTGTGTGACCTCCCCTCATTGCCATGGTAACAGGAAATTTAAGACTGAACATGTCGTTACAAAGGCAATGATCCAGTCAACATTTGTGCCAAGTTTGATTAGTATTGAAGCATTTTTCATAGTTTCATAGCAGTTTGAACTTGTAACAGGATGCATTTCAATGAAAACGGCCATTTTTCACAATATGCCCATGAGGGAACGGGTTAACATACAACATTAAGTTATTTCTAAGCTTTCAATAGAAAAAGAACTTTTAGCAATGCTTGCATAACAAATGCATGATAATATTTCTTGTAGCTATAAAGAAAATAATTTACCCATTTTGTAAGCATTGAAATGAAATTATAGCATATTTATATTAAAGATTTTTCAATGAAGAACAACTTCTATCTAAGATGTCCCTTTACTTGTTTTATGTTTGACTTTATAAAGTTTTTAATCATTTACAAATATACCTAAAACTTAAAAGACTATACTCAATTCTGTATATTTTATTTTAGAACTATCCTCGACATTTTATTTTATTGTGGCGAAACTATCCCTTACATTTTATCATAGAGCTATCCTTAAAATTTTATTTTAGAATGGTAAGAACAATCGTTTATATTTTATCTATGAATGACCAATGAGTTTCACCGATTTCAGTTTGTAATTTTAAAATGACCAATGAAAATTCTTCTTATATTCAGTCCTTCCCTGTTAGTTTTACAGGAAGTCAAACTGATAACGGACGGACTTCGTCCGAAAAGCATTTCCTTTGCCAATTGAAATTTTATAGACACTAGTAGCCCAAATAACAAATGCGTCCGTACAGTCTTATCAGGCTCTATACTGTTGGCAAGGGCTAATCACTTGGAATCTTAACAAATTTGTACTAGCGGGTCAAGTAATGAATCTGTCCGTGCGGTTTATTTTCAGCAACACATACACTTCAACCATAAGCATACCATATTCTTAGTGAGATATTTGGTTAAGTTTGAAAAGACAAGACTCTTCTATAACTAGACTTTCTTTAACGGTTTTGACAAAAAAATAAATGCAACAAAAACAATGGCAACAGCAGCAGCAGCAGCAGCAACAACAACAACCGCAGCAACAACACAACAACAACAACAATCTTGTCTAGCAATAGTGACTCGTTCTTTATTGACTACTCACGATGATTTATTTAATGGATATAAAACGCATGTTTATGCATATATTCATTATTATATGTCTAGAGAAAGTTTTAATATAAAATTATAATACAAATTTTTTAATTCTTTTTGAACACTTTTGCTTAAGAAACAGTAATATATGGACATTCCTTTTAAACTATACTATATTTACTGCACTGTTGACAACATACATATGCATTTAGACCATAATAAACTGACAAATTAATACATTTTGCAATTTAAATATTGTGTACTTATTTCACAACAGTTGATTGATAGTAAGTTAACCAATCCTATTGAACGAAAATAAAATGGAACTTGGTCATACTGAATTTAGATAAACATTATTTATTTACAAAACCTATTTAATAAAGTGACTATTACACGTTTTCACATGACTTGTTTAAAGATACACTGTACCGGCCACAGTGAAATAACAAAGATAAAGGCGAACCTTTCACTACACAGTGTTTTTATAACATACTAGTAGTTATCAAGTTAGATTCGGTAGACTCAACAAGCTAGATTCGGTATAGTCAACGTTTCAGCTCAGGAACGCCCCCGTGTCTGAAATTCTCCAGAGTGTGACATCTATGCTTTTCTTCCACTTGTCTAACTTTTAGATTGTCCTCAAATGATACTAACAGTGGTTAAAACCAAACCAGTATTTTATCGATAATGTTTGTTTGTTGATTTGGTTTTACGGCGTACCAGCACAGTATAGGTCATATGGCACCGAAACAAAAAAGATGATTTTGGCTAACCTCGGGTGTCGTAACATTCAAGCGACACCAGAGGTAAAAAAACACCCAACAAATAAGTTCGTTAAGCCTTACTAATTCCAGTTATATAAGCATTTCATTTCCTAAGATAAAGTTTAAAATATAACAAATCAATTTAACTTTTTATGAGACTGTAAATTAATGATATAGAAACGGTCTTATTACATAAACTGAAACAAACATAAGTAACACATATAAAGTGACAAAGAGTCACAAAGAAACATTTAATAATTTGACGTGCCCTACACTATTATCACTAGATTAAAATTATCTATAGTTATACTGTACTAGTGATAACATGAACATAATGATTAAACATAAAATATCATAGGTATCAGTCAAATGTTAATGTGAACAAGTTAACAGTTTTCTCGAGTTGTTAGTAAAAACAAAATGAAACGTCAATTTATTTACGCGTGTCTACTGGTTTTCATCAGCAATGCCGCCGCTATAACATACGGTACGTTTTTCTTTTGATCATCATAATTTAGGGAATTCTTTACGTTTCTTTTATTTCGATTTCTGCCAAAAGCTAGGTGGGTCTGACATGTGGTACTTTTTATTATAAGCCAGAAGGAATTTCAAACAAACCGAATTTGAATGTTCAAATGCTTAATTTTTGTTGTTCTTGAACGATCTTTTCTTTCAAGATGTTGAAAGTTGAATCATAAAATACTGATGGTGAATGATTTTTTTTCCAATTTATTCAAATATGAATTTGTACGCTGTTTTAATAAAGATGGAAACATGGGCTAAAACTTGATATTGACCTTGTTGATATAATATTTGAAAAACTTAATTTAGTACCTCCATTTATATCTTTGAATTTACAACCTCGCTTCTCCTATATTTTCTCTGGCTGTTTGTTTAAGAGCTGTAAATGGTCCTGCACTACAAGTATAGGATCCACAAATATCTAATTGTTGACTATAAGTATAGGACAGAAAAGGAGCTGTAGGATCGCCCTGGCGAACCTACACGCCAGAACGTTCAGAGTTTTTACTTGATCTTTATATCTGATCAATTAACATTCAAAAATCGAGGAGTAATATTCCTTAACCTGGACAGAATTTTATTAGTGCTTAAAGTATTTTTTTTCTTCCTCCTTAGACATAAAGCCATAACATATGGGCCGCGTCATGACAAAACCAACGTAATGCGTTTGCGACCAGCATGGATCCAGACCAGCCTGCGCTTCCGTGCAGTCTGATCAGGATCAATGCTGTTCGCTTGGAAAGTCTATTACAAGTAGAGAAACTGATAGCGAACATCATGCATCCTGATCAGACTGCGCGGATGCGCAGGCTGGTCTGGATCCATGCTGGTCGCAAACGCATTATGTTGGATTTGTCTTAACACGGCTCAATTATAAACATGTTATGTTAATGCAGATTATATGGACCAGATGTGCGGGCAAACCATTGACCTGAGTTTTTATGACTCCGTGAGGTTACAGCTCACTTCCGGTAGCACTTACCGGCCAAATATGGATTGTTATATTAAGGTCAAAACGGATTACTCCAGTAGAATCATGCTCTATTTTAAGGTATGGTATATATAGGTGGTTACTTCATATTTTTAATTTCAGTTTTGTCCCTAATAATAACTTCAGTAAATTCTATTATTTTATATCTTGTTAAGAAAAATTGATATCGGAAAAAAGAAGAGTATCGGTGTACAGAAAAAGCATAAAATGATTACCATCCAAAAGGCTAATCAATTTTGAAACCTCAACAGCAAATACATTTGTTTTTATTTACCACAGTGATTTAAAATAATCTCTATATTTAAGTACTTCATGGGCAGGTATTGCTTTTAAGCCTATTCAATTGTTCTAAAATTTGGGAATATTTTGGCCAAAATGTCTAGACATGTCGCTTTAAGCTTTTTTTGTTGTTGTTTTAATTTTGAAATGTTTGTCTCATTTAAGAGCTTTGGAGTGGAATCAACTTGTACAAATGATTGGCTAGAAGTACGGGATGGCCAGTATTCATCCTCCTCATATGTGTCGGGTAAGGTATACTCTTTCTCTGTATAAATTTTTTATGAGCATACAAAACTAGTTCTTGCGCGAAAGAAACGGAAGATAAACTACCCAAGAGAAGGAACGGCCATTATGATGGACTGCCGCTATGATGACAATTCTTTGTGACTGCTTTAAAAAGTCGCTCTGTAATTCATCCCAGTGTTGGTTTTTATTTATATATTTATCTGTTTCTTCAGGATCTTTGCGTCTCGTTTACAGATTAAATTAAACCAAATATTCAATTTTCACCTTTTTTGCTTTTGTTTCCAACATTCTCCTAGCAGTTCCCGTTAATGATTGCTTGCTTTCTATTGCCTTTTACATTTATCCGCTTCGAGTTTACATTTGTTAAATTAAAAGTATATGCATTTTAATGATTGAACAAATGTATACCAGTTACGTTAGGTAAAAAGATAATGCTTATCGTATTTATCTTGTGTCCATAGTTAATATTATTTTGCAGGTCTTAATGGTCATCAATGCGGATATTATATGAGTAGCACGGTACGAAAGACATCCGGTAATTATCTGTATCTCCGATTTGTCAGTGATAATTCACTCCAGTCGACTGGATTTGATATGATTTTGACAAGTTACCACACAGGTAAAGCATTTATTAACCCTTTAAATGCATCTTTTCCACACTTCTTAAAGTAAATATATTTGATATTAACGATACTTAAAAAAATGATTTGTAAAACATACAAGCATCTAACTAAAATAGAGGAATACAGAATCCCTAAAGAAAGCCCAACACTGCAAAATTGAAAATGTTGCAGGCTCGGTTTGCTTAAACCTGTTCATGGACGGTATTGGAAAAAGCAGGTAACCTTTCACACCCCCTAGCACCGGCTTATGTTCGGTGTTCATGGACGGTACTGGAAAGTGCAAATTATCGTCCCTGCCCCTAGCACCAAGCTGCCTCCTAAGATTGTTTGTCGTTTATTACAGACGTTACCACACAAATAACAGCACAAATAACAGCCTGTGTCGCTAATAACATAACCCATTAACATTGATGGTGTAAAAGTGATATAATTTTGATGCATTTCAGGTATCTGTTATTCCTACGAATATTCATGCAGTAATGGACGGTGTATCGATGAAACTCTCACGTGTAACGGTTATAACCCGTGCGGGGATTATTCCGATTGCAGTATAGTTCTTGCCACCGGTTCCATTGCAGGGATTGTTGTCGGCTGCATCTTCTTCGTCATAGTCATATCCATCGTTATGGTGGTGGTGTGCCGCCGACGAAGACTAGCCTATGTAAGTTACGGATAATTTTTCTAATGACACACAATTTCAAATTAAGCGAATGAAACACACCTTTACAAAACGTTTCACACACACTTTGACAGTTTCTGTTACTCCTTTTATTTTTTTTGTCTGATATTGAAAATTTAAAGGTTGGCGTAGTATAAAAATCAGAGCACAGAAGTTGGGTCTCAGAATGTCAGAAAGGTGAAGGTTGTGAGATTATAAACCAATTTGTTTTCCAGTGTTTTAACTGTAGTAAATATGCTATAAGACGTATTGCAACACTGACATTCAATTCAATGTTTATTTGACTTGAACAATTTAAAATAAAATATGAGTTGCCTTAAGTGGGATTTGAAGTCCAGGCCTCTTGACTTCTAAGCGAGCGTGCTAACGCTCGGCCACGGTGAAGTTATATATTACCGGCCTGAAGAAAACCATATTATTCTAAATTAAGGTTTGTAACTCTTACTATTTCGACGCTAAACAGATGTAAATAATCATGGAGCTTACTATAAGCATGTATATCTATAAAGAATAAAACAATATTAGAAATATTCGACTATTTGGGAAATTAATGCGCCTGTCATTTGACAATCCACCTCGGGCGACTTCAAGAACTTGACGGAGATTGCCGAGTTGTTACGATTGTTGACAATCTTTACGCAGTGATCTCCCCTGAATTTTTCGGCGTAAGTGTACATAAAAAGGGAAGTAACCGCTTCATAAAAGCGGTCTACTTTCGGCATTTGCAATTAACAGCATCAGGGTCTGAAATTTCGCTACCAAAATTTGTTTGGTCTGGGGGGGGGGAGGGGGGGGAATGGGTGAAAGGATGGGGGAATTGAGAAAATACCTACCGTCAACGACAATCAACAAGACAGACATCACAACATATGTAAACATCCAAAACAAGTTACAATACAGACGAAAGTTAAAAGTTATTTCTTTTTTACAGGTCGGAGCCCCAATCCAACCAGTACATGCTCCGGTCAATGTTATAACAACGTCAACTGGTTCCGGGGGATATAATCAGCCTGTACCACAGCAATATCCACAGCCATATGTGCAGCAACAAATGCCTCCACCGTATGCTCCAGGCGGCCAATACCCTCAACAGTACTAGTAACAAAGAAAAATCGAACAAGATTCACCGAACAAACACTTTAATGCAAAGACTATATTCATACAATAAATTGTATATTTTTTATTAAAACATGTTAAGCAAAATGCACTGAAAGTTGAGTAACCAACAGTTAGAAAGATGTCTGAAAAGATATACATCGATGCCAAATTATCTATGTCCAATGAGTACCTCACAACAATGTGTATTATGATTGTTTGTACTTATTCGATTAATATATCACCGTATCTTTAATATGGTAGAGCAGCTATATAAAAAGTGGTGATTTTTTAAAGAAGAAGAAGTTCTACTTACATCAAAAATTGATGAAATAAAATATGTTGATTTTGTTTGTTTGTCTGTCCTGATTTTATGCCATTTTGGTCGTATTTCGGCGGTCAGTCCACTTTATTGTCTTTCCTGAACAACTAACTCGTTATCACCAATTTCTAAGCAAGTGATTTTGTATATAGAAGAGAGTGATTAATGAAATAAATGGTGGAAAACATTTCAACTTTCTTTTTACTCTAAACTTTTACGATGATATATCTTTAACTTTGATAAAATCAAAACTCTTTTCCATTGTCATTGTTGAAAAATACGGATTATCTGTTCATTGTTTGTTAATTCATTGTAAAGATCAAACTATATAAGTCTCTTAGGTTTTGTTTGGGCCTGTGTTCAATGAACGTCGGTCTTATTTGTTGATATTGTGAGGGGAATATGTCCGTTGGTGCCGGTGATCATACAGTATTCAGTGACGAATAACATAGTAGTGACTACTATTATGTATTACTTTTTAACTTTCCAATATTAGACACGTATAAGGCTAAGATGAAGTTCACGACATTATAAACATAAACAAGGCTTTTTATGCAATACGGCCTTTATGAGAAATCTCAGCTATTATGAGATAGGAGAATTTTGACTGGCACTCCAGCTCGGCAATTTTGAATCTGCTTTTTTCCATTGAAAAAGTCTCCATTTGGAATTACTTCAAGGTAGGTTTCCGAGACATTTTTAAAACTAGAATCTCATTTGCAATACCTCACGACAACGGAATTTTACATTAGTTATTATTTTGTTCACTTAATAGATTTTTTTTCTAGATTATATGTTAATTAATAAAATTGTCAATAATTAAGTGTTTTTATTAACAGTATAATATGAACGTGCTCGATGATCCAATGACACGTGTGATCTCAAACTTTCCTGTTGTTCTGTGAAATATTAAGGCTATGTATCAACTATACAATTACATTTGTTGAACTAATTTCTTTCTTTATCATAGCAGGATGGTATAAATGACGATCGGTTTCGGATGAACATTCTCTTCGCAAAAACTTTTAAGACATGTGAACATTTCGTTTCTGTTATAAAGAATGGAGCTACGAAGGGTAGAGGAACAAAACAACATTTTCACAAATTACGGCATGTCCTTAAATGTATATCATGCGTATATAATAACTATGTCATAATATGAAATAAATGATATTAACTATGTCATAATACGAAATTTATGATATTAAATATGTCATAATACGAAATTTATGATATTAACTATATCATAATACGAAATATATGATATTAACTATGTCATAATACGAAATTTATGATATTAACTATGTCATAATACGAAATTTAACATTATTTCTACGTCATAATACGAAATTTATGATATTAACTATGTCATAATATGAAATTTATGATATTAACTATGTCATAATATGAAATTTATGATATTTACTATGTCATAATATGAAATTTATGATATTAACTATGTCATAATATGAAATTTATGATATTAACTATGTCATAATATGAAATTTATGATATTAACTATGTCATTATATGAAATTTATGATATTTACTGTGTCATAATATGAAATTTATGATATTTACTATGTTATTATACGAAATCTATGATATTAACTATGCCATAATACGAAATTCATGGTATTAACTATGTCGTAATATGAACTTTATGATATTAACTATGTCATAATATGAAATTTATGATAATTACTTTGTCATGATATTTACCATGTCATAATATGAAATTTATGATATTAACTATCTGATGATATGATATTTATGATATTAACTATGTCATTCTATGAAATTTATGATATTTACTTTGTCATAATATGAAATTTATTGTATTAACTAAGTCGAATATTTTATATACCAATACTAAATCTGTAGCCTCAGATACAAAACACTAATCCGCTCATATACATTAAAGATTGGTTACTTAAGAAGGTTCAAAGCAAATTAGCATTAGTTCACTTTCTTTCAACCAGATGAGAAAAATATAAGCGCACCTTAAGAACTCTTTACTTTCTGGTACCTTTAAGAAGTTTCGAAATCTTTCTGCAAAGTAAATCCCATAATTATGGCCATATAGGGCTTCATGATCTCAGCTTTATGACCCAATTTTTATAATGAACTATGACATTTATTATTTTTACTATTAAATGGAAAATTAAGATCTTTTTCTGGTAAAAATATGAACTTAATTAAAACGATACATCTAAGTTTTGCAGTCATTTTGCGACAATAGGTTTAATAGTGAAAGGTGGTTTTAGTATATAGTAAAATGATTGCAATTTCATCTTAAAAATTATAATCATACTTTGGGTTATTTGATTAAAACAATAATGTTATTTCCCTACTTTTATGTGATCAATTGGCCGGAAATGCACGTTTACATAATTAGTACAACATGAGAATATGGAAGATATCATTTAAGGAGACTTTGGACATGAAGTATGGTAGCTGATTTACGCAATTTCGTCTTTTTTGGCTTTTTATGGAACTGGAAGAAATATGCCTTTGCCACCAGCAATCGGAACGTCCTCGGCTATTATCTATAATAACCTCGAGTTAATACGGATTGAAAGTAGTTCAACCGCGTAGTTTCAGATGTAAACAGAAACTGAGTTTGTAAATGTAAGACGAATGTATATATTTGACATCCAAAGGAACATAAAGCATGTTTCGGTGCAATTATGATTGAAAATATGTCTGACAACCATTTTTGATTTAAATATGCCAACTGATGTAAACTTTTAAACAAACCCGACTTAATGTCAACAGGTTGACTTTTTGTACTTTCAGTTTATACAACCATAATAATAAATATTTAAATAATGTATTATTTGCGTTTGTATCTTTAAATTTACCTTACTAGTATTAAGGTGATTTTTTACTTGGTATATTGGTAATAAACTTGTCAACAACTCCCACCACCAAAATACTATTTGTTTCTAAGCGTATGTTAGACCGAAATACCGTATTCGGTTCGAGGTGCTTATCCGAAGACTTACGAAAAGGGCCGAAAAGTTGCGATTGCGCCACCAGTATAGCCTGCTCATCACCAGCCGTATTGTTGGTAGCAATTTTTTGTATGTTTTTTGTATTATAACTCTTAAACACACAAAGTTTTTTACCCTGGAATTAAAAGACAGTTTTTCAAAGTGCTTGAAATGGATTTATTTAAGATGAACACAAGCACAACGCATGAAAAGTTTACACTTGTTTTATTAAACAATAATTTATCGTAGATGCTATCAGGGTCTTTCAAATAGAATTCTATTTGAAAGACCCTGATGCTATCAAGTAATTAAAGAGGTATGGAGAGAGAAAGCCGAGTTTGACTTTCGTTTGTTGAAACTGTGTTTAAAAATGAATAAGACTGGTCGCAAAATATGATTTCAAAACTTTGTATGAAATCGCAGTCTCCCGCAAGCATGGTGCATTTGGCATATATATAACCAATGTTATTTTTTGCCTTCGCACCTTCTCGACCCTTTCCGTCAAACTTCGATTACAATAGTAACAATACACAAAACGGATTCTCACATACGCTTAGAAACTTTACATGTAAACAAATAGTAATTTAATGCTACGAGTTGACATAAAAGTCCACCTAAATCTTGTGCGTTTATAGATATTAAAGTAAACAATACATTATTTACATACTTATTATTATGGTTGTAGAAACCGAAAGTACAAAATGTCAATCTTTCGACATTTATTTGGGTTTGGTTATGGTTGTACATCAATGGGCATTTTTAAATTGATATAAATTGCCAGACATATTTTCAATCATAGTTATACCGAAATAGACTTTATTTTCCTTAGGATTTCAAATATATACATTCGTTATACATTATGATTACACCCTGTTATTTTTTGTTACATAATTATAAACCTACTTTCAAACTTTATTAAGTCCAAGGTTATTATTATTAATAGCTGAAGTGTTCCGATCCTGTTTTTGTAGCTTTACTTTAAAGATTGACGCGGTTGAATATAAAATCTATAAAAACGTTTTGTGTGTAGAACATAATTACTATTATATTGGTTATAGACAAATTATTTTATTTTTAAAGGTACATGCCCTCTAATAGCAAAATGAAAAAGGAAATGAAATAAATATAATGAATAAATAATATTATAATAAATATAATGTAAACGATAAATACTTGCCTAGTTTGTTTTAATGTGTGAATCTATTGTTACAGACAGCTTAATTCAAGAAAGAAAGTTGACAAAATCGTCAGAACAATGTGTGTTTTTTCCATCTTCTGTCAATCTATTCCGTTACTAACCCAGTAGAAAAGATAGTTTATTCAACATGTTCAAGTGTCACAAGAACATTCTCTCGACCGGTATGTCCGGGATCGTATTTTAAAGTAAGAAAATGTGTGAGCTGGTGCAACTAATCACATTTCATATAACCGGTCAATACATATATGATATAATTAGTTATAACTGTTTAGTACCACAAATTAAAGCAAATATTAAAACCAAATTCTATATGTTTGATACGATCCCGGAGCCCGTTCCTGATCCGATATTGTCACGTACTATCACGTTGTACTAAAAAGAAAACCCTGATGTAAGAATTCCGTGTAAGGCATGCTGCTTTAAAGCTTACTCAGGATTATTTTATTCAGGAAGAAGATATATAATGAATCTGGAAAGTGACAAATAGTTAAAGAATTACTTCTTTACGACATAATTTACCCAAATACCCACACTTATCCAAAGCTTGCTAATTTCTTATTCGGTTCACTTGGTTTGTTTCAATAAAGCTCCTAATAGCAGTCTTTCATCGAAGAAAATCTTATGATTACAGACCTGGATTAAGCTTCATTCCCCGAATTTTAAAATGAGTTTTGTCATTTATAACTTTAATGATTAAAGGAATATTCTATACTTTCAAGAACAAATAATAACTTAATTATAACGATAATTGTGAGTTATGCATTCATTATACGAAATTAAAAAAAAAGTCCCTCGAAAGTTAGGCCCATGCAAAAAAGTAGAAACAGCGGAACACTAAATTATAATAACACATTTAGCTCAAATAAGCTTATTGAACTTCTAAATTTATGTTACTAATTGCCATTAAATTAAAAAAAGCGTCAGTTTCAGTGCAAAATGTCCAAATATGAATGTTTTCTTAGCCATATTTTGATTTTTTTCTGTTACCTTCTTGAGACATGCTGCTCTAAAGCAGAGCTAATTCAGGGTGATTTTCACAGGAAGTTTTCCTCATATGCCCAGTATTCCCCATATGTCAAGTTCTTCACATACGCCCAGTAGTATTTATACGTCCAGTATTCCTCACACGTCCAGTAGTCCTCATACGTCAAGTATTTTTCATTCGTCAAGTAGTCCTCATACGTCAAGTTCACCTCATACGTCAAGTTCACCTCATAGGTTAAGTTGTACTCATACGTTCAGTATGCCTAATACATACGCCCAGTATTCCCCATATGCCAAGTTATCTTCATACGTTAAGTAGCCCTCATACGTCAATAAGCCCTCATTTGTTGATCATTCGTATTTTGAAAAAGGGCTCCTAAGATAGGGATCTATTAATTTATACGTTATCTAAAATAAACTTTCATGAAAAAAATATAAATTCTTAAATTGTTTGAATATGGTGTTATTTTTTCTCCCAATGATCTTGATATCATTACATTTAAATTTGTAATCAGTCATTTACTGCGATATCTTTACTCGATTGTAAATCGACCGGTTCAAGTGTCTGTAGGACACCCTCAAATTATAGCTGATTAAGTTTAATATTACATTGCGAAACATTTTGTGATATTCGTATGACTAAAAGTCATTTGTGTATGTTTGGTATTTATCGTCAGCTATATATAAAGATTATATATCTACATGTATGTAAAGCAATTTCTGTTTCGTACGGGATTAACACGTTATTGATAGAGCTATACCATTTTCAAACCAGGACATACGCATAATTTGGAAATAGATCTACCTAATCGGACATTAATAAAATTTCAGTCATGAAGTGTTTTCTATCAATAAGTGTGATTTTATTGTTAAGTCTAGATCTTGCCGGTGCTATATTATACTGTGAGTACTAAGGTTATTTATTTACATGTATGTTTTTTTTAAACTTTATTTATTCTTTACGAAGAGCTGTATATTCCATTAAAGTGACATTATGCTTATTCAAGCGTATAATACGTATAGTAGGTGAACAGGTGACCGTCACAATAAGTTTACTTTTTAGCCATAATTCTTTTTAACCCCATAACTTACTTCGCGTGACCGATAGGAACCTTGTGTGACCCAAGGGAATTTCTGTAAATATCCATCATTTCCGCTGATTAAAAGATATTCAGGAATAAGGAGAATGTCTTGTTTGGGGCATTTGTAAATTACTGATTAGTTATCCAGATCAGCCAGTCTGGCGGATCGGACGCAGAGGTACTGTGCGTTTAGGATAACTATTTAGTGACGCGGTGGTCAAGTCCACTATAACGGAGTAAAACAGTTATCATAGTGTGTATAATATTTTAAGTCAAGCAGGCTTGCCATATAAATTAAAATATTGACAAATTTACTAGGTAAAGTTGTCTGGTAAATAGTAACATATCAAATCAAGACAGCCGGGTTCGGTCCCCCAAGAAATCTGTTTAATTATCAATCGAGTTAGAGAATGTTTTCTTTTTCTTGTAAAGATTATTAGTGCTGTGTTATTTCCTATTAACTTCTCATTTCACTTTTGTCTTTAAATGTTGCTATATTTAGCAAGTTGATGCAACCTGATACGGAATGCATACATGTACATAATTCATCTCAATTATAGTTAAGTTGGCACGAAAAACTTGTGCACTGCAAAAGTACTATGACTACTATATATTACACACTGCACAGGATAAAAATTATTATTTCTGGTATATCTAAATTATTCGGTATCATAACAAAACAGCCTTTATATTCCAATTCATTTGTATCTAATGTAAAACTTAAAAAAATAATAGGGAAAGAAAAAAGAAGGGCAGATAACCTGTGAGGCTCGAACTCATGATAAAATTCATTTTGTATGGCATCCTATTGACCTAACCCTTAACCAACTTTGCCATGGAGACTTTTCAAATTCTAGTTCTTATGATGAATCATATTCAATTCTAAAATACCCTGTTTTACCTATTCATACAAAGGTTGTATATAAACTTTTGTGTACACAAAAAAATGCAACGTCACCCTCACATTATCTTAGCGGCACAGTATGACCAAAAATATACGTGAAAATCAACGACAAAACAAACCTTCCGTATTTACACAAACCTTTCAATACACTTTTCAACTTTATGCAAGCGCAAGAATTTCTTTCAGACGACACAATATATTATTCAGCGAATCTTGTTTCTGTTTGTTTATACAGGCGGAAATATCTTGATGAAGTTGGAAAGTTTTTAATGAATGTGTATCAAGTGTTAATCTTTACACTGTTACTGTGGTCATAGCACAACTAAAATGCCCGTTATGCCTCAGAATTGCTTATATTTCTATTTACCAAAGCCTTTTGTGGTATCCTGCTATAGTTTCTAAAAAGTTACAAATTGTCCAATTACCTAAACCATCTTATGCTTCTGTTGCTTTTTAGCAATTAGTTAAGTTACTTTGATTTAGTTTTTGTATGAAAGTCAAAATACTACTGTGTTAACATTTTGTTACATATTTATTCAGCACCTCTTTCTTCAGGTGAAATCATATGAAACATGCTTAAACATTATAAAATCCAATGTCTGCCATTTCAAAAATAAGAAAAACTTTATTTCTTTATGAGACCTTAAAGACATTTTGTCAACTTTAAAGCGGCCTTCAGCTTTTATTTTTTGTTGGAAAAATAATTCCGTGTTGTTTCAAACTAAGTATTTCAGTAATTTTATCTTAGAAAAATGCATCATATCACTGTTAAGCCTTCTTCAAAACAGCGTCCCAAGAGCTATTTATAGCCCGTCGGTGACGTTCGTTTCTAAAAATAGAAGATCAGTAGGCAAGCTCCATTTTCCATCTTTCCTTTGATTCAACAATAATATGAATCGATTAATTATAAAAAAAAAACATAGTTAACCTTTAGAAAAGCTGAAAGCAGCTTTAAGGAAACATATCAAGAATATTTTTAATCTATTTTAGTATTAGAATACGAACTTAAGGTGTTTTTTTTTTAAATTTCAGACTACATGGACGACAATTGTAATGGCGTTGTGGACATCTCTTTCATAGATCAAATACGACTGCAGCTAACACGACGCAGTTCATACAGGGCAAATATGAACTGTAAACTACTTATTACTGCCAACACAACAGATCGTTTGATGCTTTTCTTTAAGGTTGGGTGAATATTTGTATTATACCAATAATAAGAAAGATATGTCACGCGGTTCTCTTTTATACCCTTGTTTATTAAGACCATTTCAGGACAAACCTTACTTGCTCGAGATATTAAATTTCAGGTTTTATAAAATATAATCATGGACTTATAAAATATACTCTTGGATTTAGAAACTATAGGCCAACGCATGATAAATACCTTAATTTGTTAAGATATATAACTTATACAATGTATTTAAGATAAAAAATCAACCCTATAATGGATTACATTTCGATTTTATAGCATGCGGTTTATAGATCTTAATGTACCTTTGACACTTGGATAATATTTGAATAGTGCAAAGATAATATACATGTACATACGAGTATATTTCACGATTATCTAAATAGAGGGACTTTATTGTTATCTACATTTATTTTCGTATACCTGTAGGACTTTGATGTCGAAACAAGTGCTTCATGTAACCTTGATTATCTTGAAGTTCATGATGGCAACAGTATTAACTCACCGTTTGTACCAGGTAAATTACCTCCCCCTATTCTATTTATCGAGTTGATATACTCTCCCTTAGTTTCAACTTTCCCTGTGTATCAGAAAAAAAACATTTCCACAATCTGACTAACATCTGCTCATAATTAACGCTACGCATAAGGATCTGACGGACACCAATAGTTGGTCACCTTCTCGTGACCTTTTAAACAGCCAATCATCGTCGAGCTTTCACAATTTTAAAAGCAATGCTGGTTCTAATTTCAATCGCTTGAAAACCAATGCTGAGTAGATAATTTTCACTATTCATCAAAATGAACGTGAGCCAAATACGATGGCAATCAGAACTACACGCAAGAAATACCTGAAGTAGATCTGAATTTAGTGAGATTAAACTTTCCTCTATTCTATGTCAGATGAAAAAACTATGCTTGCATATCAGCTAAATTATCTCCCCTTACTCTATTTTTTTCCTTTTTGTGTCAGGCAAATTTTCTTCCATATCAGATAAATAAACTATGCCTGTAAATCAGATAGTAACAGAAAAACTGACTATATCTTTATGTATCAGGTAAATTAACTTACATATTCACTACATGTCAAATTAACATTAATTAAATAACAGGATTTTCCTGTTAAATATTACCCGAGTTATTCACTTGAAAATTACGGGAGTTTTATTTTGAACAATATACATGTAGTAGTTTTGCTCTTGAATATCATCGGACATTTCCTCTTGAATTTAACAGCTGGGAGTTTTTATCATGAATATTACCGGCGTTTTAAACAAAGTATTATTGGAGTTAAGAGGATTTTCTTGGTTGAATATTACCGGCAATTTCTTTTGATCATCGAGGGAATTTTTTCTTTTGAATATTACAGGACTTTCAAAGAGGCAATGTGGAAGTTACATGAGTAGCACTGTGAGAAAAACAAGTGGCAATGATCTTTTCCTCTACTTTAAAAGTGACAGCTCTTGGCAGGAGAGAGGGTTTGACATGATCATCACCCAGTATCACACCGGTAAGTTCTTTACCATTGTCGTTTGAATTAAGATAGATTGCTTTAATGATTTAAGATCTATATTCATTTACGTTTATTTTGATCTTGTATTGAAGAACTTGTATCTTTGCCCCCGTTTAGTGATATTTAAGATGTTGTTTTCCCCCTTAAAATAATCAGGTTCAGCCCTTTCCACGACACATATCATATATCTTTGAACATACTTGGACAGTTTTCAATCTGAACAGACAATTCAACTTTTTTTTTGTTTGGGGGTTGGGGGGGGGGTGTACTTACTGAATACGGAACAGTGCTGGCCATGATTTTGGTCTGCACTAGTCGCAAGTTTTGATTCAGTTCCCAACAGTAGGCTTTGTTTTTTAAAAAAAAGCATACATAGGAGCTTTGCATCAAGCAAGATTTGTTACAATTTCCATTGATAATGATATAATGATATTCTTATATGACAATTTTATACTTATTAAAGCGTCGTTGTTACGATTGGTCTTAACCAACAGAAAGCATAGAGAAAGCAACAAGAACAACAACAAAAAGATTAAAAAATTAGGTGAAATAAACGGGATCGATCAGTTAATATATTCTTACATACCTCATAAAATACAAACCCACACGAACCATCGTCACTAAAACCAACTTTCGATTTCAAAGACTCAGTCATAGTACATTACACACAATACGCCTGGTGTGAGGTTGTTTACAAATTAACCTTTTTTGTTTGAAATATTCTTTTTTTATTCTTTCTTTTTTGTTGCAGGTATGTGTCAAGAGGATGAGTTCTCGTGCAGTAATGGACGCTGCGTCTCTTCCGGTTTGGTGTGTAACGGGTACAATCCATGCGGGGATTATTCCGACTGTGCCAGTGAGCTTGCCGCCGGAGTCATTGCTGGTATTGTCGTCGGATCCTTCGTCTTTGTCATCTGTGTAATGTGTTTGATATTGTGTCGCGTTCGAGTCGTCCGCCGACGACGACGTCAATATGTGAGTAGATTTTGTAAAAAATGACAAATATTTATGTTTATACATGTATATAGTATAATAAAACTTTGACTGCATTTAAAGTTTATCGCATGACCGCCACAACTTTCCTTTGAAGATCGGCGTTCCCTAAATCTCAGTATTGGAAAACTTTGGGGTGCTCTAAATGAGGTATCAGTACGCTTTGGGGTGCTCTAAATGAGGTATCAGTACACTTTCTCGCGCATGCCCAGTTTATTATTTTATTTCAAATAATAAAGTGAGCATACCTGAAAAAGAGCAAAACAAAACATTACACAGTTTACAGACTTTTTTTAAATATTTATGTATCATCTCAATCTTTTTTTTTTCTTTTTTTTTCAAAATCTGAAAATGCAGTTATTATAAAGATGTTGACTCGAGTGGAAAGTAATCGCCATTTTCTGCATCCTGACCTCGACAATGATCAAATTCTTCTTTTTTTACTTTAAACAATGCCTTCGTTTTACAGGTGATTCTGACCAGTAAGCCACTCAGTAAATCACTACACGTATATGAACATAATATTCTAGCGTAATTATTAATAGATGGAAGTAGTGTTAAAGGCACATTATGCGTCAGAAATGCTATCATTTTTATTTCTCAACATTTTTAATATTTGGTGTCTTGTTACAAGTTCCACAAAAATACTTATTTGCCATATAAATGAACTATCTTTGCATCTTTTGCTTTGCTGGCAATTGGTATAATTATAATGAATTAGTATTTTGTATGGAAGTCAAAATACTATTTGTTTACATTTTGCTACCTTTACGAAACATTACTGCACATTCAGCCCTACTTTCTTCAGCTGTTAATTATTTTACATGTTCTAAATCCATTTTTAAAACATTATTTAACATGTGTGTAACATTTCTAAAGAATTTAATAAAAAAGGATTTCTGAGGCATGATGTGCCTTTAAGTAAAAATCACTACATTGTCGTTAGTTTTAAAAATACGCGTACAAGATATACCTCTGAAATATACACCGGGATACTTATCGACAATATTTCCTAGATTATATTTTGAAGATGATTAGTAAAAAAATGCATCAACTTACCTCGTGAAATGGTTATTTATGTCCAGTTCCTTCAACGGCATCTAATGGGTGTATTTCTGTGGGTATTTCTTAAAATATTTATATGTTTAAATAAAGCAAATATTACGAGAGAAGAAAAAAGTCGTGATGGTCATGCGATAAAACAGTTACAGAATAAATACTCGGACTTCACCGGCTGGTATCAGCGCATGGGGCGACAAAAGGGTCAATCATGGAAATTAATCTCGACGTTCCGTCTCGATTAATTTCCTATGATTGACCCTTGTTGTCGCCCCATGCGCTGATACCAGCCGGTAAAGTCCTCGTATATATTCTATAACTATTACATGTATAATCTTATATTAAGTGTTATAAATTACTACATTTCATTATTGAAGAATTCAATATTTTTTTTTACATTAATTAATCTAAATAATCAAGAAGACTATGTTTACTGATTAAAAATTAAGCAAAATCTTTAGTTACTTGTATTAAAAGTCAGAAATTCATATTGTCTATCTTTTCTCAAATTATACTTTATAATTATATTGAAATTATTAACTACATGGAAAACATATCTTGGAAAAGGAAAATAGTTTTATATTAACAGACAGATTTTTTTATTTGATTAAACCCGTTGTAATACTGTTTGCATTGAAAGGTTAATCAATTTTAGCCTTTCGTGATAAATCCTTGATGCCAGGTCTCTATTTCATTTTTAAATTTTTTAAACCTTGCTGGATTACATTTGTCAACATTATAGAACCTCACCAGATGACATGGACATGCACTTACAATACTCTATTTTATGTGTTTTTATATTGAACTAACTTTGCACTTTGCTTTCAAATGGACGGTTCTAAAATGAATTCAAGATAAATCCGTTACACAAAGTAAACAGGTAAAATACTTGTCAGATCAACCAGTCTATGTAAAGTCTACTGACACGTGTTTTTTGAGAATGATATCAAAATTGTAATCCAATAATTTTACAATTACAGGACGGGTTACATCAACCAGTAAACGTTGTAGCAACGACAACTTATGGATCAGACTACAACCAGCCAGTACCCCAGCAATACCCATCCATGCCATATCCAACCGGGCAGCAGTACCCTAACTCACAATATCCAAATCAAACGTATCCAAATTAAACATTACAGTGTCATTACAGAAAGACAAATTAAGAATTTTGTTTCTACTTTATCATGGACTTTTTTGTCATGGAATAATTGTGTGAATTTTGCACATAGATCGACCTGAAACATTCAGCAGAACATTCAAACTTTAGCGAATGTCGATATGGCAGGACACTCAGCACATAATACATGCAGCTTTAGTTCGAGAACATTACATTTAAGAACTAAATTGTTAAAACATTTTGTAACTTACTTATAAACTGAAAAATTACATGTTTGTAACATAATAATTGTTTTCTGATATATGTATGATGTGAGTTTTGTGTATATATGGATATTATTGCTTGTCGAAACTATGAAATTATATTGAATTGTGCCATATTAACATAAATAAACTGAAGCAAAAAAGCGTTCAAGGAAAAAAATCACGCGCACAGTCGTCGTTATTGTACATATTTTATCATGCGTTACTAAGGACGTCATTTATAAATAGCTGATTGCAAAGACGGGCCAACTTTTATTATTGTACAATGAACTGAGACTTTATACGAATTTATTTTATGTTGGAAAGTATTATTTTATTTAAAACGTTATCAAATCCGTTCCTGAAACCAACCAGTATTAAGCGGTTGGACTCACGGAAACAACGGCTTGTCGATACCACATGGCCAGCTTCCTTAGATTAAAAGTCCTACGCATAAATACCACTCGGCCACGCCGCCACTTTAGTAATTGTCAAATGACATAACACTCGCACGTGGAAAATAATATAGCAAACCCGGTCTCTTTACACGGACGGAAAACTAATAACAAAACACAGAATTACCGAGTCAGACGTATCAAAAATAGCCCCAATACAATTACCAATTGCAGTTCTAAGCCATCGGCTTTGACTTGTTAAATCCCTCGTCCTGTGGGCTCGTACGGATTTTAAATGTCTTCTCGTGCTTCTACAGTTGTGACTGCAAAGAAAATGTGCCTCAACCCTTTATTGTACCTTCTAATGAATCGCTTGATATCGACTTATGACCAACTGGGTTACCCTGTTTATTCCTCGTAATAGTTCTGAAGGGGCCGAGGGCATCCTCATCATACCTTACATGTATTGCGTATACAATTCAATCATTATGTACATATCAATCCAGTCATATACAAACATATCAACATACATATCAATCAAATCATATACAGAAATATCATTGTATCACATTGCATAATGATTTTCAGGTTACACATGTGCATGTAATTTAAAAGATTAAGAATTGCATCATTTATTTACTTTTTTAAAGGATGAAAGAACAACGAAAATGACATCTGAAATAAATATATTGTCCGCGTTGAATTTGTTTTCTTTTATATTAGTGGAATTGTCATTTTGATGTAGTTATATCAGTAATACAATAAGAGATTGAACAATTGCCCATCTATTGATTTCTTCTTTTGTTAAATTTATATTTTTATAAATATTCCAGCTCATTTCAAGCTATTTTTAAAACCAGTACAAGTAGGTAACAAGTTTTTTCGCTGAGACAAATATACATATATATTTCAATTATAATAACAAGATATTGTATCTATAATAATTTAGTTCACAACCTAGAATAAAAGATTTACGATTTAAAAGGTATCACAATTATGTATTTTTTTTTCAGAAACTGAAATATTGACTGAATCTTGTTACATCCCCAAAATAAATGTACATGTATCAGTGTTTCTTCTTCACTTTCACAAAAGTGCACATTTTAGAAATTAATTATTTTCATTTTAAATAAATGAGAGTTTTTGCCAATATTCTATGAATATTTCTTGTCCAAAACCATTGTATATATGAAACTTTAGTGCCTTTAAATACATAACCATATATAAGCTGCCAATTTAGGGAAATGTTCTCAAAGTAAGATATCCATTTTCTTGGCATATTGGTACCTCTATAGTTTTTACCATGGTTTCATACACATATTTATGATTGCTATTGACAACTATAATAGGTTTGATGTAACAACTTATATAGGATACTGAATATACAGTAAGTCATTTTGAATACAAATATTGAGGTTTTGTGTGTATCTGTTTATTGCCAGTTTCAAACTATGATACTGTAACAAATTATTTGGTTTACATGTTATTTGTTCTATGAAGCTTAATTCTAAAAATTCTCCATGTTGATGTAAAATGTCCTTTTCAAATCTAAATCCATGATCATATAAAGTTTTAATGAAAAATATATTACTTTCTGTTATCAATTTATGGTTATAAAATAGTGGCATATGTAGCACTTGTTCAATATTATCTATATAAAGCTAATCAATAAGTACAATATAGGTTTTCAAAACCTCAGTCCAGACTCTATTCTTAATCTTATTAATCAATTTACAGAACAATTTTCCAGTATCAAACAGTTTATCAATATTAAATAGTGATTTCACAAGGTTAAAGCATTTTCCATCACTATTACTGAGATATCTTTTAAGCCATTTTATCTTTAAACAGTATATACTATAAATATCAACCATGTTAAGACCACTTTCTTTGTATGTCTTTGTCATAACTGATTGCTTTATTTTTACCTTGCCTCTCCATATAAAGTCATAATAAATCATTAAAAGTCTTTTAAAATATTGCACTAGGAGTTGGCAAACTTGTTATACAATGTGTAAATAATGGAAATAAAATAGACTTAACAACAGTTACTTTACCTATTGGTGTTAATATTCTTTTTTCAATGACTTATACTATTTTTTATCTTTTGAAGTTGTCATGTGGTCGATATTTGCGTTTTGTTATTTGCTACGAATATCGTTTTTATGTATCATTTTGTCCTTGTATTTGTACATATATCTCGTGTATTTGTCTATATCTATGTTTTTCTACAGTCCGATATACAATCCATTATCCCATATCATTTCTATATCATTCCATTTCATCATCTTTTCATTATAACAACTAACTTCTTATATTTCATTTCGACATAATTTGCATGCTGGGTCTCAATTTTTACAAACTTCCCGGAAAAACCACCTCACGCATGCGCATTTTGATATAAATATTTCTCTTGGTTTGCGCCAGATATTGTTTCTTATCTATTTAAGTATCAAGGCGTATGTTTGTTTGTCCTAAACAACCATTTCATTCATGTAAAAGGACCATACGACATATTTTTTTCATAAAAATTCAAATCAATCATTTTGTCTAATTCTACATCAAATATCAAACCTAGCAATTTAAACTGTGTTTCACCCAATGTAAGTTTCCATTTTGTCTTGATTGATCTAGTACTGTACTTAAGGGAACCTATCCAAATGAATGTCAATTGGTTTTATCACAATTTACTTTAAGTCCCGAAATCTCTCACAATATACTCAACAATTTTAGTGCAACATTTAATGATTTTTCAGTATCATCTAACAATAGTGATGTATCATCTGCATATTGTGTAGTTTTATATTCTTCACCATCTTTGATTGATATGTGTTCTTTTGTGTGTGTGTTTTTATTTTTATTTTAGAAGGCCGCATTGTAAATAAGATGTTGCAATCTGTATATGTCTTAATGTGTTACCTTCGGTAAATAAAGTTATTATTATTATTATTATTATTATTATCTATATGTATACCTTAAACATAATTACATTGTTTTATTTTAATAGCCAATATTTCTGCGCATAAAATGAAAATATATGGTGAAATTGGATCACCTTTCCTACAGCTTCGTTTAACTTTGAATAATGTAGATAAAAAAACATTTAGTAAAACACAAGTTTCAGTATTGTATAAAATTATGATATCCATTCCCTTAACCAAGGACCAAAATTTAACAGTGAAAGGCATTTTTCTATAAATTTAAAAGATAATGTATCAAAAGCTTTTTCGAAATCAATCATCATAATTAAACCAGGTATATTATTATCTTCAGTATATTTCATTATACCATACAATAATCTAGTATTCTCTCAAATATATCTATTTTAACAAATCCAGTTTGATCTTTTGACACTAAAATATCTAAAACACCTTTAGTTATATTTGCTTTACTACCAGACGCTGATTTATAAGCAACGTTTAATAAAGCTATTGGTCTCCAGTTTTTCAAAAATGGTTTGGTTTATTTTCTTTTGGAATACATGTGATTGTCCCTAATTTTTGACTTCTTGAAAAAGTATTTACATTATAAGCATAATTAAATGCCTTAACTACAAAATGTCCAATTCTGTTCCAAAACGTTTAAAAAAAATGTTGTAAACCCAACACAACCCGAGCTTTTTTCATTTTTCATAATCTTTAATGTTAAAGAAACTTAATCATATGTGAGTAAATTTTCAAAATTTAGTGATTCATCATAAAATTTTGTCAATTTAGTAACTACACAATTTCTCAGTTCTCTATCAATGTTTGACTCCGAAGTCAAATTTACCTCATTATATATAATTTTTCATAATAGCCACAAGTTTTTTCTCATATATCCTTTTGGTCGTACATAAATGCTCAATCATCCATTTCTATAAAAGGTATGGCTTTTTTGAGCAATGTGATTTCTCTTAACTTAAAATATAATTTTTTAGGTTTTTCACCAGATTCTATCCATAATTTCATTTTAAATAAATATTTATTTGTTGGAATTATTCACATTAAATATTTATACTGAAAAGTTCTTATTTTGGTACCAATAGTAGCTTTAAAAATTTGGCTATAAACTGTTTCCGTTTTATATCATTATTTTCTAAAACATTTTTCCATTTACTTTCTGATTTGATTTGCTTTTTGCTTTTGGTTTAACCTTCATTTGCTTAGTAAATAGTTATTTATTTGGTTCTTTACCATCTCTGATCTCATTAACAAAGGTCTCTAACAATATATATATACAATATATTTTTATCATCAAGATTTTGTTTTATATTAGGATTTGTGCTTGTGATTATTTGATAGAACTTTAGAAATGCATTATTTCCTAATTATATAATTCTTTAAAATGCTCAAAAGGTAAGAAGTCTTTTTTCTGTAGTCAAAAAAAATGTTATATATATTTAATACCTTTGTCTTACCAATCTTTCATATAACAAGAACTTGTAACAGAGTTACCAACGTCCCCCGCGTCGGGAAGTTTTATATGAAGCATAAAATTGTGCTATTTCAAAAGATTGAGTGAGGTATGGATCTCAAGACTTTCAGTCAAAATTATGATCAATGCTAGATCTGAAAATGCAACAATATATTTATTAAAGAAATAAAATGAAACAGGGAATTCAAATATCTTTCATGTTAAGCTTTGACCACAAAGTGTGACCTTGACCTTAGAGGTAGGGGTGCAGGTGTTGTGCATGACATATCGTCTTATTGTTGTAGCTGCCTGTGCCAAGTATTTTCAAAATCATCCTTTA